GTGTGTGTGTTGACGAGTGTGTGTGTGTAGATGTTGTGTGTAGATGTGTGTGTATGTAGACGAGTGTGTGTGTGTAGATGGTGTGTAGAATGTGTGTGTGTGTAGACGTGTGGGTGTGTGTAGATTTGTGTGTAGATGTGTGTGTAGACGTGTGTGTGTGTGTAGATGTGTTTGTAGATGTGTGTGTGTGTAGACGTGTGTGTGTGTGTAGATGTGTGTGTAGATGTGTGTGTGTGTAGACGTGTGTGTGTGTGAGATGTGTGTGTGATGTGTGTGTGTGTAGACGGTGTATGTAGGACGAGTGGTGTGGGTAGATGTGTGTGTAGACGGTGTGTGGTGTAGACGTGTGTATGTAGACTAGTGTGTGTGTGTAGAATGTGTGTGTAGATGTGTGTGTATGTAGACGAGTGGGTGTGTGGTGTAGATGTGTGTGTAGATGTGTGTTATGTAGACGAGTGTGTGTGTAGATGTGTGTGTGTGTAGATGTGTGTGTAGTGTGTGTGTTGTAGACGTGTGTGTGTGTGTGTGTGTGTAGATGTGTGTGTGTAGATGTGTGTGTGTGTAGACGTGTGTGTATGTAGACGATGGTGTGTGTAGATGTGTGTGTAGACGTGTGTGTGTGTAGACGTGTGTGTGTTGACGAGTGTGTGTGTGTAGATGTGTGTGTATGTAGAGAGTGTGTGTGTGTAGATGTGTGTAGATGTGTGTGTGTAGATGTGTGTGTATGTAGACGAGTGTGTGTGTGTAGATGTGTGTGTGTGTAGACGTGTGTGTGTTGACGAGTGTGTGTGTGTAGATGTGTGTGTAGATGTGTGTGTGTGTAGACGTGTGTGTGTAGACGAGTGTGTGTGTGATGTGTGTGTAGACGTGTGTGTAGACGTGTGTGTGTTGACGAGTGTGTGTGTGTAGATGTGTGTGTAGATGTGTGTGTATGTAGACGAGTGTGGTGTGTAGATGTGTGTGTAGACGTGTGTGTGTAGACGTGTGTGTGTGTGTGTAGATGTGTGTGTAGACGTGTGTGTGTGTGTAGATGTGTGTGTAGATGTGTGTGTGTAGACGTGTGTGTGTTGACGAGTGTGTGTGTGTAGATGTGTGTGTATGTAGACGTGTGTGTGTGTGTAGATGTGTGTGTGTAGGTGTGTGTAGACGTGTGTGTGTGTTAGTGTGTGTAGACGTGTGTGTGTGTAGACGTTGTGTGTAGACGTGTGTGTGTGTGTAGATGTGTGTGTGTAGGTGTGTGTGTAGTGTGTGTGTGTGTAGATGTGTGTGTAGATGTGTGTGTGTGTAGACGTGTGTGTGTTGACGAGTGTGTGTGTGTAGATGTGTGTGTATGTAGACGTGTGTGTGTGTGTAGATGTGTGTGTAGGTGTGTGTGTGTAGACGTGTGTGTGTGTAGATGTGTGTGTAGACGTGTGTGTGTGTGTAGATGTGTGTGTAGATGTGTGTGTGTGTAGATGTGTGTGTGTGTAGACGTGTGTGTGTAGACGTGTGTGTGTAGACGAGTGTGTGTGTGTAGACGTGTGTGTGTGTAGATGTGTGTGTAGATGTGTGTGTGTAGATGTGTGTGTAGACGTGTGTGTGTGTGTAGACGTGTGTGTAGACGAGTGTGTGTGTAGATGTGTGTGTAGATGTGTGTGTGTAGACGAGTGTGTGTGTGTAGATGTGTGTGTGTGTAGACGAGTGTGTGTGTAGATGTGTGTGTAGATGTGTGTGTAGACGAGTGTGTGTGTGTAGATGTGTGTGTGTGTAGACGAGTGTGTGTGTAGATGTGTGTGTAGATGTGTGTGTAGACGAGTGTGTGTGTAGACGTGTGTGTGTGTAGACGTGTGTGTGTGTGTTGACGAGTGCTGCTCGCTAACAGCACTTGCCCCCAACCGTCTGTTGCAGGCTATAGTAGGAATCTTTTTTTCTGTATAGACATCGGTAGCAAGTGATGCCTGAAGCAGTATAGCAGCAGAGCAAGTAGGTGTCGTGGAGTCGCTGCAACAACAGCAGCAGGTGGGGACGCAGCCCAGCCGCAATGATGGGCGATTACAATCGTTGTGTTTCGTGGTCACCGTGACTTGCTTAAGTGGCCGTGGAAGTCGCAATGGGCCATTTTACGCAGTTACAAAAGTTGATGTTATCCGTTTGCTGCCAACAAGCAGATTTGGGAACGTTGCCCAACTTTTGCTCTCGGTTAGACGGGACACCAGGAAAGACATTGAGCAGTCCTCTGGATCTTCCTACGACCCTGGGTGGCACAAACCCTCGTCCAGGGCCCCGCCGAGTGAAGCGAATCGTGCCAGGCAACGCTGTGGCAGCCTTGACGCCATGGGGGTCGTTGGGCCTCTTAGGAAACCTGCAAGAAGCGACAGAAGAACGCGCGCGACTTGGTCGTCTGGTCGGTAGATGAGTGGCTGTTTAGGGGTCTCCTCCAGCAGGCCACGATGACTAGGAGTTGTTAACTACCTCACCTGGTATGTAGGAGGTCGTGGGTTTAAACCCGACCACGACGCCTGTTGTATATGTGCACTTTGCATGTCTCACTCCCCGTGGTCGCGTGGGTTTTATCTCCGGGCCCGGTTTTCCCTCCACATTTATAAACAAGCGTTTGGAGTACATATTTGGCTGCTAAATGTACACCTGAAAAGCTACTTCAATAAGCTACAATTTGTGGCCAGATCTTTTCTGAAAAAGAGCTTTAAATTATAGCTCAGTGGGTCATACTTGGTAAAATTAAAAAAAGTTTTTTGTTTAGTTCCATGTCAATATCACTGTGTGGCCTTGAAGGTGAAGGACAATGATGACATTTAGGGCAATTGTCCTTGGTCATAACCCATAGAAAGAGGCCAGAGAGACAGAGTAGATAAGCGTTGAAGACTGCACTTGTTTTCACCCATGGAGCCTGGTGAGAATTACATTCAACATTGGCATGTGGATAGTTATACTGATAGTGGCTATTGAGTAACAAACACACCCTTAAAAACACAAATGCGTCATTTAATACATTAATTTGGATTAAACGTTACATTTACATTTAAAAAAAGCTTCAGGGCGAGACTTGCAGCTTTCTGGGATTCAGGGTGACGATGATTTTGGCTTTGCTTCAACCCTTTCGGGATTCAGCCTGCCCGTGTATGATGTTGCAAGGCATTGTTGTCCATTATTGCCCCGGGTTCTTTAGGTACTCAGGACACAGGCCATCATATTCCGTTGCCTTGTTGGAATGTGTGGCCCTTGAGGGCTGCTGCCACTTATCTCGTTCGATCTGTTGCTCGTGATTGTTGGCTCAAGGTGATGATGACCTGTTTATCGCTTTTTGTTGAGATCATCCATTGGTGTTTTGAACAGGACAACATATGGGGAAGCCACATCATCTTCTGTGATCGTTAGCGGTATGCGCTCTGTGCATTTTAAGACACTTTGTTTCCGGAGGGGCTGCCAAACTTTTTGGCCAGCATATATGAAGTCCACATCTGCAGTGACGTCTTCCCAACGTTTTATTCGTCTAGAGTTTAGGGGACTCCAATAGTGCGGTGCCCTTAGCTTGGTCACTAGGTCTGATTTAACTCTTTCAGGAGTTGTCCTGTATGTGGTTGTCAATATGGTGCATATGGATTTGAATTAACTTTTATTTCGACTATATGGTGACATTAGTTGGTTTAAGGTGATGTAAAAATGCGTAGCAAGCTGGAGGTGCCACTGCGAGAAGAGGCTGAAGTCTCCCAACTGCTCAGCCAGCTTAGCTTCTCAAATATGACGAGATCAGGGGAATTACAGGTGAACTTAGAACAGCTTCAGTAAAAAAAGCCCCTTCCTTATATCGTGTTTGATCACATTGGCACATGGTGTGGAAATCCCCTGACTGCAACGAAACACAATAAATGCACCATACACCCCACGCACCGGGCTAGTGCTTTGCTTATTTACTGCACAATATTTATTACAGTATTACATGAAAATGTACAATATTTTTCTAATTTACCGTAACTGTGCTTGCGACATGTGGACCCCTCTAATGGAACATATGCGCCAGTTCGAAACGTTCAGGGTGGTCTGCCGACAATCCACCCTGGGTTTAACCGGGCTGGATTGTGAGGAATCCAGAGACCCATAGACTCACCACACACAGAGACCCGTAGACTCATCACATAGATATCCATATGCTCACCAGAGTAATATAATCATTACACAGAGACCCATAGACTCAATCACAGATATCCATATGCTCACGACAGCCATATACTCATTAAACAGAGACCCGTATAAACTCATGATAGAGCTCCCATATGCACGCCAGAGCCATATGCTCATTATACAGGGACCCATAGACTCACCACGTGGAGACCCGTGGCCTCGCAAAGAGACCAATAGACTCACCACAAGGAGAATGTGTGGGTTAGTGTGCCTCCGTGTGATGAGTCTTACGGGTCTCTGAATTCTCGCGACGATGTTTTTGAAAAGCTTAGAGAGCTGAGTGGTTGACTCGCGGTAAATTCCTCAGCAGGTAACTAATGAATATTAAAGAGCTTCAGTCACGTGGCAACCCGAACCACACCTGGTGGAGGGGGGGAAGTGATGGAGGGGGGGAATGGGTGGTGGGGGCTGCTCACGTGACACCACAATCCTCCACGTACACAGAAACAAAGGTAAAGCTCCCCCAGGTAGCTATTGGGACCACGCACGGCAGCGGTGGGACATCGCTGCAGGATTTTTGTTGAAGATGAGTCTTGAGACTCAAGGCTGGAGTCACCAAGAGGAATGATGAATGTATTCGTTTATGAATGCATTAATTAATTACTCCCTGTTTCACAATACGGGGGAGGAGAGAGCTTGCTGCAGGGTCAAGCGAGGTGTCTGAAGTAGGAACTAAAATTAACAAATTCACTGAAACACTGCCACTTGTGCAATAATACCACCGCGTGTGCAACAACGCTTACACACACTAAAATAAACACTCACGCAGACACATAAAAGACAAAGATCACCCGTATAGCCTTAACAGGCTGTTGGGGCAAGTGCTGTTAGCGAGCACAGCATCTATGAAGGCCGGAACGGCACAAGAGGGGGTGGGTGGGTGGCTGGCAACCACGCCCGGCCGCCTTTGTCTCCCCAGTGGCGATGTTGACTCATTTTGGGCCGAGTCGACCTAGGGGAGGCCCAGGACCGGTTCAGATAATCGTCACCGGTGTTGGCCGTGAACGGAAATCGAACTCGGGTCTGGGTTTGTAGCGCAGCACGCTAACCGCTACACTACCAATCCCCACCATACACACACACTCTCTCTCTCTCTCACACACATCCTATATAAACACGCACATCCTGATACACACAAATCCTCTCCCACTCTCGCTCTGCTCACGCCGCGCTCACCAGCTCAGTGTTTGACTCTGAAAGTGGCCTTGCCTCACTGTCTCCTGCGGAGGTTACCCACCCACCTACCTAGCCACTCACTGAGCCACTCACTCACCTACCTACTCGCCTATCCACTCACTCATTTTCACCCATGCACTCACCCACCCACTAACTCTCTTGCTCACTCATTCTCACCCACTCACTCACCTACCCGGCCACCCACTAACCCGCTCTACCACTCACTTATCTTACCCACCCACTTATTCTCACCGAATCACCTACTCATCCTCACAAACCCACTCACTCAGCCACAAACCCGCTATAGCAACCACTCACTCCTCTCCCAGTCACTCGCTTCACCCAATCACCCGTCTGCTCACCTACCCATCCATTCACCTAGTCATCCAGACTCACAAACCCACTCAACCACCCACTCACCCTCTCTACCAACCACTCACCCACCCACCAAGATGGACATCTGGGACGCGTACCGCGAGCTCACTGTTGGAATATCGGAGTTGGACTTCGATGCCGAAGCTCAGCCGTCCCGCCTCCTCCTCACCCTGCCACACGCCTTCCCCGTGGCCGTCAACTCCTCCGACCAGGTGCTCATCGCCGCCTCCACCCTGGGTTCAGGCCGTATGGTTGTCCTCTCCCACGAGACCTACCTCTCCTCGCCCAAATTCCACCACTTCGTTCTCAACTCCATCGCCTGGCTCTCCTCTTCCCCCGCCTCCTCGCATGCTGGCTCAATCGCCCTGAGCCAGAGCCTGCTTGGATCAGCACTGAGCCAGCTGCTGCTTAGGCAGGGGCTCGGCGTCATCGATGAGCCATCGGAGCTGAGCGAGGAGGAGGAGAATAATGAGGTGGAGGTGGAGGAGAAACGGAAGGAGACGCATGGGGGCATCGCCGTCCTCTGCACGGACGCCTACGCCGCGCGGGACTGGGGGGCCCTGGAGAGATTCGTGAGGCGCGGTGGGGGGCTGTTGGTGGGGGGCCAGGCCTGGTCCTGGACGACCGTGAACGGAAACCCCGCGGACCCCCTGGATGGATTCCCTGGTAACAGGGTCATGGGAGCGGCCGGAATCCTGGTGAGCCGGGACACGGCGGAGAAGGGGCCAGTGGTAGTGAGCGATGAGGTGCCGGAGGCGGCGATCTTGTACAGCTACAAGCCCTGCTATGGCGCTGATTACGAGCAGATAGCAGCCGCTATTGACTGTGCAGACATAGCCCTGGGCACTGAGCACCCCTCGCAGGTGGTGGCCCATGGCTCCATGGCCTTCCCCCTGCTGGTGGACGGCGAGGGCCGCGCTGTGGTCGGAGCCTCGCGTCACGGGGCGGGCCGCGTTGTGGTGTTCGGCCACGAGACCATCGCGGCCACCCGACTCAGCGCCCGCCCCGCCCTCGCCTCCGCACTCGCGTGGCTGGCAGGGGGGGGCGCCTCTCCCCCCTCCACGGGGCTGGCCATGGTGGGGACCGTGGGGATACGAGCCGGGTCCCACCTGGCTGGACTCAAGGAGACGCTTACAGACCTGGGAGTGCCTCGCGTTGTCGAATTTGACTCGTTCCCCAGTGGTGCCCGGCCACCCAACCTCTCTGTGTTCTGTTGCCCGGCTTACGGACCTTTCATTGGCTTGGAGGAAGAAAAGGGGGATTTGGGGAGGGATGGCGAGGAGGTGGAGGCAATCCGAGAGTTCGTGGCACAGGGTGGTGGAGGGCTTCTCGTAGCGGGCCAGGCGTGGTGGTGGAGCTCTAGCCGTCCGGGGATGTCTGCTGTGGACCTCTACCCTGGAAACCGCATCATCAACAGCATGGGCCTCACCATCACGGCCGTAGGCTGTGGTGAAGGCCGCCTCCTCCTCTCCGGGCGGCCTCTCCAGACGGTCCCTGCTCTTGACTGCCCTCGCTCTACTGCTCCCATCTCCTTGCGCCTGGGCCTGCGTGATTTTGCATGTCACCTCACGAAGAAGTCCCAGCTGTCCGGGCCACGTCTCACGAACCTGGTCTCCCTCCTGCGAAGAGACCTGGTCCCCTTGCTCGGAAGTCGCGACCCGGCGTTTCGTCCGCTGCGGGCCATTGTGTGGGACCTCCTCCGAGGGCCGCTGTGGCCCGACCTGGCTGCGGTTGGTCCAGAGAGGCCCGTGCAGGCCCACAACGTGGTGGACGGTCTGCTGGTGTCATTGTTGACGGCCTTGTGCAATGGTGGAGGTGGCGGAGGTGGACGATGTGGAGGACACGGAAGAGGAGGAGAGGAGTTCTTCAGTCTCGGAGACATCTTTCCAGGAAGACCTTTGGAGCCGACGTTTAGAGGTTGGCAAGAAGTCACCATTGATGTCTCTAGCAAGGAGGGGCTGACATGGGTCAGCACCGGCCTCTACGCTCCACCTGCTCAGCGCGTGCTGCTCGACTTCCCATCGCTCGCACTCGGCAGAGGTATCCAGATCCAGTTGGGATGCCACACTGATCAGCTGTACGGTTCAAAAACTATGAAACGCCACCCGGAAGTTACCCGCAGCGTGCCGGTGGTGCGCCGAGAGATGGACCGGGGAGCTATGGAGGTGGCATCAAGTTGGGGGGGGCTCTTGTATTTGCTGGTGCCGGAGGGAGTGAGCCTGGGGAAGATCCGCGTGAGGGTTAGGGGAGCGGTGAGAGCCCCCTACTTCAAGCTGGGTGAGACCAGCCTGCAGCGCTGGCAGGAGTTTGAACGGCACTACCCCGCTCCCTGGTCCGAGCTGGCCTGCGATAGCCTCATCCTCACGGTGCCGTCGGAGGCCGCGCGTGGACTGGCCGACCCCGAGAGTCTGATGCGGCTGTGGGACCGCATGATGGGAGCCATCGCCTATCTGGCCGCCGAACCGCACCCGTCTGCGCGGCCGGAGCGAATCGTGGTGGACGAGCAGATCAGCCATGGCTGGATGCATGCGGGATATCCCATCATGGTGCACCGCGGATCCATCCCCAAGCTTCTGAACGAGGAGGAGATGCGTGCAGAGGGCATGTGGGGACCCCTCCATGAGCTCGGCCACAACCGCCAGCGGCCCGCTTGGAACTTCCCACCCCACACCACGGAGGCCACCAACAACCTCTTCGCCGTCTACGTCCATGAGGAGGTGCTCGGGGTGGTGCGGGCGCGCGCCCACCCCGACTTGCGCCCTGCCGAGCGGGAGCGGCGCCTCCGCGATCATGTGGACGCGGGCAGCCCAATCGCCGCGTGGACCGTGTTCACCTGCCTGGAGACCTACTTGCAGCTTCAGGAGGCCTTTGGCTGGGACCCCTTCGTGCAGCTGTTTGGAGACTACCAGCGGGCGGCCTCGACGCCCTCCACGATGGAGGCCAAGATGAGCGAGTGGGCTGAGCGGTTCTCACGCTGTGTGGGCCGTAACCTGGGCCCTTTCTTCTCTGCGTGGGGTTGGCGCCTGAGGCCTGGCCTGGAGGCTGCGCTGGCCACTCTGGACCCATGGGATGATGACCCCATGGTGGCTCTAGCAGCCCATCCCAACGCTTAGCGGTCGTGATGGTTGTGGTGATGGTGGAGGTGGTGATGGTGGTGGTTGTGATGGTGGTGGTTGTGATGGTGGTGCTGGAGGTGGGGGTGGAGGTGGTCATGGAGGTGGCCATGGTGATGATGGTGGTGTCGTAAACGGTGTAGTGGTTCGCGCCCTGTGCTACGAACCCAGTGACCTGAGTTCGATTCCTGCTCACGACCACTACCAGTGACGAATATCTGAACCTGGTCCAGGGCTTCACTTAACTCAATTCAGCCTTAAATGAGTACTTGGTATGGAGTGTAACCATCAAGGATATATGGGGGATCTTTGCATGTAGACGAGAATGTATGTGCAGTGTTTAAATATGGTGTATACGCAATCTTTCGGTGGCTAATAACGTTGAATTATAATCCAATGCGCCTATATCTATCCCTCTACTCGCTTTCATGTATGAACGTATTTACAATTACATGACTATTAAAATAAAAGTTTGTAAAACAAAGCTATTCTGAAAAACATCAATGTAAGATGCCATAACATTACGTAGCAAAAATGCAACGCTCTTCATTTCGTACGTAGGCTTTCACGACCAATGCTAGTTTCATGGAGTACTCTGGAGTAGATCACAGTACAGGCATATGCAATGTCAAATCTTTAACTGTAACCCTCCACCACATGACGGAGGCAATTACATCTAATTGCCGTGTGGGTACACACGCCAATCGATTTTGGTTTATCAGCAAACCTCCGGAAAGTCGAAGAAGCAAGCAGAATTTTGACGACAGCATGTTTATTTTTTGCAGTAGACTGCGCTTGGCATCGTCAGGCGTTTAACCAAAGCTTAGCTCTTGTGCGGAAGCATCTCCTAGTCCGGGTCCTTAAATCGGTGCAGTTACATCAACGGGGCAGACTGCTTAACATTAAGAGTTCATTTCTGGTTGATAAATGCTCGTGATTGGCGGGTTAGAGTCGTGGTTAGTGAAAATAGGCTATCCTCTTATAACATGGTGTATGGCGTTATAAAGCTGGCGGTTAATGCTGTTGTGATTCTAGTTCAGCATTAATTGGTTGATAGGGTTAGTTAATTGATATTGTGGGGATTGGTGCGATTAGGAATTAGTGACAGGTTGATAGTAGATATTGTTGGTGTTAGGCTATAATACATCATCGATTTAAGTGGAAATGTATCGAGCTGTTTACTATCATAAATTGAGTTAAGTGTTCTGTAATAAGATCAATTGTATTCGCTCAGTTGGTTCCTCAGTTTTCACCCGTGGGGTGCTATTAAAACAGAGTCCAGGAACTGACCCACCCCAAGCATTAATTGATTATTAAGATTAAGATAAATTAAATTAGCATGATGGATGTTAGTACGACAATGATTTTAGTCATAATGGTTGATTGGAGAGATGTATTATGTTATGCATTTTGTGAAGTGTCATTTAATGTAGTCAATACAATTCATTAATTGTTTATTCATAATTTATATCCTGGCAGTGCTCATTCTGTAGCCATCTGCTTGGTTGAAGTGTATTTCAATTTCTTTCAATTTCAATTGATTTCCTACTTACTCTTTAGCAACAATAATTCGTTGCACGCAAGACTTTAACCTTAAATAATTCAATTGTGCGCCCTTTCTGACATCCATGTTTTGCACACACAGATAAATGAGTATGTGAGTACAGTATTTGATGTTTAGATTTGAAGTTTTCGTGACTGCACGGATCCATACTCTTTGGTTCTTTCGGTAATGTCACATAGCTATAAAATGAAATAAATTAAATCACGACGTTTCGGGCGCGACACAAACATCCGTCATCAGGTGGGACAACCACAGCAATTGTTTCTTGCTGTGGTTGTCTCACCTAATGACGGACGCTTGTGTTGTGCCTGAAACGTCGCGATTTAATTTATTTTATACCTACGTGACTACCGAAAGAACCAAAGAGTATTTGATGTTTATTTCATGTACTTTGAAACGTGTACTAATTTTGTGACCTGTCTGGCCAATGTTACATTTGCCGCCAGTACACATCATCTGACGCACGTCTTTTGATCCTGAAGTTGGGTAATTTATCTTTGTGTTGGATGTGTTGCGTAAGTTGACAATTGTGCTTATATGAAGGGACATTTAACATATATGAAATAGTTTATTGTAATTTTACCCAACTATGATCTGTTAACATAATTTATACAAATATATTAACTTCGAGGTATTACTTCCTGGCACGTTCTGTTCCTTTGTGGGTGCACATTGATGACATCATATCATCTATGGCCCAAGACTGGAGGACATTTTCACAATTCTGGCACCTACCTGATGATGCTGGTTGCAACTATGAGCGAAACATCGAACGCAATTGTTCAATGTGTGTGCATCTCGCTTCCCACATATCGGTGTGCTGAAGCAATAATAAAATTGACACGTTTGTTCAGGTCACGTTGTGATTTCATAAAAAATATATTATGAATAATTATATTGGTCGCGAAAGTCTACGTGGTGGAATTTTATCGTAAGCTGTTCGTATTATGCTGATCTTGTGATAACCTAACAAAATAATTTCGACTGAAGTTAATGGTGCTTTTGCCTATTCGTTTTTCCATTTTGTATCGCGACGCCTGGAAGCCCTTGTGAACCCCATGTTACTGGTTATCTATATACCTGAACCATCGTCCTAAAATCGGTTTACGTTGGCAGGCTTGGTTGCTCGAGAAAAAAGCTATTGAAACTTTGGATGACTGGTTTCTGTCGTTTGGTTCCATTCGGACGGTGAGAACGTCGGAGTTGAGGTGGAGAATAAATACAGCATCCCAAAAAAATCAGAAGCTGTGACTGGACTCTGTCCCCGTGTGCACCGTGGCTGCTGGATGTGGTTTTGCAGTGTTCCTCTTTTTAGAGGGAACTTTGGGTTGAGGCATTTGGGAGTTCCTCTTATTTTAAGACTGCAGGATTCCATACTCTTTGGTTCTTTCGGTAAAGTCACGTAGGTAGAAAAAATAAATAAAAAAATAATATTTCACGACGTTTCGATCACAACACAAGTGGTCGTCCTCAGGTGGAAAAAATAATCCAGTAGTGGAACTGCTGAACCAGGAAGAACACAAAGAGAGAGCTGTTCCAACAAGAGGTTAACATATATAACCTCTTGTTGTAACAGCTCTCTCGCGTCGTAATATTTACGGGACTTTACCGAACGAACCAAAGAGTATGAGTTCCCATTATATTTGCCTTTTAGAAGCAGTAGCCCCACCCACCCTCACAAGCCTGTTCATCAACCTGCTACTGGATGAGAGACTCTCCACAAACTGTACAGACAGTGTTCCTTGACCATATTTTACCACGCTGGTCGGTGCGGTTTGGTGAAGGCGGAAAGGGTACCAGAAAGTGGATTGTGCTGCACTGCCCTCTGTTGCCCAGATGTCTACGATTGCTGTTGTCCGCATGTGGGTCAGCCATTCAACTCTGCTTCCACTTGCGAGGTCTAATGGAAGCGGGCACATTGTGGGTGATTTTCTCAAAGACACATGTAGGTTATACAGTGCCGGATTAAGCTAGTGCGGGGTCTGTAGCATATGTTATAAAGGGACCCTAAATTAAAAAAAAACACGTAAATATTAAAACACAAATGTTTAACTTGCATAGTAAATTGTATTTTTTCATTTGCTACACATCCAGATAATACGACAAATCGCTAACCTTAAACACCCAGTCGTTCATGAAAGTTGAAGGTGGTATAGTACTATAGTAATAGAGCAAGTGCAGAATCACTGAACCGGAATTTATATCTTAAAAGCATTTAGCGCGGGAGCCCTTGAAAGTGCGCGGCCCGTAGCATATGTAGCTACTTTTGCTACTTGGATAAACCGGCACTGAGGTTATACCATTTGATTTCGCTTTTAAATACATTTATGTGTGCACATTGAGTACATTTCCATATTTAAAAAAAACCCCATTGTGAAATGGCTGCAGAGTAGGCCTCGGCAAGGTAAAGTAAAAGGTAAAAACAACGAGCCTACCTTTACCCTACCTTTTACCTTACCACAATACAATCACTCTACCCTAACTTTTAGCCTTTAGCAGGTAAGGTTAAAGGTAAAAAGCAACGAACCTACCTTTACCCTACCTTTTACCCTTACCCCATACAAATGACCCGATTACAGGGAAATTACTGGGGTACTACACATGAAAAAGGTTTATAACGGTAAATGCAAGGTAGAGCGCTTTATACATATAGAATACTAGCGGTGAGTACCCGGCGTTTCCCAGGCGAAAAAGGCAGACACACATCTAGTTACACACACAAATCGACTGACACACACACGTAGAGTTACACACACATATCGACTCACATATACATACATAGACTGAACAACAACAACCGCCATTCGCCAGTAAGTGGCGGTAACATCACCACAACGCTTGTACCAGGCTATGTGCACCTTGAGGCCACGTAAAGTGTCGAACGCCCGCTGGCAGGAAGTCACGGGGCAGACCCAGATGGCACAGGTCAATTGACTGAGACGACTGGCTGATGCACCACCTGTGCCCCCTATTGTGGCAACTTGCTGTGCTTTAGGCACCCGGCGCTCCGCTCGTTGTTGTGAGCGTCGCTCCTCCGCCCTCCGTTGTTGTTGGAGGGCGAATGCCTCCAACTGCCCAGTAGCGTCCTTCAGGAGGCTCCTCCACAGAGGCCGATCATGACACGGCTGGTTCCAGTCATCGGCAAGTCGACCCAGCTACATGTCCTCCTGTACCACATCACTCCATGTCTTGTCTAGCCCGTGCCGGGCCGTTTAGCCCCCTGGATCCGGCCGAACAAAAGATGTTTAGGCATGCGGTGTCTGGCCATGCGGGCTACATGGTTCAGGCAATGCAGCCTTACCTGGCGGAGGAGCTCACCGATGGGACTTTGTCCACATTTTTCAAGGATTTGTGAGCTCCTCACCACACAATGCAGCCTGGTAAAATCCAGGATGGATCGTAGGCAGGCCATTCTAAATGTATCTAACCGGCGACGATGTTCCATTAGGGGGGCGCAAGCATAGAGAAGGGAGGGAATGACCGTGGCCGAGAAGACCTGAAGCTTCATGCGGAGTGATAGACCAGGTAGCTTCCACACAGTGTTACACAACCAATGAAAAGATAATGTGGCTCGACTGTTTCGGAATGAGACCTCTGCTGCTAAACCGGAGCCGGTCATTAGCACACTGGCAAGATATGGGAAACTCTCCACTGTCTCCACAACTGCCCCATCACCAATTGGAAGTTGTGGGGGTGGAGTGTCCGATGGTAGAAAATACCCAGGCAGGTGCTTAGTTTTGGTGGGGCTGATGGTAAGGCCCACCTCTTGGTGGCAAGCTCCAGGTTCAGCAGCAGCACCTCGAACTCCTCCTCCTAGTGAGCAGCAATTAGCAGATCGGCATACGTAACGTGGTTGAGCAATAGGGAGCCATCCCTTGACCGCACCTGGGCATCGATCAGCCTCCCATTGTATCTGTACCAGATGGAAATTCTAGCGGTACAGCCTTTAATGGCTTCACGAACTACGTCACATAGACCTCCACTTGAGATACACACACATGGAGTTACACACACATATGGACGTACACACATACAGCGACTCACACATATATACATCGAGTGACACACACATTGCCGTACACACACATACAGACTGTCACACATAGACATCCACTTGAGATATACACACATGGAGTTACACACACATATATCGACATACACACATACAGCGACTCACACAGAGACATACGTGGACTCACACACACATTGACGTAAACATACATATGTACTTAGTTTAACACGTAGGCTTTCGCGACCAATGTTATTCATAATCAACGATTTTTGGGTTTAGATCGCGTTTATTTATAAATGTGTCGTAACCCTCCACCACCCGACACGGCCAATCAGTAAAAAATGTGTCACGTTGACAAAGACAAATAGTTCACTGCTTTAGCCCACCGGTGTGTTGAAGCAACAACATTCACAATTTGAGTACGACGTTTCGCTGGTAATTACAACCAGCATCATCGGGCAATTCGCCAGAATGGTGAGGCTCTCCTGTGTCTCCCGTTCTTATATAGAGCAGCAGCAGGATGACGTCATCATTAACTCATTAACTCATCAGGTGCAAAGATTCAAGGGGGGAGTGATTGTAATTATATACTAGATTAGTAAGCAGGCTATTGTTACGATGCGAGTTGTAGATTAGTAATCATTTGGAATGTGTTTTATTGTGATTATGCTACATTAGTAATCTGTTAGTGGTTGTTTCCCTTATAAGTAATTGTAATGTATCTTATTTAATAATACGCTTCCAGGCCGCACTAAGCCTGTAGCTGTCTGAGCGATTAAAGTTATTTCTGTTTCTCTCAATTTCAATCGATTCTCTAATTAGTCTTTGCCAGTAGTAACTAGTTTTACACAACACTTCCACGTTGTCAAAATCAATTGAGTGTCCCTGTTGGCATGCATGTTCTGCTACTGCCGACAGTTGTGTTTGTGATAGTTTAATATTTCTCTGGTGTTCTTTAAGTCTTACACTAACGTTACGCCCTGTCTGTCCAATATAGCATCTGCCACATACACAATTAATCCGATATACACCTTCTGTTGATAATTTAGGTAATTCGTCTTTAGTGCACGTTACTAGTTGTTGAATTTTGTGTACTGTACCAAATCTTACTGTAATGTTTTGCTTTTGCAAAACACGGGCTAATTTATCAGTTACTCCTGAGATAAATGGTATTTTTATTGTTTTAATAATCTGATCGCTTTCAGCAGTGTTGCTTTGCGATCGTGATTTGGCTTTTAGTGCTCTGTTAATTTGAGCATTATTGTAGCCATTCTGTCTTAGTGCTTCTTTAACATGTTTAATCTCTCTCACTAGACTTTCACCATCTGACACTGTTCTAGCCCGATGTATGAGCGTCTTGATAAGAGAGGATTTCTGAGCTGGGTGATGATGCGAATCTGCATTCAGATAGGCATCAGTGTGCGTTGGCTTTCTGTAAACGCTGTGTGTTATTTTACCGTTTGGGCCATGCCCAAGTAAAATATCCAGGAACGGGAGTGTGTTATTCACCTCCATTTCCATGGTGAACTGAATGGCCGGGTTTTGTGCATTGAGATGATTTAGAAAATCGTTAAGTGTATCTTTACCATGTGGCCAGACAACCAAAGTGTCATCCACATATCTAAGCACATTAAAACCATCCTTTTGGTTTAGATATGTGGATGACACTTTGGTTATCTGGCCACATGGTAAAGATACACTTAACGATTTTCTAAATCATCTCAATGCACAAAACCCGGCCATTCAGTTCACCATGGAAATGGAGGTGAATAACACACTCCCGTTCCTGGATATTTTACTTGGGCATGGCCCAAACGGTAAAATAACACACAGCGTTTACAGAAAGCCAACGCACACTGATGCCTATCTGAATGCAGATTCGCATCATCACCCAGCTCAGAAATCCTCTCTTATCAAGACGCTCATACATCGGGCTAAAACAGTGTCAGATGGTGAAAGTCTAGTGAGAGAGATTAAACATGTTAAAGAAGCACTAAGACAGAATGGCTACAATAATGCTCAAATTAACAGAGCACTAAAAGCCAAATCACGATCGCAAAGCAACACTGCTGAAAGCGATCAGATTATTAAAACGATAAAAATACAATTTATCTCAGGAGTAACTGATAAATTAGCCCGTGTTTTGCAAAAGCAAAACATTACAGTAAGATTTGGTACAGTACACAAAATTCAACAACTAGTAACGTGCACTAAAGACGAATTACCTAAATTATCAACAGAAGGTGTATATCGGATTAATTGTGTATGTGGCAGATGCTATATTGGACAGACAGGGCGTAACGTTAGTGTAAGACTTAAAGAACACCAGAGAAATATTAAACTATCACAAACACAACTGTCGGCAGTAGCAGAACATGCATGCCAACAGGGACACTCAATTGATTTTGACAACGTGGAAGTGTTGTGTAAAACTAGTTACTACTGGCAAAGACTAATTAGAGAATCGATTGAAATTGAGAGAAACAGAAATAACTTTAATCGCTCAGACAGCTACAGGCTTAGTGCGGCCTGGAAGCGTATTATTAAATAAGATACATTACAATTACTTATAAGGGAAACAACCACTAACAGATTACTAATGTAGCATAATCACAATAAAACACATTCCAAATGATTACTAATCTACAACTCGCATCGTAACAATAGCCTGCTTACTAATCTAGTATATAATTACAATCACTCCCCCCTTGAATCTTTGCACCTGATGAGTTAATGAGTTAATGATGACGTCATCCTGCTGCTGCTCTATATAAGAACGGGAGACACAGGAGAGCCTCACCATTCTGGCGAATTGCCCGATGATGCTGGTTGTAATTACCAGCGAAACGTCGTACTCAAATTGTGAATGTTGTTGCTTCAACACACCGGTGGGCTAAAGCAGTGAACTATTTGTCTTTGTCAACGTGACACATTTTTTACTGATTGGCCGTGTCGGGTGGTGGAGGGTTACGACACATTTATAAATAAACGCGATCTAAACCCAAAAATCGTTGATTATGAATATGTACTTACTCACACACATATGGACTAAGACACACACACATAGGCTTAGACACACATAGATAGACTGACACACAGCCCTACACACATACACATTGTGACACACAGACATCTACTTGAGATACACAGACATGGATGAACACACACATATGGACTCACACAAACGCATTGACTTACACACACACATCGAGTGACACACACATGTATAGACTTACATACACATGTGGACTAACACACACACATATGGACTGACACACACATACACATGGACGTACATGGCCACATCACAGATTGGCAGACCGTCGCAGCGTCATAAAAGCGCAGCAAAAAAGGTAAAATTTAGCAAGCTAAAAGTAAAGAGTTTTGTGCACCCAAACATTATTATTGTAATATCTCCCAACGTATTTGTTTGATAATAATAAGCGAATCAACGTGAGTTCTTATCTGCACACAAACATTATTATAGTAATGTTTGTCAACTAAATGTGTTTAATAATAGAAAACATTGGACTTGATTTGTTAGTGTAAGAAGCTTGGAAATTTGTACTTACCAAAGGCGTGTTGAGGCCTTGTGCCATGCGTAGCCCCCCTCCTGGCCTACATTGGCGAGGCGGCGGAGTTGGCACGTTGCCAGGCTAGGGGCTGGGCAGCTATCCCCCCCCCCAGCATCTCCCGCCCGTGCAAGAATAATGTTATGTAAGCAGTAAAATATTATTATCTAGGGAGTCTGTAGTATAAACTGGACACATCGTGTTGGGGGGGACGGGGACGAAGAGGACGTGACACTGTGAAGAAATATCCGCAGCGTCATGTGTGCATGTGTTGGCTTTAAACGCGTAAAAGGAAATATCCCTGTGAGATGGAGCCAAGGCGCATCACTTGGCAGGGTCCGTCCCCCCCACGCAATTGTCCTCAGTTGGTACGGTCGATGTCGTGCAATAAGTAAATAATGAATAATAGAAACGGCACAAATGTGTTAATTAAACTACTTTAAAGTTTATGGATGTGAAAACGGAATAGCCTATTCCCACCACAGGGCTTAGGGCGTGCCGCCTGGAAAATTATTTCGGTCTAAAACCCCACCGTCCGAGAGCCAAATCCCCCGCAAGCGCGAGCGCACGGAGACTTTTATATATAAAAAAGACTCTCGATCATTCCAATTTTACAAGCTTTCTTTGAACTCACTCTGTCTGTTGTTGTCGTTGTTGTTGTTTCGATTTAAAGCTTTCGTGACTGCAGGGATTCATCTTCTTCAGGAGACGGCTGCTTGCGTTGTAGCCGAAACGTCGTGAGAATTATTTTATTTTATTATGTTTTATTTTTATTATTTTATTACTTCCCTTCTACGTGACTTTACCGAAAGAACCAAGAAGAAGTTGTTGTTGTTGTATCCTTAAATCTTGTAACTAAATTTTAACCCACTTACCAATGTGGTATCGACTGCAAACTTGGTATATTTATGTCGTACTGATGACAACACTATATTCTATCATAAAAAAGACATGTTTTTAAACATTCTTTTTTAAATGTTATGTTTCGGCTTGGGTCTAATTGTCCACGCTCAACTGACGTTGGCTGTAAATCACCACGGCCCCTTACGTTATGGCAAGCTTCAGGGCCACTTCCTAGAGTCGTGGAGTTCTGCCATTACTCGTACGGTACATTTCATAAAAGCGTTTTTTTTTTAGTTTTTTTTTTATATTACTTATTAAATGGACTGCGCCACGGAGCTTTTAGCGGTAAACAAGGTACCGTATTTACCGGGTAATACTTCGCGCTAACTTTACCCTACCGCCTAATTCTACCAAGCTACCTTTACCCTACCCTTTACCTTACCCCATGGCATGTCGACACCTTTACCTTTTACCCGGTAAAAAGGGTAAATTACCTTACCTTGCCGAGGCCTACTGCAGAAGAGTGAGTGTGTGATTCGTTGTGCCCGTCGCATTCAAAAGGTGTGTGGACAATCGCAGCTGACTCACTTCTGTATTGAGCAGGCAACGGTGTTGCACTGAACGGAGATCTCGGCCGGAACGATGCATCGGGGCCTCGTCTATCATCACGAGCATGAGGAGAGAGGTGAGTGGTGACGAGTGGCTCGTCACCTACCTCACCACCGTAGTTCTCAACGCTTTGGCGACTTACGAGCTGTTCTGCCATGTAGGCCCGTACACCGTATTCCCACTGGAACATCCCCGGATGGGCCAGAGAACGAATAATCGCCCACACCTCAAAGTGCGGCCAGCCTAACAATACGGACGGGTTTCCGTGCCGAACCAGATCCTAACACCGCAATGTGCTGACCTTGCGCGGCGTCACAATCTGGCTTGGCATCAATCAGGGCCAAGAGCGGGGCTAACGGCGCCGTTCATTGTGTGTGGCGTCGTCAGGCCGTCTACATACGCCTCGACTTATTCAGTGGCCTGGCGCTGTGCCGGGCTGGCTTGGCACGGCCCCGGCCCGGTTGTTGCAGTGGAAAATGATGACGACGCCATCTTACCCGGCTAGGTCGAATGCAGTGGTTCTTAAACCTTTACTGCAGCCTTGCATCCCTTTGGTTTCTCAATCATAAGAAAAAATGTAATAATGTTAATATATACATAGGGTTTGATGAAACAACGTAGTTGTACTTTTGTGCCCGTGCGTTGTTTCGATGATTTACCTTCTAAAAAGAAGATGGCCATGTCTCGCACCCTCAGCGGGTGCGTGCACCCCAGGTTAAGGACCACTACTCCAGTAGTAGCTGATGCCTTGAACAACAAGCAGTACTCTCTCGTCTCTAAATGTCGAAAGTTATGGCCACAACAGTGAGGAGGATGCTGCTGCTACTCACGGTGACGTGTTACTTATAATGGTGGTGGTTCTGGTGGTGATGCGAATTCGTTATGGTGTTGGCGGTCACGTTGGATATTTTGCCGCCGATAAACGATAGTTCCGCCACTGATCAATGATTTCCCGCTCCTGTGGTCGCTTCCAGTGGTGCCTCTGCGAAGCGTTGCCGTGAAGGTGTTGGTGCAGGGCTTCGTGGCCGACGTGGTGGCCTCCATGATCTACCACAACAAGGAGGCCTTCCCCGTCGAGCCCTCCTACTTTTTCCCGCTCAACGACGACTCGGCGGTGCACGCGTTCCGCGCCCGCGTCGGAGACCGAGAGATCGTCGCGGCAGTAAAGGAAAAATCGGAGGTGCGCGTGTGTGTGCGTGTCTGTGTGTGTGTGTGCTTGTCTGTGTGTGTGCGTGCGTGTCTGTGCGTGTATGTGCATGTGTGTCTGTGTGTGTGCGTGCGTGTCTGTGCGTGCGCGTGTGTGCGTCTGTGCGCATCTGCGTGCGCCCAAGTGTATTGGGGAGCGGTGGTGCAGCGGTTGGAGCTACGCTGCTCTGCGAACCCAGCGAGCCGAGTTCGATCCCTGCTCATGGCCAAAACCAGGGACGATAATCTGAGTCGGTCCTGGGCCTCCCTTAGGTCGACTCAGCATCAAATGAGTACCTGGTGCAGTGTGTTAACATCGCCAAAGAGAAGTGGTGCTGGCCACCCACCCTCTCGTGTGCTGTGCCGGCCTTCATAGTTGCTTGCTAACAGTACATGCCCCAACAGCCTTTTAAGGCTTTGTCTTTGCATGTGGAGTGAGTTCAACTCACTCGCAGACGTTATTCTTTAGAGGCAACACATTTATTATAACACGTATATACAAAGGGGTAACTGTCCCTTTACCAGATACAGCCTAGGGTGGTGACCACCCAGCTAACTACACTATATGGAGGAGTTACGGCCACGTGTTGATGCCTTGTAGGGCGTGGAATTTCCAGCTTGTAGAATTAATCGACCCCGGTCCCTCTCAAAGACCCACCTTATATCCTCCCGGGTCGGGGCTGGCTCCGCCCAGGCCCCGCCCGCCTTCTCGAACGTTCTAGCTCCCTCTCTCTAGATCCCTCTCGAGAGCTCTCCCCAGACACGTGATCACCCTCTAGCCCCCCTAACCTGGGGCCCTCTCTGTGGACACTCCGGATCACGTGTCTACGGGGTCAACTAGAGTGCCATGGCCCAGGGCAACCCTGCCCCTGGGCTGACAAGCTCCCCCTTGTGGGAGCCCGCACTCCACACTATGTGCAGTGCCTATGCTATCCCAGTGCTCACCAAGCCCCGCTAGAGCTGGTACTACACCCATCTACGGGGTGTACGCGATGACAATGCATCGCACGCCGTGCGATAGTAAAGCCGGCATCACACAGCAACCCGCCCAGTGCTGTCCGCGACGTAGGAACATCGCACGCCACGACCCTCCCGTGCCGGCACCATTCGGTGACATCCCTGATGTCACTACACATGTGGAGTGACATCGCAGATGTCACTGTGTAATGCCGGCCCTAGAGAGGCACGGCGTGCGGTGTATTGACATCGCGGGCACAACGAATATGTGGGTATAGTACCGGCCCTAGAGGGGCTCAATGAGCGCTGAGTGGCACCACGCTTGGCGTGCAGTGCCGACCGCTACAGGATAGGGTGTGAGAGTGCCGGCTACGGAATGGGGTTACTATAGGCCGTGGCACTCTGGTTGACCCCGAAGGCCACGTGACTGGTAAAGTCTACACAGGGCCCTCAGGTGGGGGCTAGGGGTGGTCACGTGTCAGGGTCGAGATCCTGCTCGAGGATTCTGGAAGGTGGTCGTGGCCATTGGCGGAGCCAGCCACGACTGAAGAATCTACGTTCTACATTCTACGTCCTACAGTCACCAACTGCACTAGTTACCGTGTAATTAGTGCAGTTAGCCTGGTGGTCACCACCATAGGTTGTTAATGTGATAAGGGGTAGTACCCCGTGTGTTGGTATTAATAAATGTGTTGCCTCCAAGAAGTGCATCTGCGACTCAGTTTAACTCCACATGTATGAAGTGGGGAGAGCACTGCAGTTGCCAAAGCACTGCCCTACGAACCTGGCTACCCGAGTTCGATTTCCACTCACGACCAATAACAGTGGCGAATATCTGAACCGGTTCTGGACATCCCCTAGTTTGAATGAGCCTCAAATGAGTGACCTGGTATGATAAGTAAACATCGCCACTGGGGAAACAAAGGCGGCCGGGCGTGGTGCTGGCCATATCCGCCTTCATAGGTGCTCACCAATAGCGCTTGCCTCTTCAGCGTGTTATAGGCTACACGGGCGATCTTTGTCTTATGAGTTATACCACCACACTTATCCATTATCATCGACGAACTTCCAATGATGTATTTATGAGCCGCAGTGTCCCACGTAAAACGAGAGCACACGATGCACACAGCTGCGTACTAAACGAACCCAAACTCCACGTCCACGGCACGCACGGCCTGCAGGTTATTCCAGTTGTGGTTTCCTTATTTTCAGGCCGACGAGGAGTACGATGACGCCATCGCCACGGGGCACATGGCGGCCCAGCTGTCGCAGGAGTGCGGCGACGTCTTCCACTGCGTGCTGGGCAACCTCGGCGCCGGCGAAGAGGCGGAGCTGACGCTCGAGTTTGTGTCGGAGTTGGACGTGGGGCCAGATGGCGCCGTTCGCTTCTGTCTGCCCACGGTGCTCAACCCCCGCTACTCGCCACACGGTACCGGCTTCTCTCTGTGCTCACGGAGTGGGGGGTGTGCGGGGTCTTGGAACCACGTTGTGGTTCGGCGTCGTAGCGGTGGTTGCTACCATGGCAGCATTCAGCCACATTCGCGGGCACCCTTCATTGGGAACGGTGTGGTGCTTCCTGAGCCAATCAAGCGGCCATCTGGGGTATTACTGCGGGCGTGATAACCCTACAAACAAAAAAGTAATACAGGTAGGAACAATGTTCCACACTGCCCACCAGGGATTTTTTGTCTGTCTGTCTGTCGTGCATAAATAAATATATAATACAAGCAGCTCTTTGATTGGTGGAAACCTACTGCCGGATACGGAGAGGGGAAGGGCCTAAGGGAAGGGGAGTCAGGGGAGGGGCCTAAGGATATGGGGGGGGGGGTGGTCAGAGGAGGGGCCTAAGAGAGGGGGGGTCAGCGGAGGGGCCTGAGGGAGGGGGGTAAGGGGAGGTGCCTAAGCAAGGGGGAGGGGCCGATAGTTAAGGGGGTTGAAGATGTCGGGGAGGGTGGGGGGAAGGTAAACATGCCCACTCATCCAACTGCCCCCCCCCCCCTGAATGCCGCGCTGAGTGTGTGTGTGAGTCTGAGAGTGTGAGAGTGAGTGTATGTGTGTGTGAGTCTGAGAGTGTGAGGGTGAGTGTGTGTGTGAGTCTGAGAGTGTGAGAGTGAGTGTGTGTGTGTGTGAGTCTGAGAGTGTGAGAGTGAGTGTGTGTGTGAGTCTCAGAGTGTGAGAGTGAGTGTGTGTGTGAGTCTGAGAGTGTGAGAGTGAGTGTATGTGTGTGTGAGTCTGAGAGTGTGTGTGTGAGTCTGAAAGTGTGAGAGTGTGTGTGTGTGAGAGAGTGAGTGTGTGTGTGTGCGAGTCTGAGAGTGTGAGAGTGAGTGTGTGTGTGAGTCTGAGAGTGTGAGTGTGTGTGAGTGTGAGAGTGAGTGTGTGTGTGAGTCTGAGAGTGTGAGATGTGAGTGTGTGTGTGTGTCTGAGAGTGTAAAAGTGAGTGTATTTGTGTGAGTCTGAGAGTGTGAGAGTGAGTGTGTGTGTGAGTGAGAGTGTGAGCGTGAGTGTGAGTGTGTGTCTGAGAGTGTGAGTGTATGTGTGTGTGAGTCTGAGAGTGTGAGTGTATGTGTGTGTGAGTCTGAGAGTGTGTGTGTGAGTCTGAAAGTGTGAGAGTGTGTGTGTGAGAGTGAGTGTGTGTGTGTGCGAGTCTGAGAGTGTGAGAGTGAGTGTGTGTGTATGTCTTAGAGTGTGAGAGTGAGTGTGTGAGTGTGGGAGTGAGTGTGTGTGTGAGTCTGAGAGTGTGAGATGTGAGTGTGTGTGTGTGTCTGAGAGTGTAAGAGTGAGTGTGTTTATGTGAGTCTCAGAGTGTGAGCGTGAGTGTGTGTGTGTGAGTCTGAGAGTGTGTGTGAGTGTGTGTGTGTGAGTCTGAGAGTGTGAGAGTGAGTGTATGTGTGTGCGAGTCTGACAGTATGACAGTGTGTGTGTGTTTGTGAGTCTGAAAGTGTGTGTGTGTGTGAGCGTGAGTGTGTGTGTGTGCTAGTCTGAGAGTGTGAGAGTGAGTGTGTGTGTGAGTCTGAGAGTCTGAGAGTCTGAGAGTGAGTGTGTGTGTGAGAGTGAGTGTGTGTGTGTGAGTCTGAGAGTGTGAGAGTGAGTGTGTGTGTGAGTCTGAGAGTGTGAGAGTGAGTGTGTGTGAGTCTGAGAGTGTGAGAGTGAGTGTGTGTGTGTGAGTCTAAAAGTGTGAGAGTGAGTGTGTGTGCGTGAGTCTGAGAGTGAGTGCATGTATGTGTGAGTCTGAGAGTGTAAGTGTATGTGTTTGTGAGTCTGAGAGTGAGTGTGTGTGAGTCTGAGAGTGTGAGAGTGAGTGTGTGTGAGTCTGAGAGTGTGAGGGTGAGTGTGTGTGTATGAGTCTGAGAGTGTGAGAGTGAGTGTGTGTGTGAGTCTGAGAGTGTGAGAGTGAGTGTATGTGTGTGTGAGTCTGAGAGTGTGAGAGTGAGTGTGTGTGTGAGTCTGAGAGAGTGAGTGTGTGTGTGTGAGTCTGAGAGTGTGAAAGTGAGTGTATGTGTAAGTCTGAGAGTGTGAGAGTGAGTGTGTGTATGTGTGAGAGTCTGAGAGTGTGAGGGTGAGTGTATATGTGTGTGAGTCTGAGAGTGTGAGAGTGAGTGTATGTGTGTGTGAGTCTGAGAGTGTGAGTGTATGTGTGTGTGAGTCTGAGAGTGAGTGTGTGTGAGTGTGAGAGTGTGAGAGTGAGTGTGTGTGAGTCTGAGAGTGTGAGGGTGAGTGTGTGTGTGTGAGTCTGAGAGTGTGAGAGTGTGTGTGTGAGTCTGAGAGTGTGAGAGTGAGTGTATGTGTGTGTGAGTCTGAGAGTGTGAGTGTATGTGTGTGTGAGTCTGAGAGTGTGAGAGTGAGTGTGTGTGAGTCTGAGAGTGTGAGAGTGAGTGTGTGTGAGTCTGAGAGTGTGAGTGTGTGTGTGAGTCTGAGAGTGTGAGATGTGAGTGTGTGTGTGAGTCTGAGAGTGAGTGTGTGTGTGTCTGAGAGTGTGAGTGTGTGTGTATCTCGGCCTCGCTGTGCGCTGCGTTGCACCGCTTAGTCGAGTAGATAACCTTGCGTTCAATAAACCCTCGGAGCCAGGATGAACGTCCAACTCCAATCGTCATTTATTGATTGTAACAAGGTAAAACTGGTGACAAAACACATATACAGCATCTGTTATAATCCGGAAACACCAACACAATGAACACCACAGCATCAGAACATTGTCTTAGATAACAATAGATCCTGGACGGACCAGGCCCCTACATTACCACTGAACAACTAGACAAAGGCACAAGCCGGTGCGTTGCATACAGGCACATCGTGTATTCATCCCACTGCACCCCAAATTTACAGCATTACACTTAACACTAAACTGTGGATGAGATACTTCGTCATCTTTACTCTCAGGATTGCAACATAGGCACAAGTCTGACTCGACCTACTAAATCACACGTAACATCCACAATAAGGAAAGTCGCAGGCTTCGTTACTAACTAGGCCTCGTATTTACTACAACAACTTAACGGCACCATAAAGGCATTTACATCACTATAACGGTCATTCCAACATTACAACAGCATTGCCAATATTATAGGAATATAAACAAACTTACAGATAATGCTTCTTAAGCTCCCACAATGGACAAGTGCGGCTGTGGTCTCACTGAGATGCGATGCGTGCCGCCATCTTGACTTATCTGTGTAATGGCCGACGCCCGCGTGGTACAGTGGAAATCTAACATCGTCACTTCCTGGTCACGTGACCAAAATTAGCATAAAAAAACAGGAACTTCCTGTGAACGTACGCTCCACATCTGCCGTGAGGCAAGACAGTGTGTGTGAGTCTCAGAGTGTGAGAGTGAGTGTATGTGTGTGTGAGTCTTAGTTACTTACAGTGTTATACAGGCAGGAACAACAGGTTCCACACTGCCCACCAGGGATTATGTGTCTGTCTGTCTGTCGTGCATATCCGGAATTCCGCCCACCCATGCACCTCCCCACCGAACACCAAGCTACGCCGCGATTGGTTGACGATGTTGGGGAGGGTGGGGGGGAAGGGTCAACATGCCCACTCATCCAACTGCCCCCCCCCCGAACGCCGCGCTGTCCACTCCGAAGGAACGTGTTTCAGTTAAATACAGTGATACCTCGATTCACGAACGCTTCGGTTCACGAACAACTCGGTTCACGAACAGAAAATTTCATAAAAATATGCTCCGGTTCACGAACTCCGCTTCGGTTCACGAACAGGAGCCACGGCAATTTTTATGCTAATTCCAGGCTGTCACATGGTCGTGACTTCCTGTAGGAAGATCGTGGAGAGAAGCAGAGACACAGAAATAAGTACTGTGAGTACTGTGAAAACACTTTCAGTGACTTTTTGATTTTTGGTGTGCTTTTTAGCACATACAGTACTGTACTGTACTACTGTACTGTACAATACTGTACTTACTGTATTGTACAGTTCACCCGTTTGAGTGCTTACTGTACTGGACTCCCAAACAATAACCGCCTCCCACCCGCCTCCCACCCGCCATCCTCCATGCCAGAAGTCATCTCAAGCAAGGTTAGTGTTCTCTCTTTATACATTACTATACTGTACAGTACTACAGTAATGTGTATTGTCATTTGTTTCATATTTTTGTGCTTCAAAAACCAAAAAAAAAGGTCAGAACGGATTAACCGGATTTACATTGAACCCTATGGGAAAATGTGCCTCGGTTCACGACCAATTCGGTTCACGACCAGAGTCAGTTCACGAATTAAGTTCGTGAACCGAGGTATCACTGTATCTCGTGACGTCATGCAATAAAATTACCCCATGTTCAAAGTTTTGATGCATGGCAACATAGCCCTCGACTGTGAATATTCTGTAGACTATTTAAAACTATTTAAACTCTTTATTTTACCAGGTAAGGCCCACTGAACTATATAGCTCTTTTTCAGAAGCAACGTGGTCACCACAACTTATAGCTGAAAAAAGTGGCTTATCACGTGGAAATTTATAGCAGCCAAATACTCTGTGTGTTTCTAAATGTGGAAGGAAAACCGGAGGAGCCGGAGAAAAATACCCGTGAACACGGGGAGATGACATGCAAACTCCAAATATACAGCAGGCGTCAGGGTCAGGATCGAACCCACGACCTCCTGCATTCCAGGCGAGGTAGTTAACATATCGCCACCTTGGCGAAGAAGGTCTTGCCACAAAGAGTGAAGCGTCAGCCATCACGCTAAACACGCAGCACAACTTTGGAAACGCATGGGAGAGCTATCACGCCACCGCTTTGTCGTTGCTAGGCTCGAGGATCCCGTGGGAGTACCTGGCGCCCTCGCAGAACGTGCCATACACGCTCTCCTTCACGCTCACGGCAGAGAATCCTGGAGGAATCCTCGACGTCTCCTCTCCCAGTGACCTCTTGGGGCCCGTGGCGTTCACCGAGCCTGGCAAAACCTCAGCCCAGGTGGGTCTCGCTGCTTACAGTTGCTGCTCTCTGGTAAAAGGAAATGTTGCAGCCGTGAAATGAAGTGTTCATGCAACTGCTGATGGAAAGGCCTCCGCCAGAGGGAGCTCTAGAGAACCTCTCTGGGTCTACTCTTCCACGCTGGACACACAACCTGTCGATTGACCAATTGTGGTGTACCTATTGATAGTGTGTGTGGTGACAGAGGGCTGGTCGAGGATTTAAGAAACTTGCGTCGTCATTCAGCGGGCACGCTGGGAAAATAAATGGAAAATGTTCGTCATGAAACAGCAGACTGCGACTGTAGTAGTCGTTGCAATACCAAAGGGTAAAATGTAAAGATATTAAAGTAAATGTTGAGTCCGGCTGAGATCGCACAAAGACGGTCGCTGCATCGTCCACATTTTTAGATTGTGCTTCTGTGGCCGTCTGGAATGCTCTTCCTTCCAATATTAGGAAGCCATTGCACTTTAAAATCTATATTGAAAACGAGTTTCTTTTGAATTGCTTTTTGTGTTTAGTTTGTTGTCCTTCCCACACACCTCCGATAAGCACGTTTGGCTACGCACAGTGCAAAAGAAGTTCAGCATACTGTACATACATCGCAAATCTAGGGGCATGGCAGTGGTTACTAGGGGTAATGACGTGACGCCCACTGCACCAGCCAAATATCTGCAAGGAAGACGGTACCATGCATGAAGTCACTCCATGCAAAATGATCGCCATAATGTCATTGCTTCATACGCTTCAACAGGTATGCTGCTGCGGTGAATATATTACGGTGACGTGGCCTATGGTAGCCAGGCCACATTACTGCATTATATTCGTGGAGCTATCATTTGTTTCCAGGTCGCTTCTGAAAAAAGCTATATAGCTCAGTGGGCCTTACCTGCTAAAATAAGTGTTAGTTTAGTTTATTAATCAATGCTGCCTGTGGAAGATTATTCGAATCTAGTCGGAAGACAGATGAACCAACATGAGCATCGTCTCACAAGCAAAAACCATAAACATTTAGGTGATCAGTCCACATAAACTTTCCTTGGCCAGCCACGTTGTCCACATGTCCAAGTCCAGATTCCCAAATGAAGGTGTATTCTCCCAGCTTAGTCAAGGCATAAGACTCAAGAGGAGGGCAGAGAAGGAACTTAAAAGATGTCCTCAAGGCCAACATGAAGAAGTGGTGGAAGAAGCTGTTGCAAGGATCTCTGCACTTGAAAATTCTACGATTATGACAGGCGCAGGAAAAGCGGGAGTGGCAGGAACAGTGCGTTGGAGACTAAATCAACAACCCAGGGGCACCCAACCCGCTCGAAAACACGCGCCCGAGCTGCGACTCGAGATTCTGTCAATCCTGTCGTCTTTGCATCCACAGATAGGACATTGATGGAAAGACAATCATCCTCGACTGCGGGGGATTGCCGATATGCCACAGCATCTCAAAGCAGCGTACAGTACACATACCAGGGAAATACAAAATGACAAAGTTTAAAAAGGGGGGAAATATAGAGGGGGAAAAAAGAGAATATTTTATTTAATATTCTCAGACATTCGTTTTCTTAAAGGCTAATCACTATTCTCAGATGGGGGTTGGAGGCATAGCGCAACTATTAATAAGTGAGCTGAGACGATCAATCTGGACACTCGAAAAAACCACGTTCACACTTAGAAGGTCGTGACAAATGCATGCCTAACCCACGACTCTGTCCCAAATGCAGGATCTCAGATGTTTGCTCAATGTACTTACTAATCATTAGGGTATAATTTTTTCACGATACTGTGCGACATGAAATGTTACGATAGGAAGATTATCATCATAGCAGTTTTCCATGACTTTGCAATATCATGTTTATTGTTTTGTTCACGAGCTTTGAATAATATTTACGAATAACAAACACTTAAAGTTTCCTCAACAGCAGCTCACTCAACATAAGCCTGTCATTACTCTTCTAATCATTATAACAATATACAACGCACATGCTTTCTGTTACATTATAAGAATATATCATGTTAATGTTTTTCGACTGTGGTTTATAACCATGCCTTATGATGGCTACACACCCCTGTCTCTCATATTGAGGACTGCCTATAATGTGTTTATTCACTCTGATATGTTGAGAAAAGTGTGTCATCTAGCAAACCCTGAAAACAGTGACTGTGTGTTCTGAACTCCCCAACAGGTGTCTCTGGAAGGAGACTTCAGGTTTGATCACGACATTGAGGTCCTGATTAGCTATGAGCAGAAAAATCAACCTTTTGCACTCGTGGAGCCTGGCCTACCAGTGTCAGGTGAGCACGTGGTGGTCGGGGGAAATGCATTGGGGCTGTACGAGCGGTGCGATGGAGCAAGGCGGTGCAACCCCCACTGGTGTCTGTTCGCAGCAGGAGGCCCTCGTCCCTCTTGGGCTTAATAGTAGGCAAATGTTAAAAGCTACTACGCAGGGTGTTGTGCTTGTATGTATGTTCGTATGAAGAATGTTGAACTACTTTCGTACCGTACGTAGCCAGCCGTGCTAATCGGAGGTGCAGGGGAAGGACAACAAACTTAAACACAAAGCAGTTTTAAAGAAATTAGTTTTCAATCTAGATGATTACAAGTGCATAGCTCCAGTGGCTTCATAACATCGGAAGGAAGAGCGTTCCAGACGGCCGCATAAGCGGTGACCGTTTTTGTTTGATGGTTAGCTAAAAGCCGCTGCAAGGATGACCAGAGTATGCATGATGGTTTATGCTCTTTGACGAGATCAGCAAGGTTTTGTGGTTCATTTGTGGCAAGTATTTTGTGTGTAATGAGTGCAACCTCTATAATGGTTGTGCTGGAGGCTATGCCATGCTTTCGTGACTGTGCCACTGTATTTGTACAGTGTGGTGCCGGTTGAATGACAAAATAATTTTTCAACACAATTATCACTTAAACTATATACACCCATCTAATCCATAATGAGATAAAAAAAGAAATAATCTACAGCTGTGGACATCCTCAAAGAAGACGACACAGATATGGAACGCGGCATTCATTGTTCTCGGACGATGGAGAGTGCCCTGCGTTGTTACAAGGCGCTATACCACACCAAAGAGGAAAACAAATCCATCCAGGCATCTTTAGATGTTTTCCTTAAACTTCGTACATCACACGCCACTTTGGCGAGATGTTAACTACCTCGCCTGGTATACAGGAGGTCGTGGGTTCGGCCCCGACCCTAACGCCTGTATATTTGGAGTTTGCATGTTTTCCCCGTGGATGCGTGGATTTTTCTCCGGGTCCTCTGGTTTTCCCCTCCACATTTAGAATCAACGCGCATTTAGATAATTTAGCTGCTATAAAATTTCCACATTATGATAAGCCACTTCGTTGTGCTATTTGTGATACAGATGTTGCGTCTGAAAATGAGCTTTATAGCTCAGTGCGCCTTACCTGGTAAAATAAAACACAATTTAGTTCCTAGTTTTAGTTTAGATTTAGTCATGCCAACATGTAGATCTTTTTGTAAGTTCCCTGAAGAGGTATTCACATAATTTTTGTATTGTAAAAAGTGAAATAGGTGTATATTTTTAGGTTAGGAGTAGAGTTGGAATGACTGTCCGAAACACATCTCTAATTTTTAGTTCAGTTTGAAGTTCATGGGAAAAGCCATTCCGATTTACGAAGTATAATTTTACGTGTGTTTTTTTAAGTACGCAAGAGGTGGGCTGGTATAATACATGAGGACCGCTGGTGCCAGTACCGTACAGTCATGACTGGCACCAGAATCAGCCACTGTGGAGGGGGCTCATGAATGATGTTACTGGGCAGTTAGACGCAGCCGATCTCCAATAGCAATGCGAGACGGAGGAGCATCTGCCAGTCAACTCGGTTAACCCATAAAACCTGGTATGTTCCGTAACCTGTCAGAGTTGACGTGTTGCGTTGTTAGTTTTGCGGTGTTGATAGTGTCATTAGTTCTGTTGGTGATACTAATGGTGGTTTAGTTAGGTGGTAGTTGTGACTATGAACATTGCTGACGTGGTGGTGGAGGTGATGGGGTTGTTGGTAGTTTTCGCGGCGATGGTCATAAGAATTGTTTGTGGTGGTATTGGTCATGTTCGTGATGGTTGGTTTTGGCAGCAAGAGTGTTTGTTTTGTTGGTGGTTTTGGTGAAGATTGTGGTGATGGTGCTGGTGATAGTCATAATGTTGACGCTACTTCCGATGTTGCTGCTTATGATGACGTTGGTATTTGTTTCCCAGAGGTCTCATTCTTGGCGGACACCGTGGCTATGCTGAACTTCTCCCCGGGTAATATGGAGCAGACTGCAGTGCCAACCTCCGAGCATGGGGAGTTCATTTTTATCATCGACTGCTCAGGCAGTATGAGGGGTCAGCCTATCGCAAATGCCAAGGTACCACAAACACTCCTCTGGAATATTGTCAGGTCCACATGAATATATCACGTTAAGTAGGTCAATTGGATCTCATTTCCACTGTACAAATGAACCATGCCAGTGCTGCGCCAAACCCGCCATATTAATGCGGCGAGTTCTTAGGACTCCAAACAATCCTCATTATTATGCACATTACTACCGAAATATTCGTGCTCACTTTCTCCTGTCACATGCCATGACAATGGAGCAGGACAATTCCTCACCACTGACGTCAGTTCCAGTCCCATGTCCTCATCGTGGGAGACGTGTCGTGTCATGAGTATAATAAGCCAGCTGAAAATACTGGCTTACGGGCTCTGCTCTAGGGTTGTGGAGCTCCAGGTGTAGTGCAGCCATGTGCAGCAGCAAATAAGGTCTGAGGAGAAGCCTTCATTAGGCTAAATGGCATCCACGAACACTGAGAAGCAGATACCGGTCAGTCTCTATCAACCACTATACCATATGACGCCAGGAGGCACACAAGTAAAATAAAAAATATATATACAGTGAGGGAAAAAAGTATTTTATCCCCTGCTGATTTTGTACGTTTGCCCAATGACAAAGAATTGATCAGTCTATAATTTTAATGGTAGGTTTATTTGAACAGTGAGAGACAGAATAACAACAAAAAAATCCAGAAAAACGCATGTCAAAAATGTTATAAATTGATTTGAATTTTAATGAGGGAAATAATTATTTGACCCCCTCTCAATCAGAAAGATTTCTGGCTCCCAGGTGTCTTTTATACAGGTAACGAGCTGAGATTAGGAGCACACTCTTAAAGGGAGTGCTCCTAATCTCAGCTTGTTGTCTGTATAAAAGACACCTGTTCACAGAAGCAATCAATCAATCAGATTCCAAACTCTCCACCATGGCCAAGACCAAAGAGCTCTCCAAGGATGTCAGGGACAAGATTGTAGACCTACACAAGGCTGGAATGGGCTACAAGACCATCGCCAAGCAGCTTGGTGAGAAGGTGACAACAGTTGGTGCGATTATTCGCAAATGGAAGAAACACAAAAGAACTGTCAATCTCCCTCGGCCTGGGGCTCCATGCAAGATCTCACCTCGTGGAGTTGCAATGATCATGAGAACGGTGAGGAATCAGCCCAGAACTACACGGGAGGATCTTGTCAATGATCTCAAGGCAGCTGGGACCATAGTCACCAAGAAAACAGTTGGTAACACACTACGCCGTGAAGGACTGAAATCCTGCAGCGCCCGCAAGGTCTCCCTGCTCAAGAAAGCACATATACATGCCCGTCTGAAGTTTGCCAATGAACATCTGAATGATTCAGAGGACAACTGGGTGAAAGTGTTGTGGTCAGATGAGACAAAAATGGAGCTCTTTGGCATCAACTCAACTCGTCGTGTTTGGAGGAGGAGGAATGCTGCCTATGACCCCAAGAACACCATCCCCACCGTCAAACATGGAGGTGGAACATTATGCTTTGGGGGTGTTATTCTGCTAAGGGGACAGGACAACTTCACCGCATCAAAGGGACGATGGACGGGGCCATGTACCGTCAAATCTTGGGTGAGAACCTCCTTCCCTCAGCCAGGGCATTGAAAATGGGTCGTGGATGGGTATTCCAGCATGACAATGACCCAAAACACACGGCGAAGGCAACAAAGGAGTGGCTCAAGAAGAAGGACATTAAGGTCCTGGAGTAGCCTAGCCAGTCTCCAGACCTTAATCCCATAGAAAATCTGTGGAGGGAGCTGAAGGTTCGAGTTGCCAAACGTCAGCCTCGAAACCTTAATGACTTGGAGAAGATCTGCAAAGAGGAGTGGGACAAAATCCCTCCTGAGATGTGTGCAAACCTGGTGGCCAACTACAAGAAACGTCTGACCTCTGTGAAACCTAACATTAAAATTATAGACTGATCATTTCTTTGTCAGTGGGCAAACGTACAAAATCAGCAGGGGATCAAATACTTTATTCCCTCACTGTAAATGTAATTCACAATTTGTTAAACATTTAGCTTCAGTGAGCAGTGACATGGCTGCTAACACACTTAATGCTCATAATAATGAAGATTAGCCCATGTGTGCCGCAGTCAGTCCAAAGTTTAGAAAATTACTCTCAAATTGCATTACGAAAATCACATGGCAACATCGCCCCCTACTGTGAATCTACTGTAGATTATTTAAAACTATTTAAACTTTTCTTTTACCAGGTAAGGCCCACTGAGCTATATAGCCATTTTTCAGAAGCGACCTGGCAACAAATGATAGCTAAACGAAGTGGCTAATCACGTGGACATTTATAGCAGCCACATACTCTCAACGCGTGTTGATTCTAAACGTGGAGGGCAAAACCGGAGTATCCGCCTGTGAAGCATAGCACCTGCTAAGGACGCGAATAACAAATGCACGAATTATTTGAATGTGAGTGTTTGTTGCTGAGTTTGTATTTCCGCATTGTGTCTGTAGGAAACGTTGATTCTGCTCATAAAGGGTCTTCCCATGGGTTGTTTATTCAACATCTACAGATTTGGCACCCGATACATATCCCTTTTTGGGTGAGTTTGTTGCGCGAAGGAAATAAAATTAGCTAAACTTGTTTGGAGTAAAAAAAAATGTTGATGTATATGGTGATTTCAGCAGCACGTCAGTCCTGCAGCAACACGTAAAGTTCCAACCACGTGGGCAAATGGCACAGGGGCTGATAGCCTGTGTCAGTCTGGGTTGACTTCCTAAAGGGTAGAGGTGCATCCCTGGAATTGCTCGCTCGTGCCACCGCTGAAGGAAGGGCCTCTGCTAGCGGAAGCTCAAGGGGCCCCCTCTAGAGCGTATATAGCTGACACTTCCGGACGTGTGGGAAGAGTCTCCTTTGTTATTCACCCTTTCCCGTTCCGAGACGCTTGCAAGTTGCAGGGGTGGGTGTCCCGTTCACCGCCGAATCTCGGAACGTGCAAGCGGATCGGCGTTAATTTAATTCAGAGAGGCGTAGCACCGCTGTTTTAAAAGACATTGCACTCACCGCAGAGAACTGTAGCGACACAACCCCACTCTATGATAGCTGGCGCCAAACTGTGCCACACGCCCTCCCGCACGGCCTTTACTTCTGATTCAGAAGACCGATGATGTACACGTACGCCATCAGAATGTGAAAAGGTTAATATTCTCGAGAGCAAGGCTTTCCTCGGTAAAGGGATGCTTCCAGCCACACTGGGTTACCAACCCACACGTCGCCTGCCCGATCTGATCTCCTGGCATGGCAGTTGAGTCAATGGGCAAGTTTCTTCACCGCGCCCCCCACTTTTGGTCCACCCAGCAGCATAAATGGGGATACCACCATTAGTCAATCGGCAGGTTGTGTGCGGTTGGGTAAAGTATGGGTACTCCCACCTTTTCCAAAGATGCTTGAACGGCATGGAAGAGTAGGCCTAATACTCTTGGGCAGGGTGGTTTTACGTGACCAAACTTCACAATGCCCGTAAATTTGGATTGGTGGAGGGAGAGAGGTCTAAACCGGTTCTGGTATCACTTGCCAATAGTGTTAGCCTTGACCGAGAATCGAATTGGGGTCACCGATTTATAGTGTTGTGCGCTCCCCACCCACCTATCTACCTTACCACCTTTTATTATAAGAAACCGAATGAAGCAGGTTCCAAATCCAAAATTAATTTCCACGCAAAATGTTTCTTAGCGAGAGCACGCCGTACGACCAGCAGACAATGGAGGCCGCTCTGGCACACGTGAAGGGCACGAACGCTGACATGGGTGGGACAAATATCCTGGAGCCTCTGGCGGACATCTACAGACAGCCCTGCAAGCCGGACCACCCCCGCAAGGTACACGTTAGAGCTTGGGTCGCCACCTGTGCTGGTCTTCGCAGAATATTGTCTGAGATCCTTAACTGACAAACAAACTTGTCCCCTTTAATTTACGAATGAAGCTTACTAGCCAGCGTTGAAATGCACCACAGTTATTCCATCACAGTCACGTGATGCGGTAACGTTAGTTATGATGACTTTTCTTGCCTCGTGTGATTGCAGCTCTTCTTGCTGACTGATGAGATGGTTATGGACACAGAAGGTGTTATAAAAAAGGTGAAAAATCACTCCATGGACCACAGGTAATCTGCCACGCATCAACCATTATGTAATGTTAAGAAACGTATTTGGAGTCCTTTGACAGCCTTTGTTGAAATCACTCACAATGCACCCAAAACTGCCAGACTTTGGAAGCTAAACAAGGTGGATCCTGGACTTCGCTTGGAACTGCTTTTTGTTTTTAGTTTGTTGTCCTTCCCCCGCACCTCCGATTATCACGTTGGCTACATATGGCGTGAAAGAAGTTCAACATACATAGGCGAACCTCCAAGCACAAGTACTGGTGCAGTAGGCGTCGTGGGCAATAGAGGGCATCATCATCATCACGACCTATGGGCAGATAGCTCTGTAGGTGTCCACTGCACATGTCGTCATTTGTTTTCACTTTCCTCTGTCTTGTGCCAATATGCTAAAGTAGTACGCACATCTTGCTGGCATCAATGGGCAATAGAGGGCAGCGCAACAAAAAATCAACGTTGGCGCCATCCTCCCCGCAACACCTTCATCAGCGCAGTGATCGAATACAGCCGTGTCGTCTCGTAACGAGCAAGATAGTTCCGCGAAAATTGCTCAATAAGCGAACACTCGTTTAAACAATCACCGCATTTCCCATTGACTCCCCGTGTTTTAAACCTGCGATACGTTTCAGCCCCAAAAATGTTCAAGTTTTGGACACCCCTTTTATTTACGCAAATAGGTTACCGGACTGCTTAAAACTTGCCAAAATGTTTCACTGTACTTTAGAAGCAAGTGTGTGTACTGAGATAAAGACTACATTACTGCATCTGAATCTCTCGGATTTGTGAGCATCGATTAGAAATTACAGTTACACCACTGTGCACAAATGCTGCATTGGGTTTGGCTGGTTAATTGGTCGGGGCAGATATGCGACAGTATAGGTCATAATATAGTTTTTTTTGGGTCAGATCGCGTTATTTATAAATGTGTCATAACCCTCCACCACCCGACACAGCCAAACAGTAAAAAATGTGTCACGTTTTTCAAAAGGACAAAATAATTCACTTCTTTAGCCCACCGGTGTGTTGAAGAGAGAAACAACAGCATTTAAAAATTTGAATATGACGTTTCGCTGGTAATTACAATCAGCTTCATCGGGCAGGAATGGTGAAGCTCTCCTGTTGCTCCCGGTCTTAAATAGAGCAGCAGCAGGGTGACGTCATCATTTAATTCAATCTGGTGCAGTGATTCGAGGCAAAGAGGGGGAGGGTTTTGTAATTATATAGATTGGTAATCAATCAATTGTTATTCATTGGTATTTGTTTCCCTTATAAGGAATTGTAATTGTATTTATTTAATAATACGCTTCCAGGCCGCACTAAGCCTGTAGCTGTCAGAGCGATTGAAGTTATTTCTGTTTCTCTCAATTTCAATGGATTCTCTGATTCCAAAGAACACATGATGAGATGTTACTATCCTTTGTGCAAGCACTTCCAAGAGTTCATGAACAGTGAGCCTTGTGAAATTTGGGGAGCGCATCGTCAGTAGTGACCCTTTGGTTCCTAGGGTGTTTCGGCCTTTCATACTATACACCCTCCCCAAAGGCGGCCAGCGACAGGGTGATCAATCCTACGCTTGCGTCCCATTCCCAATTAGTCATAGGAGTTGCCTTGTTGTTGGTAGCCAACATCCCATGGGACTATGCATGGCAGGGGCGTCCTCCTCCCTGAGTCAAGCATTGTTGACTGCATACCTCCTGGCCCTCTCACTTTCGGGCCCAGCTGGGGTCTTTCCTCTTCATCCAGAGCCACTGACTGCTGCCTTCTGCCGCCTCCGATACAGCTTTGATTGCCGAACGCTGGCTCTGGCCCTTAATTCCCAGGTCTCTAAGCAGTCTGGTTGTAGATGTTGCCACAAAACCTCTGCAGCCCACCTCCACTGGTCGGACTTCTGTGTTCCAGCCATGATGCCGTGCTTCGGCAGCTAGATCGGCATAGCGCAGATGTTTTCGCTTATAAGCCTCATCTACTGAGTCCTCCCAGGGTACTGTGAGCTCAATGATGAAAGACCTTCTTGAGCGAACGGGACCAGAGCACCACGTCAGGTCTTAGGGTGGTGGTTGCGATCTCCGGAGGAAACACAAGTTGCCGGCCAATGTCAGCTAGCATTTTCCAGTCGCGGGCCAAGCGCAGCTGGTCTCGCTCTATTGGTGTAGAGCCGCTTTTCGGTGGTTTAGCCCCTTCGCGGACAAAGGTCGTCCGTAAGGGGTGTGATGCTGCTGGGGGTGGTAGGGAGTTGGTGGCAGCTCGCTTGTCCTCCAGGGCGGACGCAAGGTTTTTAAGGACTTGGTTGTGACGCCAAGTGTAGCATCCTTGGGTGAGGCTTGTTTTAGACCCTGTGAGAATGTGCCTGAGGTTGGCTGGCATGGAACAGAGGGCACAGTCCGGATCTTCACCATACCATTGGTGAAGATTAACTGGTGTTGGAAGGATGCCATATGTTGCTCTGATGGAGAAGCTCAACCGCCTCGCTTCCGTGGCCCACAGATCCTTCCAGCTGATCTTCCTCTTCTCCACACTGTCCCATCGAGTCCACTGTCCTTGTTTGGCAAGAGAGACTGCCTTGGCCCACCTTGCAGCCTCCTCCTGATGGCGTACTTCCTGCACTACCATCTTCCGCCGCTCTGGTGCAGTGGCCTTACTCCAAGCAGCACGGCTAGTTAGCCCAAGGCCTCCTCTCCCTTGCTGAACATGACCCACAATGTCAGCATGTCTGAGGGCTGCTGTTGCCTCCTGGACTGCTTTTCCTGGCCTCCATTTGCGCCCAGTTGCCAAGGTCGGCGCGTTGTTGCTCACCACTGGGTCTCGAGATTCATTCAGTGTCATCTGGAGCCTGGTTTTTGCACACTTGAATTCCTCGGTTAGACTGGTGAGGGGCAGCTTGAGGACACCATCTCCATAGAGGCCTATGGTGGTAAGGCATCGTGGAACTCCGAGCCACTTCTTTAAGTAGCTCGTGGCTCCTCTTTCCATCGTCTCCACTGTTGAGATTGGAACCTCATACACTGCTAGGGGCCACAACACCCGGGGTAGGAGACCAAACTGCAGACACCAGGCCTTTAACTTTCCAGGTAGCTGGGTGTTGTCGATGGACTGTAGGCTACTACTGATGTCTTTGCGCAGCTGTTGCACCTGGTCTTTGTCCTTCAGGCTTGCATCATACCACCTTCCAAGGCTTTTTACCGGCTGCTCAGACACTGTTGGGATTTGGTCATCTCCGATGAAGAATTTCAGGTCACAGAGTACTCCCTTCACAATCGAGATGCTGCGTGACTTGGATGGTTTAATCTTCATACGGGCCCAGCTGATGTTCTCCTCGAGTTTTCTGAGCAGTCTCCTGGTGCATGGGACAGTGGTGGTCAATGTTGTAATGATGTCCATGTAGGCTCTGAGTGGAGGGAGGCGAAAACCAGAGTCGACTCGCTGTCCACCAGCAACCCATTTTGAGGATCTGATGATAACCTCCATTGCCATTATGAATGCCAATGGAGAAATGGTACATCCCGCCATTATACCTACATTCAGGCATTGCCATGAGGTGGTGAACTCTGAGGTGGTGAAGCAGAACTGCAGATCCTGAAAGTACGACTTCACCAGGGTTGTGATGGTGTCCGGTATGTGGAAAAATCTGAAGGCAGACCACAGGAGTTCATGGGGCACAGAGCCAAATGCATTGGCGAGGTCGAGGAAGACTACATGGAGGTCCCTTTTCTCCACCTTGGCCATTTGGATCTGGTGCCAGATCATGCTGGAATGTTCCAAGCAGCCAGAGAACCCTGATATTCCTGCCTTCTGTACAGATGTATCGACGTACGCATTCCTTTGCAGGTACTCGGCCATCCTCTGGGCAATGATCCTAAAGAAGATTTTACCCTCGACATTCAGTAAGGAGATTGGGCGGAATTGGCTGATGTTCACTGCATCCTTCTCCTTAGGGATCAGGACCCCGCCTGCCCTACGCCACACTTTGGGTATTATCTTCTTTTGCCAAGCTGTTCTCATAAGCCTCCAGAGGAACCTCAGGACGTCTGGTGCGTTCTTATACACTTTGTACGGGACTCCATTTGGCCCCGGGGCTGATGCTGTTCTTGCCCTTCGAACTGTGTTTTCCACCTCTTTCCATGTCGGAGGGCTGGTCTCAATATGATGTTCCGGGGGTTCAATGGGTGGGATATCTGATGGGATGGCCAGATGTTCATGTCGCTTTGAGTCAAAGTTTGTTGTTCTCAGGTGCTCTTCCAGGTCTTTCTTTGTTGTTTTTAGAACTCCACTTTTTTCCTTCGTGAAGAGACTTTTAAGGAACTTGAAGGGATCTTTATAGAATCGAGTTCTAGTTTGTTCTTTCTTCCTTCTGCGCTTCCGTAGGTTCTCTGCTCTACGGAGGGATGCCAACCGGGTTTTGATGTCAGCCTGAAGTGCCTCTATGCCCTCCTTTTCCACTTCCGAGGCTTTCTTCCACTGTTTCTTAAGCTGTCTCCTTTCTTGAACGAGGCGCTTGATTTCTTGTTGCCTCCTGGAAACTGGTGGGGTTGGAACCTTTCTCCCGCCTTTTGCCTCTTGCACTCCAAAGCTTTCTGCCCCGTACTCATAGATGATGTCCCCCATCCTCTCCAACTTCTTCTCCACAGTGCCTCGAAGTTTCTCGAGGGTCAAGGTAAGGTCAGTATTCACTGTTTCCCACAACTTCTTGTCACTGGCGCCAGGCCACTTCACATACGGTCTGTGCCCTGGTAGTCTCCTCTCGATTGCAGGTCTCGGAGGCTGGGTGAGTTCCACTCCTGTTGTTGGTTCCACCTCAGTTGTTACTTCGGTGCTTGAGTTTACGTCCTCCATGACAGTGGTACTGATGCACTGCAAACTATGGTTTGCGTCCAGTTGCTGTGCTTCATTCGACTGATTTGATCGCTTTCGCAGAAAGTAATCAATGCGAGGCCTCTGTCTCTCTTTACCCAAACACCCCTTCTTCCCCTGGTGGATCCTCAACCCATGGTGTGATGTAACTTTCCTCCAACCACAGACACATACCTGCATCTGTTTGTGGCCTGCTGTTGCAGCGGAACTTGTGACAGTTGCTGTGGTGTTCTCTTGTGCTGTGCTCTCATTACTCGTAGTCGTTTCCGGTCCAGTCGTTACCATGTTGTCAGTCGATGAGTCATCTTCCGCCCCCGCTCTCGCAGACTCTAGGGGTATTCTCGTATGTTGACTTTCTGTAGCTAAATCGGGTGTTTTCAACATACTGCGAAGCATGGGAAACTACAGAAATGGGAAGCTAACCCATGACTGTCCCAGTGGGGTCTATTCCCTCCTGTCAGCCGTCTCTCCGTGCCGCCACAAGGACTTTCCCCTGTTGTCAGCTGATCTTTCTCAGCAGTCACTGGACAAGTCCAGATATTCAGATTCCAAAGAACACAGGATGAGATGTTACTATCCTTTGTGCAAGCACTTCCAAGAGTTCATGAACAGTGAGCCTGGTGAAATTTGGGGAGCGCATCGTCAGTAGTGACCCTAATTAGTCTTGGCCAGTAATAATTCGTTTTACCCAACACTTCAAAGTTATCAAAATCAATTGAGTGTCCTTGTTGACAAGCATGCTCTGCCACTGCCGATAGTTGTGTTTGAGACAATTTAATGTTTCTTTGGTGTTCTTATAGTCTTACGCTGATGTTGCGTCCCGTCTGTCCAATATAGCATGTCATGTACCCTATGGTCATGCAGTTATTGGTGATTTTTATTGCGTCGATGTCGGCTGCGGATGATGAGGATACCGCTTGTGCACAGGTGCTTTGCGATTGGGATTGGACAAGGTTTATCCACGCAGCTCATTAAGGAGGTAGCACGTGTTGGAAACGGCCTGTCAGAGTTTGTCACAAGCTGTGACTGGCTTCAGGCAAAGGTGAGGCACAGCAATCATCCCATATTATAGATGGCACAACACAAAAAACCATCCCAGAAGCTCATGCTTGCATCAGCGTCCTGAACTGCAAATTTGAGGTCTCTTGTTCAAGCCTTTGAATCAGTTTTTTTTTACAGCTGAGGAGTACAGTCTGCAGACAATACACAGAGTACCGCATGAAACACAAGATACTTGAGGATGATCTATAGTGTCTTGTGCCTGGTCTGTTACCCACCAGGGTGTGTTGTAGGACATTACTTAGTACAGTCATACTCTGTAACCGATGCTGTAACCTATACTTCGTAGCAATTTAATTTAACGTGTAATTAACCGAAAGAATTCAGGGTTAAAAATGTTTTCTTTCTCGGGTCTGCAGGTGTTGAGGATGCTCAAGTGCGCAATGCAGCCATTGCTGGGCAACCCCCAGCTGGAATGGTCTCTCCCGCCTGGCGTCGCTGCTACTGTGGTGCCCACACTTCCCAAAAGCATTTTCATGGGACAGAAGATGATCGTCTACGCGCAGTTCACAGGGACAGTAAGACTCACGTGAACCTCACTCGACACATGGAGTGTGTGCGAATTTGGGTTTAACACGTAGTAGGCCTTTCGCGACCAATATGCATAATAGAGTTTTTTCTGGGTTAGAGAGCGTAAATATAAACGTGTCGTTTAACCCACCACCACCTGACGCAGTCAATTAGTAAGGTTTGTCACGTAAACAAAACTTGCCAATTAGTTACTAGTTCAGCACACCGGTTGTGTTTTGGAGAGTAAACCCGCTGCAAGATTTACAATTCGAGTATTGTGATGTTTCTCCTGTAATTACAACCAGCCTGATTGGGCTACGGCCAGAATTGTGTGTCTGTCTGCATTTGGCTGGCTAATCCTGGTATCCATTCATCTTAAGGGCTTGGTGTACATGCTCCAGCTCACTGGCTAGGTGTTGCTGGTCGGAGATGCAACGTGCCCTATGGTGTAATGTTTGATGAGGGAGTTCTTCTGGGCTGGATGGTGGTGGGAATCAGGCTTTCGATAGGAATCCATGTGGGTGACTTTCCTGTAGACAGAATGTCCCAACGAGCCATCAGGTCTCTTCTCGATCAAACATTCAGGAATGGTAGCTTGCCATCATTTTCTACTTCCCTAATGAATTTGATGGATGGATGTATGGAATTGATGTGGTTGAAAAATTGGTGCAGTGCTGTCTGGCACAGACATGCTATTTTCCCATTGAACTCGTTTACATTGACATGCCAATCTCTCCCTTTAACACAGCTGTTGTGCATGTGTGCGGCAACGGGACTCCTTTCCATCTCTGACCCCACCTACTTACCCTTGGATGACACCCACCTCAATTCTGTATATAACCTCTTGTTGCAGCAGCCCTTTCCTGTTCAGCAGTTCTACTGTTGTATCTTTCCACCGGATGACGATTGCTTGTGTTGTGATCAAAATGTGTGATTTATTATGTATTTTTCTACCTACGTGACTTTACCGAAAGAGCCAAAGAGTATGGATTCTTGCAGTCGCGAAAACTTCAAATCAAGAATGAAGTATATAATAACAACATTAAATGCAAGCTTGGGCAAGGTAGCAAAACAATCAAACCAACAAGAAGAACAACAACAAAAACAGTCCCAGACCACAGCAAGACAACACACAGTCGTCCCTCAATAAAGTTGCACATCAAAATGTAACTGTCGATACACGGGCAAGGATCAAAGTTACACATCACGTTGGAAAATTGTGATCGAATCCAGCACTAATCTTCTGCATCAGGATATTTCTTGAAGGACGGCTTATGATGTTAAGGGCAGAAACGAGGTTGTTCCAAAACGTTGGTGCTGCAATGGCAAAGGCTTTGTCGTCTATTCCAATTCTTGCTCTAGGTATAGTTAAAATGGAATTACATGGATGTCTTAGGTTTATTGGGTTTAACAATGGGGTTAATAAATTATATAAGTGTTGCGCACATTGGCCAAGAAGGATTTTATGTTTGAACCGGGCCCAATGTGAGATTTCTTCTTGCATCAAGCGGTGTGAGATTGGATTTTCCGTAGAGGTCACAATGTTGGGTCCTGTATGTAGGTATGTATGTTGAACTTCTTTGGCACGCTACGTAGCCAACCATGGTAATTGGAGGTGGAAATGAAAAAGCAGAATGATAAAGCGGGTTTAGTCTGTTTCGTGTTTCATTAGTAGCTGATCTGTAAGCAGCGTCACAGTAGTCAAAAAGTGGTATAATGATAACTTAAACAATTTGCAGGCACAATCAAATGGGAAAGCTGTCTCGGCCTCGCTGTGCGCTGCGTTGCACCGCTAGCTGAGTAGTTAACCTCACGTCCAATAAACCCTCAGAGCCAGGATGAACGTCCGACTCCAAACGTCATTTATTGAGTTTAACGAGGTAAAACTGGTAAGAAAACAGCACAGATACAGCATCTGTTAATACCCGGAAACACCAACACAATGAATGAACACCACAGCATCATAACATTGTCTTAGATAACATGTCTCTAAACAATAGATCCTGGATGGACCAGGCCCCTACATTACCACTGAATAACTATACAAGAGCATAAGCTGCTGTGTTACATAAAGGCACATCGTGTATTCATCACACTGCACCCCAAATGTACAGTATTACACATAACACTAAATTGTGGATGAGATATTTCGTCATCCTTGCTCTCAGGATCGAAATATAGTTACTTGGGTACAAGTTTGACTCGACTTATTAAATTACAAGTAACATTCACAATAAGGAAAGTTGCAGGCTTCGTTGTTTACTAGGCCTCTAATTTATCATAACAATTTAACAGCATTATAAAGGCATTTACATCATTATGACAGTAATTCTAACATTATAACAGCATTGCCAATATTATAAGAACATAAACGAACTTACAGACAATGTTTCTTAAAGTCCCACAATGGACAATTGCGGCTGGCTTCACTGTGACGCGATGTGTGCCGCCATCTTGAATTATGTGTGTAATGGCCGACGCCCGCGTGGTTGAGCAGGAATCTTAAATCGCAACTTCCTGGTCACGTGACCAAAATTAGCATCAAAAACAGGAAATTCCTGTGTACATATGCCCCCCCCCCCCATCTGCCGTGAGGCAAAACCCCTGCCGTGAGGCAGAACAAAAGCAATGTTTGTTTCTGTATAAAAACCCTATTTTTTATTTCATTTTTCCTGAGATGTGATCAATAGGGGGTTGAAATGTAAGTTATGAATCAATCGGTAAACCTAAGATATTTGAAGCACTCAATGGTGTGGCCACGGTAATATGCATATGCTCTAGCTTTGCCAACCTATGTGTAGGACATTTGATATGTCAAATCTTCACAGGCACCAGACCTGACTTCGATGACTGTGTTGGCACATCGATGACTGTGTTGGCATTGCTTCTCGCTTCAAAGTTAACTTAATGCCTTCATTCTGTTCACAATTTTCATCCAGAATTTTTTAATAACGTTAATAACAGAAGACAGCCTCTCCTTTCTGAACATCAGACTGTCCGATCCAAAATAACAAACGAGCCACATCCGTGTCATACAAACCAACGCTCACACTAATAATAGGTTTTTCCCCCTTTTTTCTGGCAACAAAACTGAAACCTTTTTACCCATAGCCCTCATTACTCTAGTGCATTGTCTTTGAGTTGTGCGCCTTTTGGCGTCATCTGGTCGAACACCATATGAGACTAGGCTCTAAGGAAAGCTGTCTCTGGTGGTTAATGCAAACATGATTCCTTGTAAAAAGGTTTCAGTTTTGTTGAAGTTATTATATTTTGCTATTAGCAAAGGAGGCCTCATGATGTAAGCGCTCACACTCCTACCTGCTTGACACTTTATTGCATCCTGTCCACACAAAGACGACATTACCACTTTCACAGTTTCTCTGCCACCATCGCTTGTGCAGCAACAGTGGAGATTTATAGGGCAAATCCAATTAAATGAAGCTGTTTATTTAATACGTGCAAATAGCGCCTACCAACCTGCCTCCTCGGTGGACCGTGAAGCAACCATGGAACCAGTCAACCAATTGGGTGCAGGTTGTGCTCACATCGCAATCTTCAATCCTGGCTGTCACATTGATCATCCTCAACAATTTTCATGTCGTAAGGGGCGACACGAGTACAGGCGACATTTTTAAGGAGCTACCTCTCGGGACCCTTGAAATTCTTGCAACTATTTTTATTTGACCATGTAAGGCCCACTGAGCTATGTAGCTCTTTTTCAGAAGCGACCTGGCTAGCACAAATTATAGCTCAATGAAGTGGCTTATCATCGAGTGGAAATGTATAACAGCCAAATACTCTAAAGGCACGTATTTAAATGAGAGAAAAACCGGAGATCCCGGAGAAAATCTACTTGGCTACAGGGAGAACATGCAAGCTCCAAATATATAGCAGGCGTCAAGGTCGGGATCGAACCAACGAGCTCAAACATACCAGGCGAGGTAGTTAACAGCTCGTCACCGTGGCAACCTGCTAATGCACAGCTAAATGTGAAATACCAGCAATAACAATAGCTACCAGGCACCTCATGCAGTCGGAGAAGATGCAACACGTGCATTTTCACTTTTGAAAAAAGCAGATAAAACGAAACCAAAGCATCATGTGTGACACACCATAGGTTGACGAGCATCTCCGCCAATCTGGTTTATTGCATCTCGTGAAAATGCCGACCCTCCACTACATTGGAGAAACCGGTCAATGCCTCGGTGATAGGTTTGCCCAACATCATTTTTCAGCTTGCCGTGCCGACATCGCGTCCAAACCAGTGGCTCATCGCTTTGGTGAAATATCATGGCATTTTTATTCACGCAATCTCTCCCTCTGGACTCTTGGTGTGTTGCCAGTTATAAATGTTTTCTTTTCAGGTAGTGTTGGTGAGTGCGAATGTTTTGTTCTTCAGTCATGTGATCACATCACCTGTCGACGTGTTTTGGGGGGGTGGGGTTGTGCAGCCTCCAGCGGCTCCGTGGCAGGGAGAAGCTCTTCTCAAGTACTCGCTGTGTGGGAAGCCGACTGAGAACCGCATCGTGTTCACCTGCGAGCCTGATGGCCGCAAGGATCGGTACGACACACACGTACACACGCATACACACGCACACGACGATGCTCACTTTTGGCGGTGACTTATCTCTTTTGACAAACTGGGTCATTGCCACTTTCCATTTTAATGTTCCGCTAAATAAGGTTGTTAATGGATTATCCCTGTCTGTCTGTTATCATAATGATGATCCAATATGTATGAAAGTTGTGTACAACATTGTGTTGATAATAGGGACCTACACCTATAGAAACTGCCAAATTGATCAAAAGGTTGGCCAAAACGTGGCAATAAAATTAGCACTAAAATAATTAGCCTACAGGCCAAGGAGATGACATTACATTTAATGTCATCTTGTTTCACCTTGCTGATATTTCCGCTGCAGGCGGTGATATCGTCAGTGATGCTGCTGCCAGTGATGTATTTATCAAACTGTCGATCCGCACTCTTTTGATTACGATGACGGTGATGATGCTGTTTTTGCGATCACACACAGCATCGCTGGCTGCTTCAGCTTCTGCAGCACAACGCTGATTGATTATTTACTGCCAGCGATGCTAATGACGACGATGACGATGGTGGTTGTGGTGGTGCCCGTGCTCATCCACAGGCTCGTGCTGCACTGGCTGCTGGCCAAGGCGCGCATCTGCCACCCGAGGGCAGCCACCGGTCCCAGCGATGACGCGAGACAGAGCTCCGTGGCGCTGAGCATTGAGGCCGGAATCGTGTCGCGCCACACCGCCTTTGTGGCTGTGGACAATTCGTCCCGGCCACCCATCGCTGAACCCATGCAGGCCCGTCCCGTGCCACTGCCCCATCCTAGGAGTAAGTTTGGCAAACTTGAGGGTGTGTAATAAGGTGCGGAGCGTGGCGTGGATCGTAAAATGATCGTCCAGCACTATGGTGTGTATGTGTAATATGAGGATGCACCTGGGGGGGTAACTGGGCGATGGTGATAGGCTCTGCCGGCCTCAGCCCGCAGCCAATGGGACGTCGAGCCAGGGGCGTAGCCCTGTGGCTGCATAGCAACATCTGGAAGGTTCCAGGGGTGAGGCTGATGATTGGCTGCATGGTATCACGTGGGCCAGGTGTTATAAGGGGTGGAGAGAGACAGCTCGGGGTCAGTGTGGAGAGGGGCTGAAGAGAGACCACGTCTGTGTCTCGGGCACGCCAGCGGCCACATGGCAGGCCGGAGGCTGTCTCTCACACGCCGTCAGCCAGCGGTGTGAGGGAGCGGGGAAGCGAGCGAACGCCACGCTCAAAGAACGGGAGTAACGGGGAAAAAGGAACCCAGCGGGTGAGGGAGCTGTGTAATGAACGAATAAAGAAAAGACAAAAGACACGATATCGTCCGGAGCGGATTTATTACATTTGTATACTATGTATGTTGAACTTCTTTCGCACCGTACGTAGCCGATCGTGCTATATGTGTCGTCCTGAACTTGACACGACAGCTTCTTGCTTTTCTCTCTCACTTTATTTCGCTAATACCGATCAACATTCCTTCCGCTAACACCAATCAACATTCCTCCAGCGCGCTCTCCGCTCGCTCACCGCGTTCCGCCGGCCTCGCTCGCTCCGCGTCTCTCACTTTGCCAACTCTCCTCTCCACTCTCTCTGTCACAGTTCAGCCGCTCTTTATCGGCTTCTCCGTCACACTCCAGCCGCTTCTGCTGGCTTCTCCACTGCTGCCTTATTCTTCTCCGCTGCTACCTTATACTTCTCCACTGCTACCCTATACTTCTCCACTGCTACCCTATGCTTCTCCACTGCTACCCTATACTTCTCCAATGCTTCTGGCTCCGCTGCTTCAGCTCCAACATTCTTCTTATCCTCCCAGGCGCGAACTCCCGTCTGCTTCAAAATCCCCTCTCTTTATCCCCAAGCCAATTAATCTCTAATTAATCAGGTGGCATCCCCCGCGACGCCCCTCGCCCCCAGCCCCCGCTGACACCCGCCACGTGTTCCAGACAACGCGGCGCCACTTGGCGACAATAACAACCTCCAGGCTAATCAGCGCCCTGTGTCCTTAATCGCCCCCTACCACCTGTTAACTTCTCCAGACAGTGTGGTACCCCGTTTGACAATAACAACCTCTCAGCCAATCAGCGCCCTGTGTCCTTAATCGCCCCCTACCCGTCTCTGGCCTCCTCATGCCTAACGACAATAACAACCTCGACCTCATTTGCTCCCACTGTACTCTGCGAGCGCATACACCCACTCCTGCGTGTGGCGCGTATTTCAGGCACTACATATGTGTAGGGGTGTTAAAGAGAGGGCCCGTTATGCATGGCAGCCTATGGAAAACAAACACAGTGGGCGGGGCTACGTAAGTGCACGAGCAAGTGCTCTCTACGACGTCCGAGCCAGACACCCTGGGGGGGCTGGTTCGAACGTTATGATCCCCCGGGGCCCCACCCCTCAGGGAGGGGTTGGGTATAAAAGGGGATGTTTCAAAGGGCTCGGCAGTTATGTTTAAGCTAAGGGAAGAAGATTGAAGACGTCTTAGATAGAGCCCTGGACTCCCCTGGTTCGATGTCCTTTTCAGGGCCGGACAGGATTGAGCCAGCGGCGTGGTCCCGAAAGCCAGAGCCGGTGCTCTTGTAAGAGCTGGTCTGGAACTCCGGGTACCGGGCCCGACTTACCAGTGTCGGGCCAGTTAGCCTCCCCTAGCCCATTAGTGGAGGATTCGGGGCTAGGACAGAGTTAGCTAGGGGTGTATCCCGAGTTATACGGGTGAGGGGGCCGATACCCCCTCGAGAGTGTATATGCCCACTGTCATACTGTGAAATAAATATACGTGTGCCTCAACCTCGGCGTCAAGCGTCCTCACCGGTACTTCAACTGGTGTCAGAAGTAATTCGAACATGGACACGCGGAAAACAGCGCGGGCCAAAGTACCGCAGGAGGAAGACACTGCCGAGATCGTCGAGCCCGAGACGGCTCCACAAGACAAGGTGCAGCCGGGGCCTGACGCCTCCTTACCGGGGCATCGAAATGAAGAGGGGCCGCAGCCAGACGCGTTACGGCTGGCTCACGGGAGGCTGGCGGAGCTGCTGTATGCCGCTGCCGCCACGCTGGAGACCATCACGCGACTAGGGGCCGGTGATCCAACACGGGGCGAGGCGAGCCAACGACCAGGGCGCCTTCCCGCCATTTCGGAGCAGTCCGAATTTGAAATTCCCGCCATCGACGCTACAGCTGTTCGGGGCGTGGCCAGCCTAGACATCCGCTCCGACATCGCCGTCGCTGAAGCTGCAACGTCATCACAAGCGCGACAGGCGATCCCATCGGCCGTTCGCACCGACGCACAGCCGAGTGGTGGTGACATCAGCCTGCGGGAGTCCACAACGACCGCTGCGCTTCATCAGAGACTGCCCCCGCTGAAGGAGTTCATCGGCGCGGAGGGGGACTGGGCCGGTTTTCGCCGACGTTTCCTCGCCCATCAGGAGATGGCGAAATGGTCCAATGAGGAGGCTCTCTGCGCGCTGCCGGCGCTCCTCGACGGCGACGCGCTCGCCGCCCTCACATCGGCGCCGAGAGAGAAGCGGTCTACGTTACCGATGGCACTACAGCTGCTGGGCGGGGTCTATGGACCATCGGCTGAATGCCGACAGCAATTTTACGACCGCAAGCGGGGTGAGAAGGAGTCGCCCCTAGCATATCGGACGAGCCTCCTGGCGATGGCTAAGTCGGCCTTCCCTCGTATGGACGACGACGGCGTGGACGCGATGGTCACGGAGAAGATCCTCCTCCTGGCAGACGACCTTGACATCGCGGTCGTCGCCCGGGAGGACGAGGAGATGACATCGCTCCAGGCGGCGCGGCTCCTCCACGCCAACCTCCTGTCACTGCGGCGGAAAGCCAGCAGGGCATCGGCGGGGCGTGCGGTGGCTGCAGCCACCATTCCGACGGAGGAGCTCTACGCCGTCGACCACCGACCGCAACAGGCGACAGGAGCACGGTCGGGCCGGGACGGGCCGGGCCGTTTCAACCGTCCGTCTCCTCCAACGGCGCTCCCGCGGTGTTTCAACTGCGGCGTCTGGGGCCACGTCGCCTCGGGGTGCCGCGCTCCTCGACAGCGCGGGACGACACCTCAACGGGACGACGGGCCTCATCACAAGCTCCACCATCATAACCCGGCGAGTCGCGGCACCCCACATGTTTGGCCCACGCATACACCCGTCACGCACTCAAACACCGCAACGAGAGGGGGGCCGATATCGCGCACCATCGCACCATCACGCACCACCCCGGGTACTCATATCGAACCCGGCCAGTGGTCCGTGCTGGCCGATCGTGTGGTAGCCGCATCGTCGGGGTCGTCGGCCGTTGTGGGGCACATCGACGGGGTTGAAGTGCGCATCCTGGTCGATACGGGAGCATCGGCGACCATTATTTCGGAGTTGATTTACAATATTCTCCCTGTCCGGAGTCGTCCTTTGATGCCTGTTAACGTACCATTCTATGCGGCTAACGGGGGCTCACTTGGCATCATCGGACAAATTCGTGCCCAAATTTGTATTGGGGAAATTAAATTGTCTGGGCCGATTTTTGTTTCCTCCTCGCTGGCGGTTCCGTGCCTGCTGGGGACGGACTTCCTGGCCAAAATGCCGATTAGGATATTGATCGACCAGGGATGTATTGAGCTCCCGTCGGGCAGACGCATGGCGTTTCTGCCATCGCCTGTTACGACTCGGACGGCGTTCGCGACGGTGCCGGCATTCGTAGAGAGAACGGTGCGCGTCCCTCCGGGGGCGCAAATGTTGATTCCCTTGAAACTTCGGCGGCCCTTCGCTAAGGGTGTTGGGGCCCAAGGGGTTCTGCTGGGGCCGTCTAGGGCCGGGGTTAGTGGACCTCATTTACTTCCAGCCCAGACCATAGTAAGAGGGGACGGTGAACCCTTCATCGCGGTCCTCAATGTGGGCTCGCAGACGGTGGTGGTCCCACAGGGGACCGTGCTTGCTCACGCAACGCCGGTGCCATGTGAGGAACCCGTCGCAAATCACGTCAGCGTTGTCCCTGCGCCGCGACCGCATTCGGACAGCGATGAAGGGTGGCTCGAGGCGCTTTGTGCGGGATCGACGGACCTGTCAGATTCAGAGCGTCAACAACTTAAAACACTACTGCGGGAATTTTCCGACGTTTTTAGTCGGAATAAATACGATTTGGGTTGTACTCACCTGCTGCGTCACCATATTGACACGGGTGACAGCGCGCCAATTCGCCAAAATCCATTTCGGTTGAGTCCCGCCGAAAAGGACCATGTCAAATCGGCTGTTGATGACATGTTGGCCGCCGACATCATTTCTCCTTCCACCAGCCCTTGGGGAGCGCCGATCGTCCTGGTTAAAAAGCAGGACGGTTCGTTGCGGTTTTGCGTTGATTTCCGGCGTCTTAACAAAATTTCGGTTGCCGACGCATACCCGCTCCCTCGGATGGATGAATCGCTGGACGCCTTGGCGGGAGCGCGATTCTTTTCCACACTGGATTTACTTTCGGGATTCTGGCAGCTTCCTCTGGACGATGATTCAAAGCCTAAAACTGCTTTCCGTACACCGCATGGCCTGTTCCAATTCAACCGGTTGCCGATGGGCTTACACTCAGCGCCGGCAACTTTCCAGCATTTGATGGAATTGGTTTTGGCTGGATTGCAATGGGAGTCGTGCCTCATTTATTTGGATGACGTTATCGTCTTTAGTACAACTTTTGACGAACATCTCCAGAGGTTGCGGGCGGTTTTCCTAAAGATGCGGGCTGCTAATTTGAAATTCAAGCCCCAAAAATGCCATTTGTTGCGCGATTCGGTGCGTTATTTGGGGCACATCGTGGGACGCTCAGGTATTGCTACCGATCCCGCCAAAACGCAGTGTGTCAGCTCCTGGCCGACTCCCACCTCGGTGGGAGAGGTCAGGAGTTTCATTGGGTTCGCGTCGTATTACCGACGGTTCGTCGCTGATTTTGCGACAATTGCAAAACCCCTGCATGCTTTAACATCTAAAGGAGTTCGGTTCCACTGGGGTCAAGAGGAGGAGGCTGCTTTCTGCTCCCTTCGGGATGCCCTGGTAAAAGCCCCTCCCTTGATTTACCCAGATTTTTCTAAGCCCTTTTTGCTCGACACCGATGCGAGCAACACGGGTATTGGGGGTGTGCTTTCCCAGGTGGTTGATGGCGTGGAACGGGTGGTCGCGTACGGTAGTCGGGTGTTGTCTCCTGCGGAGCAAAGATATTGTGTCACCCGTAGGGAACTGTTGGCAATTGTCTATTTCATCCAATAGTATCGCCCATATCTGTACGGTCGGCATTTCACCGTCCGCACAGATCATGCGGCACTACAGTATGCCCTGCGAGTTCAACAACCATCGGGACAGTTGTCTCGATGGTTGGAGGTTCTCCAGGACTTTGATTTTGAAACCACCTACCGTAAGGGCGTTCACCATACGAATGCGGACGCTCTGTCGCGCATGCCAACCACCTCCCAATGTGCATGCCTCCTGGGGTCGGGACGTTGCAGGCCTTCAGGGGACGCATCGGTTCCGATCTTAGCAGCCACCGACGACGACGAACCATTGGTTACTAATTCGATCGAACAACAGGGAAGAGATTCCCTGTTGGGGTTGCCCGTCACTGAATGGGGGCGCCTCCAAATGGAGGATACCTCCCTCCTCGGGTGGCGTCGTCGCGTCGGGGGTGCTGGGCGGGTGAAGGGTGATTCGGATGCATGGGAAATGGTGCAAGGTCTGCTGATGCATTGGGACGGCAAATCCCAGCGACATCGGCTGGTGGTCCCTTCTGAGTTGCGAGGCAAGGTGGTGTGGGCCGCACATGAGCGCCTATTACACCTGGGGACCCAAAAGACTCTTGCACTGCTACAACTTGATTTTTTTTGGCCTGGTATGACGAGGGATGTTGGGGATCTATTGGGATCATGCCCTCGGTGTGCGCAACGGAAACCGCCGGCGCGGGAGTCTAACCCGCCCTTGCAATCGATCAAAGTATCCAGAATAAATGAGCTTGTCGCGCTGGACATTTTGGGCCCATTTCCCGCCACCCCCAGGGGCAATAGGTATTTGTTGACAGGTGTCGAGTATTTTACGCGCTGGCCTATGGCCTGGCCCCTTGCCAACCAGTCGGCAGCAGCCATCGTGGAGGCCTTTGTTCAGGGATACGTCCTGGACAAAGGTGCTCCGGAGCGGCTGCTGACCGACCAGGGCAGAAATTTTTCTGGTAAATTACTCAAACAAGTCTGTGACCTCTTAGGCACGAAGAAAATTCGTACCTCCCCGTATCACCCGCAAACTGACGGAATGGTCGAGCGCCTGCATCGCACCATTACGTCAATGATGTCACAGCAGGTCTCGGACTCGCAGACTGACTGGGACCTGCATATTCAAGGGGTCTTGGCGGCATACCGGATGGCACCCCATGCAGCTACGGGATTTTCCCCCTTTTACCTCATGTACGGTCGCGAACCCGACCCGCCTGTTCGCGCCCAGCTGCAGATCCCCGACCCGCAAGGGAAAACTAAATTGGCTGACCACGTCAAATTTAATCTGGCCAAATTAACAGAGGCGCGGGATGCTGCTATGCTAAACTCGGACCTCCGTCAAAAAGCGAATGAGCGCCTCAGGCTTGGTCGGGCGCACGTGATACAGTGGAAGCCGGGGGACAAGGCATGGTTGCACTGTCCCCAAGTGCCCCTGGCTACCTCCCCTAAGCTGGCGCGGCCGTGGCGGGGCCCTGTGGAGGTGGTCGAAGTTTTGCGACCACAGTGCGTGCGCATTAAATGGGGGAAGCGGCGATGGTTCGTGCACCCCTCTAGGTTAAAACCCCTCGTTGCGGTACACAAACCCACTTCACACATGCGTGGCCAAACGTGTGGGGGGTCGACCGACTCACTGGGTCCGTCTCCGTCGTTCTCACCTAATGCCTTGCCGGCCGTGCCACCTCCAGGTGCATCAGGACTGACGGGCTCACGCCCGACCACCCCTCCTGGGGATACCGACGGTCGCGCGGCATCGGATGAGGTCTCACTCCGGGACGGACAATTGCCACCTTACGGTCCGCCACCCGGGGTTACCCCGTGTGAGGGGCCCGCTGCAAGGACGCGCGCAAAAATGCGCAGACTGTTATGAGGCCGGAAGATGTGTACATAGGTTGTGTTCATCGTGTGTTGTGTGGGTGGTGTGTTCCCTGCCCATTGAAATGTACATACGTTGGGTTCACCTGGTGTTGTGTGTCTGGTGGGTTCCCTGCAAATTGTATATAGGTTGTTTTTTTTACGGAATTCGTATTTATTCAAGGGGATGTGCGTCGGGTTGTTTTCTCTTCTTGCTGTTGCATTTTGTTGTGTTCTTGTTGCTGTTCTTGTTATTGTTGAAAAATAGTGAGGCACACGCGCGATCAAGGGGTAAATGCACTTTTATTGTCATTTTTGTATGTTGGCAGCCGGGACGGCTGCAAGCTATGCGGGGGGGGGGGTGATGTAGGGGTGTTAAAGAGAGGGCCCGTTATGCATGGCAGCCTATGGAAAACAAACACAGTGGGCGGGGCTACGTAAGTGCACGAGCAAGTGCTCTCTACGACGTCCGAGCCAGACACCCTGGGGGGGGCTGGTTCGAACGTTATGATCCCCCGGGGCCCCACCCCTCAGGGAGGGGTTGGGTATAAAAGGGGATGTTTCAAAGGGCTCGGCAGTTATGTTTAAGCTAAGGGAAGAAGATTGAAGACGTCTTAGATAGAGCCCTGGACTCCCCTGGTTCGATGTCCTTTTCAGGGCCGGACAGGATTGAGCCAGCGGCGTGGTCCCGAAAGCCAGAGCCGGTGCTCTTGTAAGAGCTGGTCTGGAACTCCGGGTACCGGGCCCGACTTACCAGTGTCGGGCCAGTTAGCCTCCCCTAGCCCATTAGTGGAGGATTCGGGGCTAGGACAGAGTTAGCTAGGGGTGTATCCCGAGTTATACGGGTGAGGGGGCCGATACCCCCTCGAGAGTGTATATGCCCACTGTCATACTGTGAAATAAATATACGTGTGCCTCAACCTCGGCGTCAAGCGTCCTCACCGGTACTTCATATGTATGCTATGTATGTTGAAATTCTTTAGCACCGTACGTAGCCGATCGTGCTAATTGGATGTGCGGGGAGAAGGACAACAAACTAAAGACTCAAACCAACTCAACCGGCAACCGAGAACCGTAAAGACAGGGAAGCTTCTAGTAGACCAATGGAATCCACATACTGAGAGAGAAGCAGCTATAATTAAGTCTTTAATAGCTACCAAAAACTAAACGATGACATGTAACCGGGTGGCATGCTGTCAAAATAATGCAGATGTTTCACGATACTCTTGCATATGTTTGCGCGGTTGAACTTTACAACCCTCCGATGTGTTTTCAGGTTGTACCACGTGTTTAGCATGACGTGCGAGTTTCCGCGATGGTTAATGCTGCAGGTGTATTCACCATAATAATTACACACCGTCTGCTTCACAGTGGTTAAAGATATGGTGACATTATTTGGAACAAAACAAGTAGGCCGTGTGTGTAGGCTTCATGGCCCATATTTTGGCAAATTTAATAAATAATTAGCTAATTACTTAGGAAAACACGTTGATACTTCATCCCCTACTGGTGAATTAATGGCCCAATTGGAGGCCAGTGCTGCATGCCCTGTGCTGCACAGACAACAGCTGCTAAGGGTTCCGTTGGCTCGACTGCAGCTGAGCACAGAAACGGTTGAGATGAGTCGTGATGCAACGCTGTCCGAGTTGCTGATGCATTTTGACAAGGGTCCTATACGTGCAAAGCCTTATCATTACGTAGCACAGATGTTTAATTCCCCCCCTTGTATTTTTTTTATTGTCAAGACGCCATGGTCTACCACGCTACCAGGGATTTCATGCCGGTTGACTTCTCTCATCATAGACATGGGCCTTGGATGGACTTTTTGGGTAAGGACAAGAGTCTGTGTGTTGGGTTTGAATGTAAATCCGAGCCTTCAGGTTGATTGTCAGCCATAGCTGACAAAGTGTGCTTCTATCTTTTTATCCATCATGGCAATATATATTGTGATGCCCAGATTTGTCTGATCTATGTCAGTCTGTTCGTGTAAATTATTGACTACACTTGTAACAATTAATCCAAACATTCTACTTTAATTGAATGCATTGTCACAATTTGAGGTTGCAAATTGGTTTAAAAATATATTCGAATATATATTCCACTAAAGGGCAGCCTGTCCCCATCAGCTCAGTTCCCTTTCTCTCAACTCTTGTTGTACGTACAATTTGATGCAATGTGTCTTGAGCGTACAAATAGATTTCAACAAAGTAATCCATTAGCCCTTACAATTCCTATGACATACGTGGTTTCCCTCATTTTCACATGTATTCTTTCATATAAATATGTGACTGCAGGGTTTGAATAAAACATTACTGTTTATTACACCATGAGATCCACGTTCATCTCATTTTATTCTCATTTATTATGGACAAAGATGGTGATAGTGAGTCCTAATAAAATTAATGTTTGTTTATTTGATACTGCAGCAAAGAAACCATCTCACTATACATTTTGTGTTGCAGGCTACAAGGCCAAAGATACCAGCCCAGACACAGGCTATGACTCAGCGTCCTCCTCACAGGCTTCATCTTCAACTTCAGAAACCTCCAGCGAGACGTCATGGGCCTGTGAGACCATCATCCAGCTCACATGAACCGATCCGATCAAAGTGGTTTTCTTTGATTTAACAGAATGATCCGCTCACTTAAAGTATATAATACAAATTAAAGTATGATAAAAATTCTCATGTCTTCTATAGGTTTGAGAGTAAAACGTTGATCTCCACTTCTCCTGCCTCTAAATTCAGACCAGTTTTCCCTGCCTGGGCTTTTGTGATTTTCAGCGAACCTTTCTGGATGGTCAGTAAACTCCTCCCTCTCGAGTTACTACACTCCCTTCTATCTCCCTTCTTGCCTGTTGGGATGGAAATTACATTTTACCATCCAGTAGAAACTACTTCCTAACCCATGCAACCTCAATTATCTGAGCGATTTTTCCAATTGTTTTAAAACACATTATGTTACCAGAACTGCAGTAATGCTGCACACGATTGATATGTTTCCAAGCGTAAGCCGTTGAGCTGCTATTTTAATCTTATTTGTTTACATCTCTGAATGTTCTGTGCACCCTGCTATCCTTCACTGGCTCTCAACCTCCATTGTGAGAACTGTTTGCCACTAAATGAATGTACCCCAACACCATTTCAACACACGCACAACATAAACAGTCATACTAGTGAAATGTGTGCACGTGCATGTTCCTGGCTTTAATTTGTATAAGCAGCACCCTATAAGGAAGTGAGCTATCTAATGTCTGACACAGCTGAGCTATTGAGCAAATAATTGATCAGTTTAACACGTAGGCTTTCGCGACTAATATCCACAATAGAGGTTTTTTGGGTTAGATCTCGTAAATATATAAATGTGTCATTAAAACCCGCCACCACCCGACATAGCCAACTAGTAAGCATTGTCACGTAAACAGAACATGCCAATTCGTCACTAGTACAACCCTTACTAGTTGGCTGTGTCGAGTGGTGGCAAGTTTTAACGACACATTTATATATTTACGCGATCTAACCCAAAAACTTATATTACAAATAATTTATGTTATTCTATTACAAATAATGTATGTTATATGCTCAATAGCTCAGGTGTGTACCAATTTCAGTGAAGCATGCCAAGCCTAGCTCTGTGATGTTTTTCGGTTGAACCGCATGTTCCACATGATGTCTGACGTTCCGCAGCTCACCTGCTTTGATTATACAGTGTGCTAATTCAATCACTGAATCCTTATTTTTACTTAGTTGATTGGCCAGGCCTACTGATGCCCTCCTATGACATCCTGCATTGCTCGTGATGAATGTTGCTAGGCTGCCGGTTGGTCCTCGCGGCCAGCGTTCAACATTTCATTTTGTAGTGCACATAAGCAGGTTCGCTTTCTGGGGTTTTCAATTTTGTAGTTTATGGAATTGCATTTTTAGTTTTGCAGCCATAATTCGGCAAAGAAATGTCGTGGGGAAAAATATGTATTTTGGTTACACACCTACAGACGATGGGTTTTCGATTGATACCAAATTTGTACACACAGCTTTAAAAATGTGGATTTGTATAAGGTTTGTTAAAAGTGGCACATGCACACATACAATGGACACGTTATATGTTTTGATTTTTTTCGGTTTTGCATCTCTATTTCATTCACTCCATTAGTTTTGGTGTTCGCATTTACATAGTAAACCCTCGCTATGCGTGAGTTCTGGATTCGCGAGTTTCGCATAATTCGCGAGTTATTAAATGTATAATAATTCCCTATTTGCGACCCGCCGGACTCCAGCATTCGCAAGTGTACATAGTGCCTACAGACCACCGACACCAGGGAGGTATGCGCACAATTTTACAATTGAAACTTCCTGCGAAGTGTAGGCACGCCCCCTCGGCTGACTGCTTTGTCCTTAGTCTAGTAGTAATCCCGTTCTGAACTCGCTATTGTGCATTTTTATTTTCTATGTACTTTTATACGAGTCGACTGTGAGGTCCATTAATTGAGAACACGAATTCAGTCAGGAAAAGTGTTGCTGCTCCTGCTCCCAGAGTGCTAAAATGATAACAGTCGTGCAGCGTTGTTCTCAAACACCCGCATTCTTCCAAGGAGTCGTCCTCCTGAATTATTCACCATCACCACCACCTCCATCGTCATACAAATTCGCTTAAACCGAAAACCCATCTGAGAGCTAGGCTTGTAATGCTTCACTGAAATTGATACACAGCGGATCTATTGAGCAAATCATTGATGCTCTGTATTTAATGTTGGCTCGTGAAATTCTGCCATTTGTTTCCCGGCAGCACCTGGTTCAGGGCTCTACTTGAAACGTCGTGTGTCCTGCACACCAAGAATCTCCAGTCTGTCCCTTGAAAGTAAGTGGCATCCAAAATTGTTTTCACGTTCAAAAGATTTTTTTCTGGACTCAACAACTATCATCGTCATCAGCCATGATCGAGTCATATTTTATCCTGATCAGTCGGTCAACTGATCGACCCAGATTGAGTGATCAGATTGGCAAAATCGTGGATCAGATCAGATCGGTTTGGAGTCGAATTTGCTATGACTCGGATGTGCCAGTGAAACAAAGGGGTATTGTGTGACATGTCGACTCCAGCGGACATGGGTGCCCATAGGCTGCATGGCGTCAAGACGATGGGCAAAATAAAACACAGAAAAGCCTAGTTACATTTTAAATCGGCTGAAGAAAAATGCTTTTCTCATTGAATTGAACACATACAGTGATTTGGAGAGATATTTGAACAACTATTACACACTGACAAAATGGATCAGGTTGATGCCATAACTTGAAATGATGCCTGATCGTAAAACCAGCATGTGAGTTTCTTAAGTGGAAGGCAGTAATGGCAATTCATAATAATACACGGTGAGATGTTGATTGTGTAATAAAGGACTCTCAGGCGATGTTGTTCTCCGTGTCCTTTATTGGGTTCTTGCTCGCACCCCGCGATGTCTCCGCTCGGACCCGCACCTTCTCCGCCTCGTGCCTCCGCACGTCGTCCTCCGCTCTCTCTCTCTGCAGCCACACCGCTGCCCGTGTGCTCCGTACACTCCGCAGCCACCCTGCTCCTTCGTGTTACTCCGCACACTCAGCAGCCACACTGCTGCTCCGTGTGCTCCCGCACACTCTGCAGACACCCTGCTGCCCACGAACACCGCTGGCCGACGGCGCCGTGACTCCCACCTCATAGCAATCGCGCCACTCCTTGCCAGCACTCCGCGTGGCCTCTCCCTTCTCTATTCTGTCTCCACTCCCGATCCCCTTCCGGTTCTTCCCTTATATCCTCCCCCTCACGTGACCCTGACTCCTCCTCCTCACGTGACCCTGACTCCGCCCACACTCACGTGACCCTGTCCTTGCTCGCATTACAATTGTATAACTTGTTAATTCTTTCCTGTAGAAAGATACAGAAGAGGATCCCAGGAAATGTCACCGACCTCTCCTAGTTGGTGTAGTATCACACGACCTGCCTGCACTCAGATGGGTGAGTAAGGCAGATGCGGGGCTGACCTTCTAGTTCCTGCACACATGATGTGTATCATTTGATTAAAAAAACACAAAAAACTTTGTTAGGCTTAGTGCGGCGTGGAAGCGTATTATTAAATAAAATATATAATACAATTACAATTCCTTATGAGGGAAACAAATACCAATGAATAACAATTGAATGATTACCAATATATTATATAATTACAATACCCTCCTCCTCTCCACCTCAAATCACTGCACCAGAATGAATTAAATTATAACGTCACCCTGCTGCTGCACTATTTAAGACCGGGAGCAAGAGGAGAGCTTCACCATTCTGGCAAAGAGCCCGATGAAGCTGGATGTAATTGCCAGCGAAACGTCGTACTCAAATTTTAAATGATGTTGATTCACTCTTCAACACACCAGTGGGCTAAAGTAGTGAACTATTTGTCCTTTGTAAATGTGACACATTTTTTACTGTTTGGCCGTGTCGGGTGGTGGAGGGTTACGACACATTTATAAATAACGCGATCGAACTCAAATACCTTTATTATGAGACTAGCTGTACTACCCGGCTTCGCCCGGGACTTGGATCCACCGCGCCCGTCCGCCTTTGTCTCCCCAGTGGCGATGGTCGCGAAAGCCTACGTGTTACAAATTGACTCACTTTCCTTAATAAGCAGGCTACAGTCTACATTATAGACTGCCAGTACACCCACCCAGCTTAATAACCAGGCAACAGTCTACATTATAGACTGCCAGTACGCTCACCCAGCTTAATGACTATTTGTACAGTCAACATTTAAAGAATCGATTCTTGGCGCGTCGGGTTTAAAAGTAATTACACAGTTGTTTTTTCATTGGTATGTAATGTTTGAAAGTTTTCAGAAGATTTTAAATGTATTTTCCCAGCGGGCAACGCTGGGCAGAGGTGGGACAAAGTCATTGTTATGCAAGTCCAAGTCGAGTTGAAGTCATCAAATTCATGACTCGAGTCTGACTCGAGTCCAAGTCACATGACTCGAGTCCACACCTCTGACGCTGGGTATATCGAGTTTATACCACAAAGTCGTCGCTTGACACGGGTGGGGTGTCGAGGCCTAGTACCGTGCAGAGCCTCCGGCCTCGCCTAGATTGTCCACCCGGCTGAGGCTGGGTACTGGGGCCGTTACTCCCCCCCCCCCCGCGTTACAATAATAATGTTTAATCGCTATAATTTTATTATCTACCGACCCTATAATAGTAATTGCACACATTGGGGTGGGGGGGGGGAGTGAAGAGGACGTAAAACTTTGATGAATTTACCTCAGAGTCGCGTGTTAATGCGTGCGCATATTTTTAACGGGAATTAAAAATGGCGTCCACCCCGCAGCGAATGCGTCGCTACCCGTTGCCAGGAGCAACCGCCGTGGTAAACCAAACGGACCAATCGTGTCTCGCAAATCCCTCATATTTCGTCCAATGAAACTGCGTATGGTCCGGCGACACACAGACAGACAGACACACACACAGACAGACAGACAGATTTGCGATTTTATATATATAGATAATTCATTAACAGTGACTAAGCCATGCAAACATTTTTACATTCAAATATTTGAATGCATCGCAAAAAGCACAAAAAAATGAACTTGCAAGTAATATTAATGTAAATGTAGAACTTAAAACATTTGTTTAAAATTGCTTAAACCAATTATATAACCTTGTGTTAAATGATTAGCTTCATCGGGTACGTGAAATAATTATCAAGGATCATAAAACGCCCTATTTAGCCCTGTTTACACTGTCTGCTGGCTTCTACACTCTCCTGTATGAGAGTTTACACTGTTTACACTACGCGTTCATTTCCCGATCAACCATCCAAATGAGCCTGTGCAAACAAAGTATGTCGAGTAAATACGTGACGCCACTGTAATGGATGACGTCAAATTCCAGCTGGACGTTTCTTCTTCCTTCAGAATCAGAATCGTTATTTATCCTGGAGGAATCCTTCTTTGACCAGCCGCCTCGCCCAGCCATCCTAAAGTCTGCCGCACGTGGTAGCGCGACATCACCGGCCTCGCCAGCCTTCACAATAAAACTCTCTCCTCCGGGAGGGCCACCGAGACTACCATGGGCACGGTCTGCTGGGTCAGCTAATGACGTTTTTGTTCTCTTTTTTTCTGTCTGTGTGTTCTACCATACTAGATCAACTAGTCTATTTGCAGCAGGCAGAAGGATCGTGGAAGAGCTTGGAGCAGCTGGCGGCCGTGGTCCAAATGCCATTGGGAGACCTTCAGAGCGAGGCGCCAAAGGTGAGATTTGCAGTGGGATTCTGAATTCACGAGCTTCGCATATTGGCGAGTTACTCAATGTATACTAATTCCCTATTCGCGACCTGCCGGACTCCAGTATTCGCGAGGATACGTAGTGCCAGACCACCGACACCGGGGAAGTGCGTGCAAAATGTTACGTTTGAAACTGCCTGCGAAGATTAGACACACCCCCTCTGCTGCCCACTTAGTCCTCTTGTAGAAATCCCGCTCCGAACCCGCTATCGTGCATTTTTGCTTCATGTGTACTTACAGTAGGGAAAGCCGTTGCTCAGTGGGGCAAGGCGTTGCCCAGTAGGACAAGCAGACATTCAGCCTCGTTTTAATAGCGCTTAGTGCTGAGGTCGTTTTTAAATCCTTTATATTAAGTTCGCGTGCTTGCTTGCTTGCTTAGGACCGTACAAATCTTTCGGTCGTTTTTTAACCCACTTCCCGTAATCCAATCGAGCTGACATTTTCCACACAGACTCGTTGTGCCAGACAATTATTGTTCGTGAAAAAAAATTCCCAAAATTTTACACTTTTTAGGCAAAAAAAATTTATTTTACATATATTCAAATAGAACGCATTCATGGCTTTGGCTGAACGTCAGAGTGTAAGAGCCCAGAGCGTAACCCCTCCACAGGCCGTGGCGGAGTAGCGCAGTTGGTAGCGCCCTCGCTTCCCATGCCAAAGGTCGCGGGATCTATCCCCGCGTCCTCCTACAGGCGAATATATTTTTAAATCCTTTATATTAAGTTCGCTTGCTTGCTTAGGACCGTGCAAATCTTTCGCTCGTTTTTAAATCCTTTATATTAAGTTCGCTTGCTTGCTTGCGTGCTTGCTTGCTTACGACCGTGTAAATCTTTCGGTCGTTTTTTAACCCACTTCCCATGATCCAATCGAGTTGACATTTTCCACACAGACTCGTTGTGCGTGACAATTAATGTTCGTGAAAATTTTTTTCCAAAATTTTACACTTTATAGGACAAAAATATTATATTTAATTACCAATTGTTTAATACTGCAGACAATCATCTGACCCATAGGTTGCAGCCATCTCAAGCCAGAGGACGAGAGGACTCTAGCCGCCACGCATATAAAGTATTTATAGTGAAAAACTTTATTTTACGGGTTTACTTATTTAGGTTGCGGTCGGTGGATCCCAGTGCGATAGTGAGAAAAAGGTTGATGTAATCTGCGTAGGAGGGGTTGTTGTCCTCCGTCACAGTGGCAGAGCTGTTTGGCGGTGTTGTGGATGAGGTGGTGTTGCCAGTGGCGGCCGGTGGGTAATTATTTTGGCGGGACGAGGAAGCCTGTGAGGGTGGGGGAAGAATGGGCAGAGGGGGGTGTTTGCATCCTACAGCAAAATCTCTGTTCCCCGGCAGGGCATGGCGAGCGAGGTGTGGGCCACGGTGCTGGCGCTCGTTTGGCTGCAGTCTCAAGCTGCCGAGCAGAAACTCGAGTGGGATCTGCTCGCCAGGAAAGCCTCGTTGTGGCTCAGCCAGCAAGGTGACGCATCGCAAGCTCGTTAATACATGTGTCAAGGAGTTCCAATAGGCTTTTTAAAAAAAAATTAGTTCACCAGGTAAGGCCCACTGAGCTACACAGCTCTTTTTCTGAAGCGACCTGGCCACAAATTATAGCTCAACGAAGTGGCTTTATCACGTGGAAATTTATAGCAACAAAATAATCCGTTTTACTCAATGAGTATTGATTGCTTATGTATTTACTTTATGGGGTTCTACTTATCAGTGTTCCTTACACGGGTGTAAACGCACACAAACTACTAATGCTCACATGACACTGAGCTGCACGTTGCCAAGGCCCATTACACTGACGCTACGTTTCCACAGTGATAAGAAATCATGAAATTCCTAGCATCCTCCACAACCTCCACACTGCCAATGTGTAGACATCCAATAAATGTGTTGTACACTGAAGAAGTCCAAGGACTTCTGTTGGGCCAAAATTATGAAAGCTGAGGACACATGTGAAAATTGTGGCAACTGTGCCCAGTGATTGTGAAATGTCACATTAGCTGAGTTGAATAATACGACAAACTCATTTCACGATCAATATTATCCATAATAGAGGGTTTTGGGTTAGATTGCATGAATATAAATACGTTGCTAAAACTACCACCACCTGACACAGCCAATTAGTAAGGTTTGTCACATAAACAAAAGATGCCAATTCGTTACTAGTTCAGCACATTGGTGTGTTGGAGAGTAAACCCACAACATCTGCAATTCGAGTACGACGTTTCGCCGGTAATTACAACCAGCCTCATCAGGCGACAGCCAGGGTTGTGGATAAATCCTCTCGTGTCAATCTTAATCTCTTTTCCTCCATACCTCAACAACAGCTTTTTACAGATCTCGAGTGTGAACCCAGAACTTCAGACGTTGCCACCATGTGCCAACGTGTAATTTGGACATCAACCCCCCTTGAAGAGAGACACGCAGGCGCTGCTGATGACCGATCGTATCGTTTCAGGGATCGACAAAAACGTCGCCGTCGAAGCTGCCAACAAAGTTCTCGGTTCGACCGTCAAGTCCTCTGACATTTAACGGCTAAGCATTGCACATCGAAGTGATTTGCAAATTACATGCCAGCCTTCATGAGCATGGGCACATTCACGTAAAGTAAGATCTTGTTACTGTGTGCTCTGCTTCGTTTGCCAAACTACATATTTAGTCTTTTCAAGTTAACTGAAATAAAAACTTTCAAACGGGATCTCACCTGATTAAATAAAGGGGTTTGCATGCGAGGATCCACCCTGCTGTTGTTATTTTTTTTTATGCCAATGATACACTTCTGCAATAATACCGATGTCTTCTGGTTTGCATTAGGGTCTGTTATCTTTAGTGTGTCCTCGAAATAACGTGAGCTGAAATACCGCGTGCCACAAAATTGGATTTTTCAGTGGATCCCAATCATTTTAAAATGGCACCCCCAATATTCGAAGGGGGAACAGCAAGCCAACTAATGCTGATTTGTTAGCTGCATCTCTACGCTGGTCAAAAATATATCACGTACCAAACAGCCCTTGTTCAGTAATCGCCTGAAGTAACTCCTATAGCAGTTGGTTGCGAGTTCCAGAATTGGATTGTAATTTTCAATTCTTTAAGGGCTGGGTTTTTTTTCCTTTTTAAATATTACTTTTTAGATGCATGCAATATAAAACGCTAAATATAAATAACATTACGAGCTGCAAATGATCTAAAATGGTCTTTCATACGGCAGCCACATTTATCCCATCAGTGGGGTTTTAACAAAATGAATGAGCCCGGCAATTTGTGAACACACTGTACGCGTTGACATTTTTATTTGTGCAATGTGGCCATTGCAGTTATTTTTGAGTTACAGTTCAAAGTGATCACCTGCATAAAGTGTGAAAAGGTTTGGGAATTGCAGTACAAGTTTACTGCTACTGTTGTTGTCTAGAATGCATAGTTTTACTGCTGCACATCAGTGGGCTATGTTAACACCTCGGTGAATGTGGCTCTTCATCTCATTTTTGGTTAAAACGCGCCAGGGCGATGAGTTTAGTGTGCTTCACATCAAGATATGAATATGGCCCTCCTAAGGGCATCGTTCTGTTTGGTCTTCGTTTCGACTGTAATTGCTGTCCATGAAACTTGACTTCATGAATGAAAAAAAATCCACATTCAGTTACAGGTTTACTTTGTATACTTTGTATTTTCCATTGTTGGAATTTTACGTTTTAGTAGAGAATGGGGAAAATGTGAACGTATCGTTTGGGTCACTTCTCAGCAGATTACTCATGGGCGCCACCTCGTGTTTGTTAAAATATATATCAACCACACTTGTGATTATAACTACTCTGATCAAATATACTCAATTCATACGCAGCCTTGGTGTCACCCATTTAATTAAAAGTAAATCCACAAACGTGGAACAATCAAAGTGTATTCAACAAACCTGTCAACCCCTTGTCAGTGCCCTACCTTATTACAGACCAATTCAGACCTTATTGGTCACTCCGTGCCCCTTATAAATCTCAACGTTCATCCTACAAAGTCCCATCACAAGGGAGAGAAAATCAAACAAATAGACAAAACACGTTTTTGCCCGAATTTAAATGGCTGTCCACCGTATGGGCCTGAAGACTACATTTCTCTGTACAAGAATACGGGTAAATCGTATGGGGTGACAGGTATGTTCTCAGTCTTTTTAAATCCTTTATATTAAGCTCGCTTGCTTGCTTGCTTACGACCGTGCAAACCTTTCGGTCGTTTTTAACCCACTTCCCGTGATCCAATCGAGCTGACATTTTGCACACAGACTCGTTGTGCGAGACAATGAATGTTCGTGAAATTTTTTTTCCAAAAATTTACACTGTTTAGGGAAAACAAATTAAATATTTAATTACCAATTGTTTAATACTGCAGACAATCATCTGACCCATAGGTGGCAGCCATCTCAAGCCAGAGGACGAGAGGACTCTAGCCGCCACGCATATAAAGGATTTAGAGTGAAAAACTTTGTTTTTACGGGTTATACTTATTCTGCACGATATCATCTCTCCCAAGATTATTCGACTGACCTTTCAAATATCCTCTCTGTTTTTCTTTCCTGAAACGGATCCTGACAGCGGCTGTGGAGGTCTATCAATGCGACACTAGTTTTTTTTTTTGTTATTAGTCTCCTCAAACATTCTGGCATGAGTGACATAATTACATCTCGGTCAAGGGGTGACCCTGAGATCCCAAACTCTTGCGTTTGTTGCCTTGTTGGGAACGCATCGATGGTAGAACCCAGACCCAGAAAGTGATGGCCAAATCTTTAAGACTTAACCCACACTGAACTCAAATTGAATCTATCTGTTGGACCTTCTCAAGGCTTTGCAATTCAAGAGCTCTGCCCGGCTTCATTGAGACTATTTGCTATTAATAAGTCTATGATTCTTCCACATAGCTACTTCCACTTCTAGCTAGTATCTTCAACTTAGCTCCTCCACTTCCACATCGTAGCTCAATGTGACTGGGCCTGACCCTGCCTATTTACCCAGAAATTTATTGTAAAGGAGATCACAGGCTGACAAAAAAATCAAAGGATGTGGGAACTAACGTGAAACAGGGTTCTTATTCAACTTCGTTCTGTAAGAGGCCATAGGGTCACGACAGAAACAGAATCACAAGTGGTTCTGAGGGCAGCACTTAATTTTCAAAGGTCCTCCACCGCGAGAATGGCCGGCCACACGATGTCATGCTCACGCCACAAACAGCACACTGCCCACTTCTTTGTAGGCGAATCCGAGCAAACAATGTGTTGTATTCCCATCCACAACATCACAGGCAGTTTATGTACTGTATGTTGAACTTCTTTCGCACCATACGTAGCCAACCCATGCTAATCCGAGGTGCGGTGGAAGGATAACAAACTAAACACAAAGCAGTTTTAAAGAAATTAGTTTTCAATCTGGACGATTTAAAAGTTCATAGCTCAGGTGGCTTCCTAATATCGCAAGAGCGTTCCAGACGGCCGCAGACGCACGATGTGCTAACCGTCTTTGTTCCTCGAGGAGCCTGGTATGATTGCGCTCTGCCTTCAGAGACAGGGATCAGTAACATGATCCCTGACAAGGAAGACTGAAAAGGTGTGCAAGGAAGCGTGGAGTGATGCACACTTGGAATTTACTGCATATTGTGAAGAAGAGGATCACAGGGATTGGAGAACACGTGCAATTTAGAGACTTGCCAAGGGTGGCCAACTTGTCACAGACCAGGAGCCACCAAAAATACCCTTGAGTTCTGCAAATAAGCAAGTATATTTATATGTATAAGTGTGTATATATTCAGAGTTTTCGGTACAGCACGGGAGACATATATTATTCTTTGCTACTGTTATATTAGTATCTTCTACGTTATGCCCCATGTGGGAGATTAAAGAGCCGCACATGGCTCAAGAGACGCCAGTTGGCCACCTCTGCATTATTCAAACTATTGAGAGTACACGTTGGTCTTGGGCAGGACCTGCCACGACGGCTGGAGGTGAATAGCCGTGCTCGAGACTAACGATGGAGCGGGAGTCAAATGAATAAAAGGCACCCAAGAAGACGCACACCGAGGAGATGGGGCGACAACATCAGCTCATGGATAGCGGGGCTGCGGTGGATTGTTAGGTCTCGAGATAATGGGGTGGCTTGGGGAGGGACCCTTCATCCAGCAGTGGATTGTAGAGTATATTTAGTATAATGATGATATTATGTAGTTTATACTTTAGTTGTTTACGTGGTGGTTTTAGTTACTGCAGCTACATACTATTAACACTTCTCCCTTTATTAATGCTACCCATATCCCCTCCCTTAGATGCTGCTAATCCTGCATAATGCACGGGCAAAGTAGTACTAATCACATACCTGCATTTCCCATAAATATGCTAAATTCCTCTTGATATGCAAATTATTTTGTCAAGGCGCCCTTCCCCCCCCCCCCCTTCCAACCCAGCTTATATATATGCTCCAAGCACGTGTGCTGTTTCATTCAGACTCTGTCGCCTCGACAGACCTGGTTTCACCTGAGGACGGCTGCTTGCGTTGTGGTCGAAACGTCGTGAGAATTATTTTATTATGTTTTATTTTTATTATTTTATTACTTCCCTTCTACGTGACTTTACCGAAAGAACCAAGAAGATGATGATCTTTATTGAAGACACGTACACTCAACAGGCGAAGACCCCGACTCCCACAACAGCCCCGAGCCTCTCCTCTCAACCCCTTTTATCCTCAGTGTGACCTTCCCTTGACCCGTGGCCATGCCCCTTCTCTAGAACCTTTTCTAAAACCTCGATGGCTCTCGGTCCCTGATCCGCACCTGCTCCCTTCTATCACTTGGCCACAGCCCCTATTCTCGATCCTTTTCGTAGACCCTAGATCGTTTCCCTCTGTCCCTTAACCCATCATTACCCCCTGTGGCCCCTAGTCTCTTCTCATGCTAATTCTCCTGTCATTACCCCCTGTGTCCACTGTCAATTAACCTGTCATTATCTCTGTGGCCCCCCAGTCTCTTCCTTTGCTAATTCCCCTGTCATTACCCCCTGTGACCGCTAGGCCCCTGTACTGTCGGTACATTTGTATACCAATTTACCAATCACGGCCTTGAAATTTTAAGTATCCACGGCTCAGCACGGCGTCCGCAACACGCAGTTCGGCATTTTGCAGGGCCGCGGTTCTCCTCCGTGGCATAGCGCCACCCGTGGTCGCCCGTTGCGCCGCGTACCTTGATCAGCTGTCTGTCGTAGTTCTCGCTTCGCATGGAGACCGTGTCGCATCGCAACCGCATATTTTGCTCGTTGGTCATTCGCATTCATTTTGCCCTGAACCGTGGACCCGAAGCGTGCAGCGAGTGGTGAAGGTCAGGAGGGGAGGAAAAGTCAAAGAGAGCAAGAAAAGCGATGGGTTTGCAGAGTAAAGTGAAAGTGTTAGATAGCCTTTTGCACGGTGAGAATTGTTGCATCTGTGGGGTTAATGAGTCTACAATTAATGAGTCTACAATGATCAAATTTGATGTTGCGATTATGGCTCGTGTTGCTGGTGGTGCCACCACTGTGCCTGTCTCCTCGTCTGTGCCTGCCTTTGCGCCTGTCAGCTACGTGTTGTCAGCTAGGTGTTGAGCGTTAGATGAGTGGCAAGTATTTGGTGCGTCTGGTGTCAAGGTGAGTGGCGTCTTTTAATGGTTCATGGATGGATGTGTCTGTTAAGTGCTCAGTGGTGGGTGTGTCAGGTGAATGTTGAGTTGTGTCGTTGTCAGGAGCTGCTGCTGAGCTTGGAGCTCAGCTACTGGAGCCATAAAATCCAACAGAGTCGAGTTAAGAGATCCTACTGACTGGAAATATCCAGGGGTCCTATGCTATTATTGATGGTGACCAGTATGTGACATTTGACCTAGATATAAACAAACTGGCCTCATTTTTTTCCATTTGACAATTGCATAACTGCTGTGACTCATGGACACATTGAGCTCATAAATGTAGGCTGTGGTTTTGAAAGATTAACTTTTTCCTGAGGATGGATGCTACCCACCGGCTTGTCGACTTGAGCAATGATTATCAACCTTGTTTGGCGACTGTATATCCCACCTTGTTGAATTTGTTTCAACCGAGTCCCCTTGCCTGACCAAACATGGTTCCGAGAAATAAATGTATGAATAATGAACATCAACATTGAACCAATTGTCCACTCTGTGAGGTATCCTAACTCGCTAGTAACTGCAAGTGAATAAAAAAATCAACGGACGCTGTGCATGCATGACCATATTTGTTCACGCTCGCTGGTTACTCTTGGAAACAACATTGTTTTACAATCAGTGAGTTTATAAATGTATTTTAAATAGTTGTAGGTCACCATATGGATTTAAATGTTGTAGTAGTTGTTTTATATTTACAGATTCATATAACATGATTATTCACCAATGACTCTCGCGTATGATATAATTGCACACGTTGGTGAATCACCTCACGTGCCCTCCGAGACATTGCCACGTGTTCCCCCAGGGGACCCTCGGTTGAGAACCACTGGACTAGAGCAACGTTTCCCGCATGTTGCCTTTGTGTAAAACCACTGGAACATACATGACACTTGAAAATCAGGAGCTGCGTCGTAGCAGAATATATGTAGCAAAACAAGTAAGCAGACATACTCTTTTGGTTCTTTCTGTAAAGTCACGTAGGTAGAAATAAAATAAAATAAATCACGACGTTTCGAACACAACACAAGCGCCCGTCTTCAGGTAAGCAGACGATAAAACGCCTTGGCACGTCCCTCAACATCAAAATAAAAGTATCCATCACACTTCCCGTCAGCAGCAAGTGTTTTGTTATGAGCAGTGTTCATCACCGTTGGCTGCCCTGAGATGGTGGTGGAAATTCCACATTCCTAAAGCGTGGGCCGGCCGGTCTCGCCGCAGGACAACCGCTGCTGACAACCCAAAGATGAGCCTTTATTTTACTAACCCTGGTAGAGTAATAGGGTGCGTCGACTGGCAGCCACTTTGATGGGATGAAATGTTGAAATCAGGGTACACTTAGGAACGTAATTTTGCTTGAACAAATGGGTTGAAACTGAGTGCAGTTCAGCCGCGTGCGTGTACAAACAGGATCGCCTGGTAGAATACCATGCAAGCCTCCTTGTTATGAGGTTTGTGTGGATAACAAACATTCTCAACAATAAGGTTCTCATGTCCTGCACGGCGACATTTTCAAGGTCCACTGCGGTATCTGAGAGCCATCGTTGCGTTGTCTGAGGCGTTCCAGATTCATCGCTGCAGAAATGCATGAAAATAACACAGAAGCGAAAGTATTTCTTGAAGTATTTTTTTTCATTTACCTTTTTTTAAATTGGCGCTGGCGTCAGCAGATTCCACTGTCAAAGTGTGGCAAGTGATACATCTCTCTTACAGGTTGGCAAGCCAACTGACACCAACACCAAACTACTGACACCAACCCCAAACTACTGACACCAACACCAAACTACTGACACCAACTCCCAACTACTCAGACCAACTCCAAACTACTGACACCAACACCAAACTACTGACACCAACTCCAAACTACTCAGACCAACTCAAAACTACTGACACCAACTCCAAATAAAGTTAAAAATGTTCGTCAGCTCGTATGCGCGTCCTGACGTTTATTTTGTAGCCCACAGTGATATGTTGCCGTTTATTTTCCAAAAGTCACTTCACCCCTGAAGCGCACCTCTTAAAAGGTACTGGGAAATTATTCTGTGTCGCGATAATCGTGGTTTCGTAAAAATGTATCCTTGTGTAGTATCGTGAGAAATCATGTTTACATGGTGCTTCAGATAAATGTGAACACTTCCGAGAATTTGCAACAATAACACAATACATGTGCCTCCGGTCTCTGGAGACCACCTGGAGAAGATTGTAGGCGATGACAATGATGACAAACAAGCAGAGACTTCTCATGTTAAAGTGCATTATCCGTTCTTTTCCCATTAAAAACGATATTCCCATGTAAGTGTTAATATGTTTTTGAAGCACCCTGTATGTATAATATATTCATTCAATATTCTTTTTTTGTTGAACAAGGACCCATCATATCTCATAGAGGAGTCATTGCCTATGACAGCTGGCAGTTCACCAGCATTACTTCAAGCACGCCTGACTGCCTGTACTGAACCAGTGCTGCTGAAACTGACCTGGATCATTCCAGGGTAAATCTTTTTGCAGATGACACGATACTGATTTCTGCTGGCCGCTCTCTGGATGACGTGTTGCTAAGCTCCAGCGTGATTTCAACAAACTACAACATCAGCTAGTTGCTCTTAAACTAGTCCTGAATACCTCCAAAACCAAGGTGCTATGCTTCTCACCAGGACTAAAGGAGGAAGTTATTTTTCCTTAATTACATTCCTTAAATAATTATCAAATAGAGCAAGTAAAGATATATAAGTATATTGGGGTCATCTTTGATAAAAAAAAATGAATTTTCAAGATCACATTGATTATATTGGTAAAAAGACAAAAAAATTGTTTTTTTGTATCGACACAAGCACTGCTTCCCCCTGATGTTCCGTTTGGAATTTATAAAAGCTACCATACTGCCTCTACTTGATTACTGCGACATCGTATATAAATCAGCCCCCAGGATTGTACTGACGAAGCTTGACTCCATTTATCACTCGGCCTTAAGATTTGCATTGAACTGCCCATATAGGACCCACCACGGCGATCTCTACATTGGGTCAAACTTAACATCTCTTAATGATCGACGGCATCAGATCTTATTTATTCACGATGTACTTACAAAAAAAATCCGCAGACTACCGTCTGGATCTCCTCACTGTTTCGAAGAACAAATGTGACCTAAGGTCTTCGCTTATTTAACCGCTTCACATTCCTTAATGCCGTACAAATACTGGAGGAAGTCCTTTGCTATTGATACCCCCAGGGTCTGGAATGCTATCGCCAATAAACTGCAACTTGGATCACTACCTGTGAGATTTTCACTCAAAACTGTTCCAGAGGAGTTGTACACCCCTAGCTGCCACTGCTATTCAGAATGGCCTGAAATCAAATGTATCGCTCCGGATGACCGCTGCAAAGTATGATCTTGAGTTTTTATTAGTGTGCTGATCTTTAAAGGTGCATTTAAAATTTTGATACTCCTACTGATACTCCTGCTGTTATGGAGTGACTCATGCTGCCAGATATGGCTGCAAAGTTTGGTAGTACATGTTATGTTTATCGTTTATTGTTAAATTTGAATCACAGTTCCTGTGATCACTGTTACATTGTTTTTATAGCTTTATTTTGGTGATGTCGAAAACTTTTGGTTTAGCCCTATTTGTTTGTTGTAGTACAGTTAGACTGATAACTTTAATCTAAATTGTCTTATGGTTATTGTTTGACTTGCATCCCACTGGGATTTTTGCACACATCATTGATATACGGTGCTTTTTCTGGAAGACTTTGCTGTTTTTTCCTGGATTTTTCTGTTGCGCGTAGTCACTTTAAGATGTTTCTTGTTCATGTTTTTTTTGTTGCGGTTGCACCCGATACAAGAACCGAATGGCTCACAGGGCTATACCTATAAATAAACTGAACTAACACTGAAAAAGAAAAACTGAACGGAAAGGATGCACCTCCCCCAACCCCCCAAGGAAGGTCGTGCGACTGATGGAATGTGTCAAATTGTTTGCGTGGAGGGACAGATTCGTGAAGGAGATGCCGCCGTCCGCTCATCCGATCGGTTCTCAGTGGGAATGAATGAACGGTCACGTGGTTCCCACAGTGGGAATGAACGACCCGTCACGTGGTTCCCCCAGTGGGAATGAATGACCCGTCACGTGGTTCCCCTAGTGGGAATGAATGACCGTCACGTGGTTCCCCTAGTGGGAATGAATGACCCGTCACGTGGTTCCCACAGTGGGAATGAATGACCGTCACGTGGTTCCCCTAGTGGGAATGAATGACCCGTCACGTGGTTCCCACAGTGGGAATGAACGACCCGTCACGTGGTTCCCCCAGTGGGAATGAATGACCGTCACGTGGTTCCCCTAGTGGGAATGAATGACCCGTCACGTGGTTCCCACAGTGAGAATGAACGACCCGTCACGTGGTTCCCCCAGTGGGAATGAATGACCGTCACTTGGTTCCCACAGTGGGAATGAACAACCCGTCACGTGGTTCCCCCAGTGGGAATGAATGAACGGTCACGTGGTTCCTACAGTGGGAATGAACAACCCGTCACGTGGTTCCCCTAGTGGGAATGAATGAACGGTCACGTGGTTCCTACAGTGGGAATGAATGACCCGTCACGTGGTTCCCCCAGTGGGAATGAATGAACGGCGCCGTGATTGGCCATCACGGCGCGGCGAGGAGCCGCGTGCGATTGGTCGGAGGAGGCTCCGCCCGCAGTCGTCCTGGCTGGGAGAGTCGGAGCGACAAGGAAGTGGCTCAGCAGTCGCAGCAGCAACAGCAGATACAGCAGCAGCAGTAGCAGCAGCTACAGCTACTAAAGCAGCAGCTACAGCAGCAGCAGCAACTACAGCAGCAGCAGTCGCAGCAGCAGCAGCTACGACTACAGGAACTAACTACAGCACGTGAGTACAACAGGGACAGCAGTAGCTACTACAGCTACTACAGGGACTACTGCAGCAGGGACTACAGCACTGACTACAGCAGGCACTACTATAGGGACTACAGCAGGGACTACAGGGACAGCACCTGAGTGAGTACAGCAGCAGCAGCTCGTCACTACAGCCACGGCATTGGAGACTGGAGCAGCTGCAGGCATAGCAGGACTCACAGAGACTCAGCGTTGACTACAACAGGGACAGCAGCAGTGAGTACCTGTACAGCTACTACAGCTACTGCAGCTACAGCAGCTACTACACACACAGCAGGGACTACAGCTGCGTGGGGACACAGCGTGGACTACAGCCTGTGTAGGTGATTAGAGCGTCCACGTGTACTGCCGCGTCTCCGGATTGCAGGAGACTGCTGGGAACCTTTGACCCTCCGCAGACTGAACCTGCGAGCGACTGACCCCTGTCACAGACAGCCAGACCTCGCCTGACTAAATAGTCCGTGGTGTGTGCCCCCCTTCCCCTCGTGAGCTACCAACCACTGTGCATTTGCGACCGCCATCTGGACGACTGCGCAAGTGACCGACTCTGCGAGCCGTTGCGTGACCGGCTCACCTGGTGCACCCCACTCTGATTGATGCGATTCCATGGCGTGGATAAACCCGAACCGCCGACTGTTTGAACGTGTGCCCTGGCCACCGTGTGAGACTGCCTCTTGCTGTGGGCCACCCCATTCTCACCACCATCACCAACTCATAGCTGCCACAACCCCTTATCGGTCCCCTACCTTGTTACAGACCAATTCCAAACCTTATTGGTCACCCCGTGCCCCTTATAAACCTCAACGTTCATCCTACAAAGTCCCATCACAAGGGAGAAACGCAAGCAAATAGACAATTTGTTTTGCCCGTATGGAAACGGCTGTACGCCGCATGGACCTAAAAAAACTCAATTTCCCTGTACAATAATACGGGGTGAACCGTATTGGGTTGACAGCTGTGCCATCTGCACCCCCCACCCCACCCCCTCGTGTGCTGTGCAGGACCAAAAGAGCCATGGACCCCAGCTCTCTGTCCCAGGAGCCCGGCCTCGCCCAGCGCCACCTCTCGCTGAGTCTGCACGTCGACTTCTCGTCGCACGTCCTGCGCGGGGTCGCCTCTCTGCGCCTGCTCGCCCTGAGTTCCGCTTCCTCGCTGGTGGGTGACGAGGCCGCAGGGAGTGCGATTGAGGCCGTGCAACCCACAACGTCGGCCGCGCGGTTCTGACTGTCGCACGTAGCAGTAGGGCTTTCGCGACCAATATTATCCATAATTATCCATCATTTAAGGTTGGTTTGGGTTAGAGCGCGTAAATATAAATGCGCCGTTAAACCCGCCACCACCCCGACGCAACCAATTTAGTAAGTATATAGCACTGTAGTCTGTGCTTTTTCAACGGAGGAGGAATAGCAAAACCACACCAACTCCTGAAGCCCTCTCGCCGTGGCGAGCAGACCTCGACATTGTCTCCTGAACATATTGCCATGTATGTATGTATGGAGTACAACGGATTGTGCTAAGTCCTGCCACCCCCTTTTTTTAATTCGCGCTAGACGGCACAGTGAAGCCTGTAGGTCTGGGCGCGGGAGATCATTCTGCTCCAAAGCCGTCACAGGTTGAGATTCGGGGTTTGAGACCGGTCCTGGCCAAGCCAAAGGCGGGGAGGGGGGGGACAGCTCCGTTGACCGCCACAGGACGAGGCAGGAAGAGCAGAAGCAGCGCCGGCACGATCAGTACAAGGAGCCGAAGCAGCGTCAGTACGAGCAGCAGCATCGGAACCAGCAGTGGCAAGTTGCCCTGGCAGGACTGGCAGCAGCACCAGAAGAAACGTGTGCACGTGTGTGTGTGCAGAGCCTGCGGTTGTCTGAGTGAACAAATAAATAAATGTGTAGCCACCAGTCTGAAACCGAATTCAACAGTCTGGAAGTACAACATGTATGTTGTAAATCTTTTGCATCGTACATAGCCAACCATGCCAATCGGAGGTGCAGGGAAGGACAACAAACTAAACACACCTGGCAGTTGTAAATAAATTAGTTTTCAATCTAGCTTTAAAAATGCATAGCTATCGTGGCTTCCTAATTTCGGAAGGAAGAGCATTCCAGACGGCTGCAGAAGCGCATCTGAAATTAATGCAGTGACCGTTTTTGTTCAGTGGCTCGCAAAAAGCCGCCGCTGCGAGGATGACCGGAGTTTTGCTTGATGATTTATGCTCCTTGACAAGATCAGCAAAGTATTGTGGTTCATTTGTGGCGAGCACTTTGTGTGTAATGAGCGCGACCTTATAATGTATTCGTTCGGCTACTGGAACAATAAAATAGAACTGGTGGGTTCTGGTGGCCACTGGGGCAGCCGTTAGACTCACAGCTGAGCCTGTAAACCAGAGGTCGCAACCGGGTACCCGATACCCGTACCCTACCCGATACCCGGTACTCGTTTGCGACCCTGGTGCGGCCGGGTACGGGTAGGCCGTGAGTCACTGGTGAGTAACCGTTTGTCACTCATTTCGGGTAGGGTACCGGTACGGGTAGGGAACGGGTACCCGTTTGCGACCCTGGTGCGGCCGGGTACGGGTAAGGAATCAAAACCCGTTTGCGACCTCTGCTGTAAACCGAGAGGGACACCAACATTGTCGAGCAGACGCCGGGTCCACGGTGCTGGCTCGATGGTGGCACCACACCTGCAATCCAGCACTTGGGAGACGCCGTGTTCAAAGGTCGTGCAGATCCCACCGTGTGCCTTGATCCTCCCTACCCTGCTGGGCTGTGAGGTGGTCGGGAGAAAAGGGCTTAATAGCGCACCGGATTCCTCCAGTTTAAATAACGATTCTGAATCTGTAAGTAAAGCAAGCCAGTTTGTGTCTGGATTGTGTCGATTTTCTAAGTGTTTATTCCCTTTTTACGCATGGCTTTGCTCCAGGTCATTTCGCTTTCTCACATGTGTAACGTATTGCATATATAAAGGAATTGGTCAGATATAATTGTAAGACAGGAACACCAATTACGCTCACAATTGTGAATGAATAACTTAGTCAGGTGATGCGTTGGTTTGAGCACTGGACTTAAAATCAGTGGGTTGCGAGTTCCATTTGAGGGTTTACCGAGCTTACCATCCGAGTTGGATCGATGGAATGAGTACCACGCTTCGCAAATTATTAATCATCATTATATAGAGAGACGGACCCCATCACAGGAATGACTATCATTTACTGTTTGGGGTTAGGATTCCTGCCTCAGGGCTGGTACCCGTTTGTGGGTGACCCGCACCTCCATTTAGCACGGTTTGGCTACGTACGGTGCGAAAGAAGTTCAACATACTGAACATGCAGAGAGGGTCAGAGCGCAAAGTGGGTCGAAACTCGGCTGTTCACGGCTTGCCTTGCGGGTGCATGTCGGCTCGTGCTCATCACTGGGGATGCGTCCCTATCAGTGTCCCACCCTCACCCAGTGGGCAAGCTCTAAACACCAGGTACTTCCCGAACGGCTTTACAGATCACGTTACGTTACCCAATGCGGGACTCTGCTAAATGGCGGCAAACGCACACTATGGGTTCCCAAACACCACCGTTCACCGCTCCCCCCGGCCACTGTCACTTTAAATTCGGAAATTCGTTATTTGAACTCGACAGAGGTGTGCTTCTGATGATCGGTAGGAATAAAGTTTGGTGAACACTAATTTGTGGAGGAGGAGTGTAGAGACACGATTTTTATTTTATGAATTTTGCTTATACGACCACCTAGAAACTGGGTGGTGGCCCTATGTTGCATACTACTTGAGATGTAGATTTTTACTTTAATTTCCATGAAAAGAATAACATATCATGCAAACATAGACGTAAATCATTCAAGTTAAGTAGATCGGGTAGGGTTGTGGGTCGAATGAAAGCGGGTTGCGGGTATGGGGGCTTTATTGAACCGGGTTGCAGATTCAAAACGAGGATGTCCTGCGCGGCTGACCCGCAAAGAACGTGACCCGACCTGCACTTGACCCGCAAGCCCTAACAACGAGTTTATTCCGACCGGAACCGCCCTGCTCTGCAGGTCACCCGCCGGTTTCTGGGCCGGCGCAGGACTCGACTGCGTGACTCCGCAGCGTGTTTCCGCGTCGTACGGCGTGTTCGACACGATGTCCAACGTTTCGCTCCACGTCCAGGGAGCTTCTTCCGGAACAGGATGTTCAGTTCAGTAGCTGGACAACGTGCCGAAGAAACCAAAACACCCTTCGGTTCCCAGAGAAGCTCCCAGCGCGTGCTGAAGGAGGAAGAGAAGCGTCGTCATCGTGCCGGACATCGCGCAGTGCAAACAAAACACGCCCGAGAGCTCACGGAGTCGCTTGGTGTATGCAGGCGGCTGTGCGCTCTAAGCGCGTGTAAAGAGCCACTTCATGCAGGATGTTAAGGGGTGCAATGTTGCGGTTGTCGGTCATGGACACCGAGTGAAGCAACAACGGTGTGATATGGACCAGTGCGGAAACTGTCACCGCCAAGACTTTAGTAGAACCCATTCTGTATACAGTAGATCATCGATTATTCGGCGGGGAGCGGACACCGGATTTCACAAAACTCCAGATAAACACTAATTATCATCATCCTTTAAAATTGCTTATTTTTGCACATTATTGTATGACATTATGTTCGTAGGTGTTTTATGTTTTTAAATTTGTTTAGGCTATGAAATTGATATAAACATGCAAATAGACAGAAATACATATCCTACTTTAAAAAGTTACTATTTATTGTGATGTACATACTGTGCAGTATGTTAACATCCCCCAATTGATATGCCCACTTGAAGAAGGACGCTTGTGTTGCGCCCGAAACGTCGTGGTTTAATTTAGTTGTTTTCATATATTTGATTTGATTTTTTACCTACGTGACTTTACCGAAAGAAAAAAAACCCAAGGAGTAGTATTTTCATTGTTTAAGTTATTGTATTTTGTGTATAATGTGCCTTATATAATATTTGACATTGGAATCAAGCCTCGCTACTTTGTTTTTCTCACGCACACGGTGCCGATCGCCGGTGCCGATCGCCGGACTGGTTACAGCCTTTGGAGCGTTTTTTCCGGTACTGCCGGATAATGTTGGAAGCTAGATAATCGCTCATCAGATAATTATCTAAGATCAACTATATATATGTATTTCTAATCAGAGTGAATTATTTGACAAGTGGCTATCACACAATTCACTGTTATTGGTCACGCAGATAAATCGTAACCGCTAAAGATTTGCCACCTCGGGTGTAACCGACAAGTGAAATATCTGGTTTTGGCCCATGGGCTATATAAGACTTTTTAGCATGGGGAGCTCATGGAATGGGCCCTGCTTTGTGTTCTACCCCTGATAAGTGGGATGTGCAAGTCAAAAACAATGCACACATCATCTGTACGAGATGCTCAACTCCACTGCTGGCCCTGTGGCCAGTGGTCAAAATTAAATTTTTTTTAATGTGGACCAGTCTCCCCAGAAAGAGACCTCAGAATCAAAATCAGAATCTTTATTTGGACTGGAGCAATCCCATAAGCTAAGACGTCCAGTAGTTTTTACACATGCCAAGCAGACCGAATGTTCACATCCCCCAAATTGATGTGCACTCTATTGATCCCCCTAAAAAAGTGACGGGCAAGGTTGAGGCCCCCAACCAATATTTGAACCTGCAGACATAATGATAAATCAGAATCTTTGTTTGGACTGCAGGAGGAATCCGATGAGCTATGAAGCTCTTTTTCACAGATGTCCAGTATAGGCGGGTCAGGATGTTACAACAACAACAAACGATACAAAAACACGCTATAGGTATGCAAAATAGGGAAAAATGCAAGCAAGTCACGATAAATAAATAAGCAAATGTCTGCCAGCGGTGGCTGTTGGTCACATCTCCACAACGTTATAGTAAATTGAGTAAAATGTTAACTTTCCATTTTGGCTTATGTCTCTGAGCAGGCCTTACAACCGATACAGTACATTACAGGTAATTACTGTCCTTAGTCAATTGACTTTTGCGTTGAAACGTAATGGACCTTGAGGCGGCGTGGAAAAGTTGCACTTTTGCAGAGTGCTGCTGGTTTACACGTCCGGAGAAAGTCCACAACGCAGAAATAATAAAGTGTCAGCAAAGCGAGAACCCGCCTCAACGATAAACCTCAAACTTACATCCTCTGCAATCTCTTGTGACTGCTTTGCTAAGATAAACGACTCCGATAAACCTGCCATCCAAGCCAAAGTCTATGAAATACCTCTAATCATCAGCAGCCAGTGTTAATCACGGCTGGTCAGCAAAAATGTGTTTTTTCCATGGGACTGAAGATGCAAAGCTGGTTTTTTGGCAAGACGAATAGGACGGACTCGAAATTTGGCTCACATTTGGATGAATTTGACTAAATTTGGGCAAAGGAATTCCAGTGGGGATGACCATCAAGTGACTCGCTGGAGATGTGCGTAATTCATTTGGGAACATCGCTTTGGCTCTCTCTCAACTCTTTTGGATGGAGGGAAAGGGTAATTTGCTGTGTTCCCTCAATGAATGGCCTTCATTGGCCCTCTAAGCTACTCAACACGGGTCCCAATGGCCATTGCCCTTCAACTTAAAAAAAAACATTGCCATGCCCTTGTGCTTGTAAAGAAATAACTGATCATGTGTACATAGTTTGTCCAGTATTAGAGTACTTTATATTTACGGATACAGTGAAGTGTTTCAGTGTCATGATACATAAGTCCTCAGTTTGAGCGTTGAGTTAATGATGTATAAGTGTCAGTGATGGGCTTGGTAGGAGAATATTGGTAACGTGTTGGTGGAGTTCATGCGTGTAAGAGGCCTCGTCTAGATGAATGTAGAACAGTGATATGGGACACAGGTACTTCAGGGGGCTAATTCCTGTGTTTGGGATCACTGAGCCAACATGAATGACGGAGATGCTGTGTTGGAAACAGCATGGTCACATTTAAAGCAGGCTCTCACTATACTCTTGGTTCTTTCGGTAAAGTCACGTAGGTATAAAATAAAATAAATCACGACGTTTTGGGCGCAACACAATCGTCCGTCATCAGGTGGGAAAGCTTGTGTTGCGCCCGAAACGTCGTGATTTATTTTATTATATACCTACGTGACTTTACCGAAAGAACCAAGAGTATGGATTCCTGCAGTCACGAAAGCTTCAAATCAAGATTCAGGTTCTCACCTTTAACACATGTGATGGTCTCATCATAATTAGCAAACAACGACACACAATAGACCAAGCTAATAAATGATTAATACTTTTTTACTTAACTTGGCCGAGCCCAGTTCCGGAGTCTAATGTGAATAAACATTTTTCAAGATTGATGTGTGGCAAAGCACTTATTATTTCAGCATGTAATAATCAATCCTGTCATTCATTAAAATAGATTGTTACGCCGGAAATAAATGGATTATGTTTTCCATGTACACAATTGATTAAAGAATGCATGATTTAATCACATGCAAATAATTTCATTTTACATTTAGGCTCGTGGAGTACACAAAACGATGCAAGGGGTACAGCTTGAGGAAGCAATATCAGTGAGATGGTTAAACTGAGAAAATAAAGAAACCGTTCTTGAATCGATCATGGCTTTCGATCGTACAAAAATAACTGAATTGCCTGGGATGTGAATCGTGACATTGCTGTGTTGTATGCAGCATGCAGGAGCTCTCCGGAAACAATTCTGTCGTGCGATAACGATTTTCCTAATACAGCAACCCACATCTCTATACCCAAACCAGCTTGAGCCTCCCGCAAGTCACGTGACATCTGTGTGGCCACACCCACTCTGAACCTCTTTCCTTGCTGCCCTCTGTGAAAGCAGACTCTGATCCGTGCAGCTCACTCCTGCTAGCTCCTTCCTTCTCCTCTCATCCCCAACATCTTGGCCCGGCCATTCCTTTTCCCCCTCCTCCCCTTCCTGCCCGACGCTCCTCCTTCTTTCCTCCTGCTGCTCATCGTGCGCCGTGCTCTCTTTGTCCATCGTGAAGACTTCCGTCCCGGCCTCCCGACCCGGCCTCCCTGACCCTTTCTCATTCATTTGTATTGTTCCATTCGTCATGTCCTTGCCTGTACTCCCCTTCATGTGGTGGTGGCGCCATGCGTAAAGGGTTTTATAATGTACTACACGACATCTATTGATCCTTGTGCAAAAATTGGGAATGGTCAGCATTTATTCGTGTTCACATTTGTAATTGGTTCACCGCAGTAACACGTTGCTGGAATTTACAACGGTTGATAGGGTTTAGATTTTCAGGACGAGGTTGGAACTTTGCGTGAAAGTAGAGTGTGCGGTAAAATGTAGCTTGTGTCACGCAATTTGCCTGTGCTTAATATAATGACTGCTATACTAAGCACTGTGCGCCACCTCTTCTGTTACCCAATTAAAGTACGTAAATACTCCCTTGAAGTTGTCATCATCATTATGCTTTCACGAACCATGCAGTTACGCCGTACTGAAATAATGCTTGTTCAGTGCACCAATGTTATGGTGATCTACAAGCTTTCACTTATTTTTTCTTCTTCTGTACTATACGTTGTAGAGTGTTGCAAAGTGTCTCGTGTTGGCGCTGCGGAGTAAGCCAGGGTGTGATGCTTTTTGGCATTCGGCCGCCCGACCTCGGGGTCCAAGGCCCCTCATTGTGCACGCGTTTGTGAACGCTATCGCGATTGTGAAGCACTTTCAGCGTAATGTGTAGGCTTTCGCAACCAATATCATCAATAATAGATGTTTTTCGGGTTAGATTGCGTAATATAAATGTGTTGTTGAACCCGCCACCACCCGATACAGCCAATTATTAATGTTTGTCGCATAAACAGAACAGGCCAATTCATTACTAGTTCAGCACACTGGTGCGTTGGAGAGTAAACCCATAACATTTACCATTTGAGTACGACGATTTGCCGGTGATATTACCTGCATCATCAGGCGACAGCCAGAGATGCTATCTCATCATGCACTGTGCACACAAATGTGCTCTCTGGTTGTCAGGGCAGGTCCCTGTCGCCCAGCTGTAAAAGTAGCTTTTGGAGGATGAAGGTCGATTCACAACATTGTCAGATTGGAGCTACTGTGGGGGCATTTCCATTTCAGTCAATTCTTTTGGACTGTGGCACAGTCGCAGTACGCTGAACTTTTCGATCGGAACATTTATGAGTTCAAATTCTGATAAGGTGTTTGCTTGGCCTCAAAGCCTTTCCTGGGCTATTGAAATAAGTGCCTTTACGTGGCATTCCAACGTGACATTTCTATGGACGGGCATCTGCCGTGGGAATGTGCAATTTCCACCACTGGAGACGATCGTCACCGCTGCTTGCTCATTTGAACAGGAAGATGAGTTTGAAATTCAGGCCTCAAGATGGTCACGATACATTTGTTTATTTGTGAAACATTTAGGAACGTTTGGGGGCCACACAGAACAAAACAACCCATCCTCTGATCGAACCATAACATTACGTCGCTGCCCTCCCCATCCCTGTCAACCCATACGGTTTACCGCGTATTCTTGTGCAGGGAAAATGAGTGTTCAGATCGTACAGCCGTTTCAATACGGGAAAAAAAGGTGTCTATTTGTTTGTGTTTCTCCCTTTGTGATGGGACTTTGTAGGATGAACGCTGAGATTTATAAGGGCACGGGGTGACCAATGAAGTCTGAATTGGTCTGTAACAAGATAGGCACTGATAAGGGGTTGACAGGTCTGTCTCCCAGTGACTCACGTCACGGTTTCACTTTTGCGTGTGGCCCCTCGCCACTGCAGGTGCTGGACACGCGTGACCTGAAGATCCTCAAGGTGACGTCCAGCAATGGCCCCGCGACCTTTGCCATGGGAGCGGTGCACAAGACGCTGGGCTCGGCGCTCGAGATCACGCTCCCTTCGCCCGTCGAGAAGTAAGCGTGCGACGGTGACGCCGGACGTGCTGGGTACGAGGGGAGGACGAGAACCGATGGTCACTATCGTGTCTTTTTTTGCGGTCCAGAAATAACTTTTTGCGTTTTGAACTTCCGAAATAAGGCGCGATATAGATCTACGTAAGAAAATGGATGCTGAACTTATTTCGCACTGTACGTAGCCAACCGTGCTAATCAGAGGTGCGTGGGACAGACAACAAGCTAAACAAAGAAAGCAGTTCTAAAGAAATACAAAAATATTTTTTCGGATAATTATTGCACTTTTTACCTGAAAAATAAGTGAGCTGCCCAATTGCACTCGCTGGCCAGGTTTTGCAGAACAGGCGTTCTGGCCTGTGCTTGTGAGCAACTGAAGTGTGTTTTATGTACAACGAGGGCATTACACATCCAAAGGTTGCAAATGTGAAACGTTTTGGAAATGTGCACTGAATGTGCCATTCTCAGGATGGCCACAGTGGAGGGCGCGATGGCCCAAGAGTGAAGGTGAGATGAGCTCATCATGGCCATTGGGGTCAACCACAACACCTCCACCATCACTGCCTCCCCAGAGTCGTAATAGTTGTTTTGAAGTTGACACCCCGACTGTCAAGCATTGCTCTTGAGCATAATGTTGGCAGTAAACCCATTCACTGGGACGCTCATGAAAACGCATCCCGCCAGAGCAGTGGTTCTTAACCTGCGGTGCACGCTGCACCGCCTGGGAGTGTGAGATGCCCTTTATGGGGGTGCGAGACATGGTTAGATTAATTTAGAAGGTAAATAATCGAAAACACAAATTTAGCATGGGCATGTAAGTCCAACCGCTTTGTTTAATCAAATCTGTGTATTTATTGACATTATACATGGTTTTACCTTTGAAAGCCAATGGGGTGCATCCTGCAGAACTGATTCTAATCCCCTTTTTAAGTACGGTAATGGGTGTCTTCAGTCCAAGGCCGTAGCCATGGAGTCAACATTGGGGGGGACCAAATCTTCCAGGGGGTTTGGGGGTCCCATCCCAGAAAATATCTATATTTCAAAACTCATTTCCTGCCATTTCCTACCTAAAATATAAAAAAATTAACTAACACATGGGATGGATTTTTTTTTTTTACAATATCTAATAGTGTATTGTATTACATTGCTCTGTTTTTACTTTTTTTACCATTTCTTGTTTCATTGTATCTATGTTTGGAGATTAGGAATTAATAAAGTACAACCATAACCACAATCATATAAACAGAAATCTATGCATTGCTTTATATGAAGACAAGTCCAGATATTGTGGCCAAGGTTTAGAAAAATGTTGTTTTTATTTACATAGCATAACAATTATTATTACTTTTTTATAGCAATATATTGAGGTGGACATTTTGAGCATTTTTTTTTATATTGGGAGGGATGTGTCCCCTCCAATATATATTATGATTATGGCCTTGCTTCAGTCATTTGGTAACCACTTTGTGGTTCATACAGGTTTGATAAATTTATTGCAGCTCCCCCAGTTAATAGAGGTCATCCTATGGATCGGCCTGCCCCCATTTTAATAAAACGTAGAATTGCCACGACTGCTTCAGGGCAGCGAACAAATGTGCACAGCAACACGACTTCCAGCATGACGATATGCTGCATAGGTCCTCACAGCTGGATACAACGACACTTTCATCTCGTTGGACATTCTGCGCCCTCATTATTCACCAGATTGGGGCGCCATGCACAAACCCCCGGACAGCCGTAATCATGCTCCCTCCAGAATGGATAGCTTCTGACGACTCTACGGAGTGGCTGGCTAATGGGTGGCGGGACAAAGCTGCGTTCTCACTGCCACACCGCAAGCGTCGCGTCTCGATGGATCCCAAGGAGTTTGAGTGGTGCGGGAGTCCTTCAGCCGGCCAGGAGAGGGCAGTGCAAGCTCATGGTTTGGTGACATCAATGCAGTGTTCATTGAAACTAAATTCCAAACTACTTTTATTTCACCGGGTAAGGCCCACTGAGCTATGCAGCTCTTTGTCACAAGCGACCTGGCCACCAACGGTAGCTCAACGAAGTGGCTCATCACGTGGAAAGTTATGGGAGCCAAGTACTCTAAGTGCATGTTTCTAAATGTGAGGGGAAAACTGGAGGACCCGGATAAAAATCCACTCGACCACGGGGAGAACATGCAAACTCCAAATATACAGATGTCAGGGTTGGGATCGAACCCACGACCTCCTGTTTACCAGACCTCCTGTTTACCAGGCGAGGGACTTAGCATCTTGCCACTGTGGCGCCTGCGGGTCACTGGCGGCCCCTGGTGGACTTTAGTGCAGCCCCTGACAATACACAACGTGTGAAAACACTCCCCCATTGTCGTCGTGCTGTCAAACTCCCCAATGGTTTCAAATGTGTGGCGGCCCTCACACTGATGTCTTATTGGCGAAAGTGGCCCGCCTTTGAAAATTAGTGAAGAACACTGCCTTAATGAGTGGACTACTGACTCGTCTTACCCAAATGCCTATGTTTGTATGTACGTTGAACTTCTTTCGCACCGTACCTATCCAACCGTGCTAATCGGAGGTGCGGGGGAAGTCCAACAAACTAAACACAAAACGCAGTTCTCAAGAATGAGCATGATGTTTCCTTCCCAGGCTACTCCAGTTTCCTCCCACACGCAAAAACACGCCGTAACAAAACCCGCCCACGCAGAAGATTAGTTGCCGTTTGATGCCTCTCAATGGGTTCATTTTCATCTCCTGGCTAAATAATTAATACAAATAACAACAACAAGTGGTAATTGGCCAAACAATGCCTCTGCAGAACTCTCACGAACACTAGTCTTGAGACTCGGTGAGGCATCCCCTGTATAAGCGAACGATTTAATTGGTGCATGTAACCGGAGCAAATCATGATGAGGTGTGACAGCATAATGCATGGGAATAGAAAAATTAATCCTTCCCAAGTGTTGATGAATTACCACAACTTGGCGTCCTGATTTGATTCCAGATTCCATTCTCTTTTGTGCTGTCACGTGCGTGTGCCCTCTTGTCTCGCTGGAACTGCGTGCACTTTACTCTCGCCCATGCCTCCTCGCCAGTGGCGCCTCCCTTGTGTGTGCTGTCTGTCGCGTTTACGCTGCACGTTGTACTGGCTCATTGGTCTGTTTTCGTTTGTATAACCTACGTCTGTCTCATTCGTTCCAACCCTTTGACCAGAAAAAAGTTGTAGCGACGCATGTGCATCGATGCACGCAGCTGTAAGAATTATTATAATCTGTTTAAACTACAGGATCATTACTCGCCCAATATGTTTAAAAATGGAAACGTACTTAGAATTAAGGTGGGGGAGCGGTGGCACAGTGGTTAGCACACTAGGGTACGAACCCGGCATCCTGAGTTCGATTCCTGGCCACGGCCAACATCAGTGGCACGTTTGCCGACCCGCATTGACCAGGGGTGATAATGTATGGTCAAATAAACCCCCCACAATAAACCCGGCGACCAAAAATGTGATTCCTGTCCACGGCTGACGTCAATGGGAAGTGATATCTGAGCCAGTCTTGCCAATCCTGCCACCCCTTCAACTCCAACCCGCACCGACCCGCGTGGTGAAGTATGGCTGTCACGGCTCACACGGTTTGGCGGCGCCTTCATCCACCAGTGGAGTAACATGTCTGTTAATTGTAGTTATTATTTTCAAAATGTGTTCCCTTCACTAACTCGACCTGGCCAGGGTGGTGAAGAATGATTAATCCCCCCCTGCCATGACCAACACTCCAAAACCATGCCCCCCCCAGCAGCTTTGGATCCACCAGCCATGGCGTCTCTGTGTTAGCCTGTGTGGGTCTCTGTTTGAGTTTGTGGATCTCTGTGCGAGTCTGTGGCTCTCTGTGGGTCTGTGGCTCTTTGTGTGAGTCTGTGGGTCTCCGTGTGAGTCTGTGGGTCTCTACGTGGCATCGGTTGGGTAGGTGAAGGAGCAGTGGCTTCTAAAAATCACCGGGTACCAACGGGGGGGGGGGGGGGTCCCTTATGGTTGTATCCATCACTACGCCGCACTCAGCGGAGGTGGGCTAGGGCAAGACATGTCGCTGGAAGGGGCGGTGGACGATGGTCAAGAATAATAAACGGAGTGGCAGCCAATGAATTAGAAGACGTCCACTGAGGAGATGGAGCAATGGGATCGCAGGTTCGTGAGAGGTGGCGGCGACTTGGGGAGGCCGCCTTCATCCTTGTCTCGTGGTGATGGTGGTGGTGATGATGGTGGTCATAGGTGTAGTGTTGGTACCCACTGTGCGAGTTCAACCCCCACGAAGTTTGGCGACGTTCAAAAGAAACTCACAAACACCTCGTTGTGAAAGACTCAACGCAGAAGATCCCTGTGTTTGATCCTCCACGAAGCTTATGGTCCACTCTAAAACCGCATCCACTGCACAAACCATGACAGATGCGGATACCTGATGCACGAATGCACAATTTAAAACTCTCCAGTAGTGTGCAACTGTGGTCATCCAGAACAGACAGTATAACATATAACGACGCAATGCCCGATCCACAAATACGAAGGAGACACCACAGCGACGATTCACTCCGCTGGCTCCTCACGCGGTAGTCTGGCTTGACCACCTCAATGTGAAATTGAAGTTTGTTGCTCTGTATCTACATCAGCCGTACGGAAGAAGAGGAAGAATTCGAGTGGTTCCCAGTGGGAATTCACGACCGGTCACGTGGCACCGCCACGACCCCGCTTTCACCCATGTCTCGTGGTTGACGGCGATCATGGTGGTGATGGTCATCAGGTCGCGTGTTGGTGCCCACAGTGATCGTGAATAGGGGTCGGCACGGTTTGGCTCAAACCACCAAACCGCGGTTTGAACCGAACCAAATCGGTTTGGTTTGGCTCTGTTTGAACTGGTTCGGTTTGGTTTGGGGCTACGAAAACCGACTCGGTTTGGCTCGGACAGGGTGGAACCGGCTCAAACTAGTTTGGTTGGTTGTAAAGGCGACACGAAAGGACATGCTGTAGTTGCCTTTGCCTGCGAATTCACTTTGCAATTGCATCTCCATGGCTCGAGCGGCTCAAGACGGCGCCATCCCCGGCGGCTCCAGCATCACAAGGTATCTCATCCACGACGTGGAAGAGACCAAACACGCCGGTAGCGACGAGGAGCCGATGGCGAGCGAACGTGAGAGCCCGGACGCCACGCGCGGCGACACGCGGCAGAGCCTCATGCGCACCCTCGGCGCCGCAGCGCTGCAGACCGCGACGCAGCCCAAGCCCAAGAAGGCCCGTGTGTCCCGAGCGCTGTGGCACGACGAGTACTTTGAGACGAGCCAGGCCGCGGGCGATGTGCAGAGCCGGACCTGCAAGATCTGCACCCTCCAGTACGCGGGCTCCACCTCCTCGGGCACCCGTATCAAGCATCTCAAGACCCATGGGATCGTCGACCCCGAGTCGCCCACGGTCGTCACGTCGCCGCCGACGGGGACGGGTTTGCTCGTGCAGTCCAAGATGGCCACGCCCATGTCAGCGCACGCGAGCAAGGCCATGGACAGCTTTGTCGCCGAGTACATCGCGACGAGTGGTCTAGGCCATAAACACGTAACATCGGATCCCTTTACGACTCTTCTTCAACGAGCTGCCCCAGGTTACGAGCCCAAGTCTGAGCGCACGGTCAAGCGCCGCATGCTCGAGATGTATGTCGTCCTCAAGCTACTCGTGCTACAGTACTTTACTACTTTTGGCTCTTGCGTCTCCTTGACCTACGACGGTTGGACAAACGACGCCATGACCGGCTTCTTCTCGGTCACCCTCCACTGGATGGACCCGGCGTCGTTCTCCATGTGCAACTGCATCATTCACTTCTTTTGGGTGGCCCCGGGCGAAGGCGTGGGCAAGCGCATGGCGCAGCGCCTGCACGAGCTGCTCGACGACTTTGGCGTGTGGCCGCGCCTGCTCGCCGTCGTCACCGACAGCGGTTCTGACGTCGTCGCATCCGCCAAGTCCCTCACGCTCCTCGAGGGGAGCAACCTGCGCTCGACGTGCTGCTTGCGGTGCATCGCGCACTGCGTCAACCTCGGCGTCAAGGCCTCATTCGGCGCGTTCGAGACACTGCTGCGCAGCCTCCGCGCGACGCTCGGCGCTATCCGCAAGAGCAAGACGAAGAGTGCGGCCTACACGTCGCTCGCGCGGCACTACCTCAAGTGCCCGCTGCAGCCGCCTTGCCTCGACGTGGTCACACGTTGGGGTAGCACGTACGTGATGCTCACGGCGTCGCTAAGGCAGCGCCAAGTGATCGACGCCATCTGCCTTGAGCCCGGCTGGTCGCGGAGCCAGGCCGGCTTGTCGGACGAGCAGTGGGAGCAGGCGGCGCTGCTCTGCCAGTTCTTGGAGAAGCCGGCGGCCATCTCCGATGCCATGGGCGCCGAGGAGTACTGCACCATCTCGAACGCCATCACGGCGCAGGAGGCTCTCTTGAGCCACTGCATGACCCACCGCCCGAGTCCTCATGTGGTCTTGAGCTCGGCCGCCGTGACCATCTCCGACTACATGGTCAAGTACAGCGACCTTCTCTCGTCCGAACCAAGCCGCGTTGCCCGCTTTCTCGACCTGCGCCACCCTAAGCCCGCGGCCTCGAGCACCGAGTACAGTAATATCAAGGACATGATGACGGACATTCTCAACCAGCGCTACCCAGCGTTGACGACGGACGCGGCGCCGAAGGCGGCGCCGCGTGGCGGCATTAACATCCTCTTTGACATGGTCTACGCGCCCAACGCTCACGACGGCGCCGCCTCCGAGGTCGACCGCTTCCTGCTTGAGCCGACTCAGGACCTGAGCATGGACGTCGTCGAGTGGTGGAAGCTGTACGGCGGCAAGTACCCGCGCCTACGACGCGTGGCCCTCGACTATTTGCCTATCCCGGCGTCGTCCGTGCCCTCCGAGAGAGCAAACTCGGCCGCCAAGCGCTCCTTTCTCGACCGACCAAACCTGCACAAGTGCACGTTCAAGGCCGAGATGTGTGTGCGCTCGTGGGCGCGGATGTTGCCTAGTGTTGGGGTTTCACTGCCATTGAACTACCACACTGCTTTCAAGGACATTGGGCGTGCCAAGCTTGAGGAGATGGCTGTGGACGACATCGTCGTCCAGTACTTGCTAGTGAATCTCAATATGAAGAACGCCTGCGTAGAAATTAGCGATTAATACACTTGATATTTGTATTGAATGCGAATATTGTTTGCCGCGCATCTTTTCGGTTCAAGCCAACTCAAGAGGTTTGGTTTAGCTTAGTTTGGTTTGGTTTTGGTTTGGTTTGGTTCAGTCGTCGCTGGTTTGGTTTGGTTTGCTCAATTTGAAACCAGTTTGAGTCGGTTCAAACCGTGCCGACCCCTAATCGTGAACGCGTGTCTCCCTGTGGCCACCAGGGGGCAGGAGGTGACCGTAGACGTGGAGTACGAGACGGCGCCGAGTGCCTCGGCCCTGCAGTGGCTCACGCCCGAGCAGACCGCGGGGAAGCAGCACCCCTACCTGTTCAGCCAGTGCCAGGTGTGGTGCACACACACACACAGACTCGCACGCACGCACACACGCGTCCACGGGGAGGACATGCTAACTCCAAATATGCAGGCGTCAGGGTCGGGATCGAACCCATGACCTGAATACCAGGCGAGGTAGTTAACATCTCCTAGCCACCGTAGCATCCCAGAGAGATCAGGAGCTGCGTAAACTCGAGACTGGGATTTGAACCCACGATGTATTTATTTATAATTTGCCCCGTTGCGTGTACGAGTGGGAGCACGTGCCTGTAATCCAGCTCTGTGCATGCGAGGGGTTGGCGGATCACACAAATGTTGCAAAACTCCGAGTCGGCGTTGAGGAGTCTCGCGTACCCTGGCTTGCCAGGAGAAGGCAGTACAGAAGAAAATGGTGCCAACCTCTTCAACGTGGTCTGTCCTTTGGCTGCCTTTTCATTACCCGCCGCAGCCTTCATCCGACAGTGTGTTGGAATTATTCTTTTTCATTATGGGTATTGACAAGACTGAGCAGTAACGTACTTGCCGCTTGTGACACAGAAGAGCCCAGCGGCTTCCCTGGTCAATGACTGCGGCTGTATCAACTGTGACATAGTCACCATCCGTAAAAAAATACCGTGACGTTATTTGAACGATAGGAGTCCATGCGTGTCAACGACACGCTCCACAAACTGCTTAATCTGGTCAAAGTAACGTAGCAACATTGCCCACCTAGAGGCAGTCTACACTCGCCTCTATACCGTTGCTCGCTCGTACGTGAGAATGGCGCAGATGAGCCGGCGCACTCGTGGCTTGATTTGACGCGTCACTGCGAGGGGGCTACGCCGCTGTTTTGGAGAGAGCATCTCTTCGTGATCTGTCGCACGGAAAGAAAAAAAATCCCAGACGTCATTGCCGTCGCGGCTCACGGTGTGAAATGCAATATCCCAGATCGTAAAGAATCTTCCATCCAGGACAGTCACAGCTGTTTGGACCGTGTGATCAACTGTTTGCAACCTTCCTAAATATACTCGGACTCATAAAATGCAAAGTGCGTAGAAACTTGGACTAGACTGCAGTTGCTGCCAAACGTCTCGTTTCCTTATATAACCCTTGGTTCGACAGGAGCCAGGGGGAGCGCAGTGGAATCATTTCAACTTCACACGCGCTACAACCCCTCCTGATGGACCCCTCACTTGCTCTCACCACTGCAGTGGCCTGGCATTCCTTTGCAAATTGACTTCGACGCTTAATTTGTACTTCCTGAACATCTTTACGAGAAGAGTTGGGCGGGTGGCTACCAGGGGTCAGGGTGCACCCGAGCCGATTCTGCTGGGATTCCGGGCGTTTGATTCTGAGCAGCCACTCGCGATCTCTTCTTTCGTATGGCTGTTGATATCAGAATCCGAATATTTATTTATACTGGGGGAGGAATCCGATGAGCTATAAAGCTCTTTTTTCACAGATGTCCAGTCGGGGCGGGTAATAACGTTACAACAACAAACAATCAAGAAAACACGATAGTAGTGAACCCAAAAACCATCACAATAAATTATCTTCTACTATTTAGTCAAATATTCAGCATCTGTCCGAATGCGAAAACAAATTTTTCTGATTCGTAGTAAGTATTATTTTGGGTCAGATTGTGTAGGTGTAACCCTCCACCACCCGACAGAGCCAATAAAATCAAGTTTTCATGTGGGAAGCTACGCCGGTTGATGTGGTTTATCTGCAAAAGTTTATATTCGACCGTCATGCGATGGAAATCTCTATGGCAGCTCCTGATTGCGGAAATTGAGGTTACTGGAATAGACCTCAGAAGTGGTTCTGGGAAATCACCTTCCACGGGCCGTTATCCAACATGTGGCGATGCACCGATGTGAGAGAATTCTCAGTGGACGCCTCGACTCATGACATGATGCCATTTCCCAAATGTTTGAATATTAGTGAAAGTTTTAAAAACAATTTGGAATATCTCAAATGCATTCGCTGATGCTCACATCAACCGCTACATCACTGTACGAATGACGGAAGATCACTGCTCCTCTTCTGCGCCTCTTGTCAGTGTGATCATCACCAGACTGGCAGCATTTTTAACTTTCCATCCTGCTCTTCGTCGGTTAAAGGAACATTACATAAAAAATTGCATTTGACTGATTTCGGGTTTGCTTCACGTTCTGGAACCGCTGGATACTTTTCCAAACAGTTGACGAGTCTCCTTGCTCAGAGAACCTTGAGAGAGCGGTCATCTCATCTCCATTGGCAGCTCTCAGCCAGCTGTGAAAACTTCACATTCCTGTGGTTGGGGCCATTTTCTCTGTATTCCATCAAAAGTTAATTTGGAAGAACGCAGGCGTCAGGATCGCGATCGAACCCACGATCTCCTGCATACTGGGCGAGGAAGTTAACATCTCGGCCACAACGGCGAGGTGATGCATGTGCCAGCACGTGCTTCTAAAAATTGGGACGTCGTACCAAACAGTGCGCGGTACGATCCGAAAACACGCCGGGGAACGAACGCGACGAGCGCGGTTTGAGCTCCTGCCAGTGCGCGCCGCGTGAGTGCTTGTGCGCAGGCGTGCCTGGAATTCCATTCCGTGCCCTCTCCGTGGCCCTTTCCCACATTAGAGCCGCTATTCTTAGGTGGCCACGGCCACTTGCCGCACGTATCGATAATCGCCGAGAAGGTCTCGCCGGCGATCCCGTGGCGGGGCTCGCCTTGTGCCGTCTCACGTGGCGATTTGATTCGCGTGGGGTGAAGAGCCGTTCATCTTCATCACCCTTCTATTTAACTTGGGATGGGACGCTCGTTCAGATGATTTGTGTCTTTGTGATGGAGATCGAGCAAAGTTGCACTCGGATGTTACCGGTGTATAAAGCGTCTATATGCGTTTATCACATTTTTTTCGTGTAATAAGCGACTTTTTAGAATCATAAAAAGTGAGCCGAAATGTAACCCAAGTAGTTGGCGAAGGTGAAATGTTAATCTGCCAATGGAAGGCAACCTCCACTGTTGGAGTCTTCACGACCACACTGCAGCTGCGGTTCTACACAAAGAGCGCCACCGTGTGTCTGTTGACGACTCTCCGCTGACCAAGCTCAGCGGAGGGCTACGAGAGCTGAATGTGGCCGCAGAGGATGCCGCTGCACGGCTCGGCAATTGCGGACGCGCTGAATGAATGAATTCAACTTGTAATGCCAGGTTACGCTCGGCCAACTGACCGATTGGAGTACGAGAGGAGTTGTGCGTTCGAGAGTGTTTACCGACACCCTTGCTGGAGTCTTTGTCCTTCGCTCTCTGGCCAGCTCTAACTTTGTAAGCGCATCTGTGGGTTGACTCTAGCCGCCATCATCCCTCTGCGATCGATAGAATTAGGTGCCACGTTGTGGGGAAGTCCAACGTGTTTGCACTCAGGAGAGGCTCGTTGGAAATTAGCGCTGCCTCGGTGCTCACTTGCGCAGGAAATCCCTTTGACTCGTTGCTTCGTAGAATCTCGCCCCGTTTAAACGGAACATCTCCATTTTGGGAGCAAGTGGCGGCCCCCCTCCTTGGTTTATCCGTTGCTGGATGTGTACCTTCCCCCTTTCCCGCTTACACCTCTTTCCCTTTTAATCGTTTAACCCTCCTCTGCTTTCCCTTCTCTATTTGCTGTAAGGCGTGGGGGGGGGGGGGCTTAGCTTTCACTTTGCTCGCTCACCCGTTTGTGAAGAAAGTAAGAAGATGGTCACGAGCCACCGGGGGTGCCGTGACTCGGCCCAGCGGCGGTGCGGTTGCCGCTTGCCACACAGCCTCGCGGGTCGCGGGTTTCGGGGCCCAGCGGCCGCCCTGGTTAGTACCGCGAGCGTGTAAGCCGCGCGATGCGCCCCCTCCTCGGCCTCGAAGTGGACACTGAGGATCCCGTGACATCATTCGAACACGGTCCACATTTGCCTAATTGGGAAATTTCTTGCAAATGACAAAAGAGTACAGCATTCGCTCGTTATTCACGAACTTACTGTCCGCGATTTTTGACTGTCCACAAATAGCACCTGGATCTCTACACGGCTGCGTCGAGGGATAGAGAGAGAGAAAGAAAGTGACGAGAGATAAAGTGATGAACGTATCCCTCGTGAATAACGAGGGAGTACTTGTGTGAAACTACTGCAGGCTGTGCCAGTGAAACAGAGTGCTGCAAGAATGCCCCAAACACCTTGTGTTTCTCAACGATTATGAATCAGTGTGTCGTCTGTAAATGGATCACCCTGTATATTTACTTGTATAGTCCGTTCTCCTATCACGCGTGAAGTTGCTTTCATGACGCAACAGGGAGCACACTTTTTCATAACGTGGATGCGAATTAGATATAACGCGATCGGGTGAACAGAACGACGTTACGCGAGGTAGGAATAAGCGGTCGTACTGAAAATGAAAACTAATTCAAAATAAACCCGAAATTCGAGGACTGAACCACCCTTTCACAACAGCCAACAAAACTAAAGAACAGCGTCTTCACACATTAAGTACAAGACTTAGCTGGACCCGTGATAGTCTAAATGTGCGTGCGTGTTTTGTTAATCGGAGTTTGATAAAAAAAAAACAGTACCGTACTGGTGGTAACGGTGCAGACCAACAAATGTCTTGTTCACCCCACTGGGAGCCCTACAAGATGTTTGGCCTACTCTTCCACGCTGGGTCAGACTATCATGGAAGACGTCGGAGTACCCACACTTAACTTCACCTCACGAGACCTGCTCATTGACAGGCTCTGGTGTCACTCTTGCCGTAGATCACACAGCGTTGGTGTACGGTGTTTTTTTTCTGCAATATTTTGCTGTCTTTTCTTGGATTTTCTGTTTGCCACTTAGTCACATATTCACTTTAAGATGTGTTTTGTTCATGTTTTTGTTTGTTGCGGTCGCACCCGATTCATTTTCAATTGACAGGTAATTTTACTTTAAAGACACACACACACACACTCATTTCATCTGTATGGGGTAGAGTGCTGGTCCCTCGCAAGCCGTGGTGGTTGTTGTTGAGGCTCAGTACACTGGTTA